ACAGACAGCAATCAGCATAAATTGGAGAAGTATGAAAGAAGTAACCTCCTTTTAACTACCGACACGGGAAGCATCGTTTCAAATACAGGCGGAATTCCAATGTGAAGTCAGTGCTATTATACGGATCAGAGTCTTGGCGCGTCATAAAGAGTAATTCAAACAGACTAAAGACCTTCATCGACAGCTGTATTCACTCAATACTAAAGATCAGATGGCCGGCCAAGAAAGATCAGCTTCAGGGTGGGATCTCTGGGAGCGAACCAACCAAGCAGGAACTGATTGTGCAACAAATAAGCAGTTAGAAATGGAGGTAGACTGACCATACTCTGAGAAAACCGTCAAGTGAATGATATCACACTCCAGGCCATAGCTCTAATTGAACTCGAATGGGAAGCTGCGAGTTGGCCATTCGAATGTGACTTAGAGGAGGTCATGCGAAGAGGAGATGAAAGCATGTGGGCAGTCGTGCAGCCAGGTAAAAGCTCCGGAGGAGAATCGGATGCAATAGAGACGTGTGGCTGGAGCCGTATGTTCCTCTGGTAACTAAAGGAGACAATAATAATAATTTGGGATGTTGTTCACTATTGTTTGTAGTTGTCTGTAAAAATCTTCCTTCTTATCTTGTTCCGCATTTCATGTAACATTGTAAGTAGTATTGGATAGTTATGACCTTCTTTACTTCCTTTTGAGTTGAATCTTGTTGTCATTAACCTGCAGGATGAAATTGGTTCCCACTGCGTTAGAGCTTTAGCTGCCATTGGTGACATCATGGTAGCCGCTCACTGCCGCAGTGTGCTTGTGGTTGTGGTCTGTGTGACCAGGCCGCAGTAGATTACTGACTCACCAGTTGACAACTTTGATAGTCGACTCTCAATCCAACTGCTCTCGCAGATTCTCAGCTCTTCTATGCCATATCTTCGCATTTCTTTGGCTACCTGCTCAGCCTCGTGCATTGTGCGTATATTCTACTTCCCATTCTTATTCTTGATTTCATCGAGAGAAAACATATCGACTGGCTGACTAGTTTCTTGAAGGCTTTCACCAGCCCGTTGTTTCATTTTGCCTCCCAGAATCCAGTGAACTAAAGTTTTGTTTATATATTTGTTTGTATTTTTAATATTTTTCCTGCTCGTTGAAGTTTCTGTAGCAGCTTGATTGGTTTAGGGGGGTACGGTTGCTAGCCACATGCCCAATCCTCCTTCTTTACTTGGGCTTAGAACCGGCTAGTAAACCAGGCGAGGTTAGCGCTGACACAATATGTGTTACTTATAGTTAACTGTTCGGAAACGCAAGTACTTATTATTATAACCATAGAAAAGCCGTCTTTGATAAGTGCTGCTAATGTAATTGAAATTTTCTTAATTTTCGTTATGTTCCGTGTACACTGTTTTTGTCTTGAGACCAGAAATGGTTTTAGAAAACCGATCACTTTAATCAACTCACTGGGTGTCTACCTCTTCAATTTCGTTATATTCTTATCAGCCTTCTATATTCATAATTGAAGACCTCGAAATATGATCTTTTCCAAACCCCCTTTTAACTGATTTATGAGGTTTCTCATTATCATTTCAAAGAAATTCAACTACATCATTTATATAAGAGTCTTTGAATATCCATAAGTTTAAACCAGGTCTTTGTGCTCAAAAACAACACATGTCTGTCAGTCTGACTGTAATTGTGGAATGAGTAGCAATTCTTCCTATTTTCTTCATTCAAATCTTTCCTTCCTGTTTTATTACGCCTTTCATTCCAGCGGCTTAAGTTTTTATTAGTTGTCACACTTAACATCTAGTACCTCCCTCTTTCATTACCTTTCACTTTTTTCTTTCTGTTACTAACAATTTTCCTGATCTCTTTGTTAAAATAGACTGCTATCATCCTAATGATCCCAGCTTATTTTACTATGACAGCAAATATGATTGTATGATTTTGTCAAAACTGAAAATTTCTTTGTTGTTTCATCTTTGATACATCATACCACCATTCAACATATACTTCACAGTGACTTAACAGCTCGACAAGTTGTCGTTAAGCACTTAAAACGGTAGTTGCTGGGTTCGAAGCCAACATGGTTTGTCATCATTCACTGGATTCCAGAAATGATTACCTGAAATGCCTCCAATGGGAGGGAACAGGCATCCTGAATTTCATCGCTTACCGTCCACAAAAAGTTACCAGACTAATTAATAGTCACGATATCTGTGTACGATAATCATATATCAAGATTCATATGTAGGCTTGGTTTCATCTGATTCAATGACTACCCATTAGCCTTCACTTCCTCTTCACACAATCATTTCCATGCCACCCTCGGATGCCCAACACCTCGCTACCCATTCAGGTTAGAGAAACTAACAATAAGGTGAAAATATTCTCGACTTTCGATAACAAGGTAGTATGATTCTGTTTGATACAAAGGACGTGGCACAAGATTCAATTTATAAACTCACTTTATGTCATATATATATATATCATATATATATATCATATATATATATATATATATATATATATATATATATATATATATATATATATATACAGTGAACGTTACCTGTATGCGCATTCCGCTTGAACTATTACAGTGCATTTCAATCGGGGAATTTCTATAAAATCTCTCGAGGTTTCTTACGTCCTTGGGATTCCATTGAACAGAGTTTATTTCGTCCATTATGTCCATGGATTGCTGCTTATTACTTGTACAATGCATTAATGAAAGCAAATATGGTAAGGATAACATTTTAAATACATTCTAATAAATTAGCGAATATAAACAGCATTTCTCGAGAATGACTATGACAGTCCAATTGTTTAATTCAATTGAATATACATTAACGGAGTTGTATTTGGACAATTTGATTCTGAGTGTTCTTTAGTCCTGAAAGTTTATTAATTGTCTTCAACAACATATGTTTATTATTTTGCACTGTTTATTGAAGATTTTTATGCCTGGCAACAGTGTTACACGTCTATGCTTTAGATTTTTTATACCGACCGTTTTTGTATACGAAAGTCAGGTGTCATGTGTCAAAAACATGTCAGTGATATTTTCCATTACACATTAGTGTCACTCAAACATCATTTGAAAATCGGGAAGCAGTCAGTATCACTCATAAAACCGACTTCATGTGAAGTATATTATTTTAAGAACTGTAACGTAATTATAACTGGAAACCTTATAAGTGATTGTAGAAAATGCTATTAAAGGTCAAAAAGTGTCAGTTGACGTTAAAACAGCGTAATAATGAATAGCCCAACTACGCGACTCACAAGTACCGAAGTAAAAATTAGCTGCAAACCAGAAATTCAAAGTCGATACAACAAATAAAATTGACAGAAGCCTATTACCCACAGCAGCCTGGAGAACATTCTTCACTTCATCTTATCTGTATCTTATTCTCTCCAAGACGCCCCTTGTTCATCAGTATGTCAAAGAAAGAGCTTCTTCGCCAGCAACATCTATCGGAGTACAGGAGTTCACTTCCTTCTGTGAAGCTAAGAGAATAGACCGTGTCAGTGTGACATGCCCTAGACTTGTTCATGGGCATTTCTGTATATAAATGTAGGGAACAGAAACCAGATCAACAAACAGCCCACTTTTTAAGCACTTTATTGTTCCTCACCAATCACCATCACAGTGATAGATAAGGTAGAGGCCAAATCGTTCGGGGGATTTTTTTCACCTATGTCTTCTGATTACAATCGAATCTGCTGTTATACTCAAGGAAAATCCTAAATTCTGTATATAAAGGCGTTTTATTCAGTCCTTTTTAATAACATGACTTTAAATCTTTTCTAGACGTTGTATATCAACTTTGCATACAATCTCTTTTTACCTCTTACGTTAAGCTCACGACTATGAAAGCAGAGGTATCATGCATATTCCGAACCGCTCCCTCTTATAAAATCGAATTCCTGTTTCAAGTAATCACATTTTTAACAAGTATTTCTGAACGCTATGCATCATTTCATATCTTCAGTAATATAGAATTATTAACCCAAGTTTTACAATTTACAAATGATTATTTAATCCAGACATTTGCTATGAACAATTTAGGTTTTAATGGATTTAAGTACTCAAATGGCTTAGAACAGATGACTGAAAGCTGAGAAACATTCACGTGAATACATTCCTTTTTTTTAATGAAGAAGTGACATTTGCTAAATCAGCTCTGACAAGCAGTGAGTATTTTTTAAATTTTTTCTCCAATATAGTTTAAGATTCTGTTCAGCATATAGTGTCGTTTACTCGTTCTCTACAAATATTACATTATGTTTAGAGAAATATTCCAAAACCAATAGAGTTGCAGTTTTAAAGATGAGTATATGTGACTATCTGCAAAACTCCGAATGCTCTTAATCTCTGTACTGAAGCCATTCAGTTAAGGTAATTAGTACGTTGAAGGATTTTTATTTTGAAGATTTCTGGTTCATTGTTAGCGACTGGTATAAAATCACTGTTGCGTTAACTGAAGCATGTGAGTTGAAAACGAACTATTTGTAGATGAATAGCAGCTGAACTCTTCTGCTAGTCGAACTCTATCCCTATCTAATCTGCATGTATCACCCCCCAAAACAGTGATAATTCATAACTTCTAACAGTATAGTTTGCAAAATGGTGGACTACGTCTCAGAATCCAGGTGGTTTTGGCACTGATTTGGCTCTCTGGACTGAGTTAAACCGCTGATGAAATCGGCCCTAAACGAGCATAACAGTCATCCGGGATTAAGATCACTTCGATTTCACTAGCAAGTGCTATTTGTTGATGTCAGCGGTACCCACCTTCTTCTATCAGTCAATAGTGTATGTCATCATGCTACATCAATAAAACTTTTTATATGCATATAAACGAGTCTGTTCGATAAAACTTTGCTAGTGAATCTCAAGGCTTCTTTATTCCGTATGGTTAAGGTCGCTTAACTACTTGTATTTAGTTTACAAAGAAGTAAGGATAATAAGGGAAAAAAAATTATCAAGTTTGAAAAAGTAAAACTAATTCTTACTTCTTATCCACTGTTTTCAAAAAGGAATGTAACGACTCACGCGTTACATCGGATTTGCATAATTCCAGATTAACTTTTGGATAGTAAAATATGTAATTTAAGCACATTTCATCTCGTATACCTAAACCACCGAAAGTTACCTGTTCCCTTTCATTTGTATTGTAAGTACATGCAGTAATCAGGCTGTCACCCTGGTAAAATTAAAATAACATGAGATCAGTTTGTTAGGTTTCGAGAGATTTGACTGACTTCAAGATATTTGTATAAACCTATATACTACTGAATAATTGAGGTGAGTAGTCGCATACCACTCATATCAACCAGTAGTTGTTGCTGGCCAGATCGAGACGATCTAAACACGATATGATTACCAGTGTTTTGGCCACCACCCGATTTCTGGCTGTGTAAATTGTGAATTGCTAAATAATTTGTAAATTGTGAATCTGATTTATGGTATTAATATATGTGTAAAACTTGGGCACTGTGGTAGTGAGTAATTTTATTCAATGTATAACAGAGTGAAACAGTATTATTTACTGGATGACCTTTCAAACACAATTTATTACTTTTCATAATCATTTCATCAGTTATAATCACACGACTTCGAAACTTGAGTTGTATAGTCTTCTTGGTTCTCTCCTATTTGTCGTCGTCGGGGTAGTAGGATTTTCCAGATATCTGGGACAGGTGTTGAACCATTCCTATCACACGTATTTGCAGTTGATTCGATAAACAAAGCTTCTGTTATCAATCTCTCCCTCCACCATGTAACACTGGATTTTAAAACTGTCATCTTATCCCATCCAGGCTATTGTATGGTTGTGTGTAACTGCGTGTAGTGCTATAGCTGAGCTATTCTCTAGATTTCTTATCTTATTCGGGTCAATCAACCTAGATTTTGCTAGGCTTTTTATGTTCGGCTAGTCTGACTGCCCCTGTTCTACTAGTTTGACCTATGTATTTGACCTGACAATCATTGCGAACAGGGTATTAGATAGACTAAATTGTTTTGCTTTAAAGGCTCCACAGACAGGATCCTTCAACCGACAAAGCTTGTTTCTAATTGAGTTTGTGGTTGGTTTGAATGCCAGCCACTTTTATTTCTGCCTTGTTAAGAATTGTGCGTAAGGTTTCCGAGGTTCCTTCTTTGTATGGAAGTACTACTGATGATTTAGATTCCTTATTGTTGGCGTTGTCATTATGCTGAGCATATTTGACATGCATGTCGTCATTAATATTATTATTATTATTATCACTATCACTATCACTACTATCATTATTTATTTTATTTTTATTTTTACATTTCCCTACATACTTCCTGAGTAATTTATCAGGGTAAGTTTCAAAGCTTCTCCTAAATGCCTTACTTCCTGTCTTAGATTTCCCTTGGTATTACTTAGTTTTTGTGCTCAATCATGTAAACATTTCACCAATCGTATTTTTACTGACATAGGATGGGATGATCGGTACCACAAGTTCCTTCAAATAGCTATCCAGAAATCATGTGGTTTGAATTGATTAAGACCTCTGAGGTGAGTGAAAATTGGGCACACCGCTGATGAGCTCAGCCCCAAACGAGTAAAATGGCCGTCCGGTGTCTAGATCTCCTGGATCTGACCAGCTAGCAAACTGGATAACATGAGTGGTGTGCAACTAATCATCTCAATCAGTCAGTAATACATAGTTTTATGCAGACCGGCTTGCCTTCTTAATTACCATTTATGGTTCCCAGAAGAAACTACAACGAAGTCTCACCATTCGAACTGCGTAGACTGCAAATTGCTGACCACTTCACGAATTGGGAATTTGACTTAAGGAATATAAGTCGGCCTATAAAACGTCGGAGATTCAGTACCAGGTGAAAAATGAATTTGTCTGCACTATCAGTAAGTAGTACATGATTTATGTCATTTGTAAGATATCAACGTTTTAAAGTACATATCTGTAAGCACTCCAGTCTACCAATGAGTGATGTAACTATTTTTGCAATTCTTAAACATTAATTATCATTTTGAAACATCTTCCTTTTTCTACCCTAGATACTGTCATGAGATTAATTGGACATTTATTTTGTATAAATAATGTGTATCATTTTCATTCCAAAAGTATCCCTCAGCAATCATTTATCGTTGGTGAAAGAGCTAAATTGCAACAATAGATACATCAGCCAGAGAATTATTCAGTTCCTTATATACGTCAAAGCTCAGTGGTACAGTTTATGACGTTGGCTTTTTCGATAAGAAAACATGAACAGCCTCTTAATGTCACACTGCATCAAACGAAAAGACTCTTTTGGGGAATTTTTTCGCATGAACAGTAAACATTTAACAAGGTATACAACGCTTTTATCATCTACTTTAAATTAATTCTTAACTCATATAAGAACTTTTTAATCGCTGATAATTTTAAGGAATGAAAGACTCATGTATGTAAAACTTTACCTCCTGATGACAGTTTTACTTTGACTTTTGAAGACCTTCGATTTTAATTCCAAAGCCTATGATTATCCCTTCATTTTATGATAATCATTTCACCTTATAATGGCCTTGAACACAGGATAGTAGCAGCTAGGGATTGATAGTGTCCGAAGTGAGTCTAAATGACTTTTTCTTTTAGTTTAACATGGTCCAGTAGAATGTTCCAAATAAATGCATTGTTCCTGTTACTTCCTACGGAGTTAGGTTGGATATGTCTAGATCAAATCATGGATTTGTCTTTAAATTACATTCATACAAAGAACTACTGACTTTTCGTATATGCTTTACTTTGTGAAGTTCTTTTTTTGATAGCGAGCGGGAGAAGGGGGTGATATTTTTTCATTAGAACTCTGCTTGATCAAAGAGCAGAAAAAAAACCTAATACTATGAGTCGAAACTTTTATTCACCTTTCTATCAATGTCACTCATTTATCAATGTTATCGAAGCTCTGACAATTATCAGAATAACTGACTTACTATATGTAAAAGTACATTATTTGTATATAATAGAGTGACTATTGAAGTCTCTATAGAGAACTCATTTTCAAGCACAATTTAAACACACGGACATTTGGTCCAAACTTTCCAGGATCCAGATTTTCTTTTCAATGTCAATAATCGTTACACTGCATAGGCATCAATTTGTCAATCTGAGGTTATCCTTCATAGCATAACCAGTATTGCTTAGAAGTTATCAGTGATTAATCACAGAGTTGCATATGAAGAACACTTTTCTGGATTGGACATTAGTAACTAGTGTGACGTGTCTAGTCCTTTCTTTGGTGCAGACTGAATTCTATCAGTCAGGTTTTGCAATGTGGCCACCATTCTAGGTAGCTCGCCACCACGGTGCACATTGATTTGATGATATTAGATAGTTGGAGGCAATCGGCAGGAAAACCTGACTGATAGAATTCAGTCTGCATCAAAGGAAGGACTAGACACGTCACACTAGTTACTAGTGTCCAATCTAAAAATCCACTACAGTCCTAAAGGAGGTCAATCGGGAGCCCAAATAGCTCAGTAGTAACATCTCTGACTGCATCACTGGGTGACGCGGGTTCGAATCTCAAAAGGGACATCAGTTCCTTCAAGGCTGCAGATACGCCTTGCTGATGAGTGCCAGCTAGCACGAAACCTAGGTCCAAGGCTTCCTGCCGATTGCCCCCAACTATCTAATATCATCAGAACACTTTTCTATTCATGTTTTCTGTTAATCTTAGATATTAGGACTCAGAGAGTAACAAAGTCTAGCTACCTGTGTCTTGTAGCATAAATTTTCCAAACATTTTTAAATACTTACTGGTTTAATTTGTACTTGTTCGTAAAGTTGACGTATCTCTTGAAAATGTGGTGAGTAGTAATTATCTCTATTGAGATCAGGTAGTCTTGTTCCATTGCGTAAATGATGTGTGACAACTTTTATTCCCGTTGCATGTGTATGCAACTGTGAAGCGAATACAAATATCCCATTAGGTTTTGGTAAACTCTAAAATAATATATAAAACAGAAATATGTTTGTGACATTGTTGTTGTAAACGGCTCAATGTTTTATTCCTTACAGGACGCTTTATCACAAGTTGGTTTAAAATGTAAGCTGCCAACCATTGAGTTTTATGCTGTTGAATCAGTAGTGGCACATTTGTTCAAAGTTCTGCCCAATACTCTATAAAGCCATAAACTGGAATTATACGAATTCACTGTGCTGTTCCATTTTACACAGTTACCTTCTTGAAATTAGTATTCACTAAAAGTTATGTCTGCATTAAGTTATCTTCGAAAAGAACATATACATCTTCTCGGTTTTGTTGTGTTCTATTAGTTGGATGGTTGAATTGCTAAGCGTTCACTATCCATTTCGACAACTCCTTGAGCATTAACTTTAGTGGCAAGTGAGTCTTTGGAATTCTCTACGGATGGAATGTCTGTTTTTCCTGGTAAATTTCACTGGGGTCAGCTGTTCCTGAGGATTGCCTTATGATTATATCTACTCTTACTGCTATTGATTATCTCGTCGACTTGCTTGTGACAGTATGACTTAGTAAAACACATTGAAAAGGTAAATATCTGCTTGATTTTCATGAGGTCTCCACCATTCATCTGTGTCAATAAAACCGGTTTAATGTTGTCTCATGAATCATTAGATTACACAAAAGAGTTTGCTAAAAATCACACCCACTTTTGACAAACATAGTCGTAACCTTTAGATAAGACGCAGGAAGGATAACTGTACATGAAATGGTAGAATTTAGTTTTTCTGGTACACTTTCGTCAATAACCAATGAGTCCTACTTACTTCCAAAGGACATTTTTTCAAAACTAGTGGAATTTTAGTAAGAATTCTGAAGATTAATAAAGACCAATTTTTAACTACTTCGTTACAATTCAGGATAATGAACGCCTGGCTAGTTCTATTTTATCAAGTCTAAACAGAGTGAGTTGAACACCCGTTACAATCTAATTTTCCGTTTGTATTTTCAATCTCAGTTAGGCAGCGATAAACTGAAATTTATTCTCTCCTATATTACTCAATTTTTCATATCACTAGTTCGACTTCAGAAACTTTAACATCTAAATGGATGACGTTATTTTTAAATTGGCCTAACGCTAGAATATGGCAACTCCAAGTCTGAGACCCATAACAGTTGGTATCAGGTATCTCTGAAAGGATATAAGATAGACTGATATCCAACAAAATTTTATAGTTCTGACTGTGACCCTGGGTGACACGGATTTGAATTTGTCAGAAAATATCAGTTAAATACTGAGAAGTGTCAATGAGTACGGAAAGTAGCTCCAGGACGTTTTGCTGATTACTTGCACCTAACATTACTTCAGAGTGCATGGCTAGTCGCCTAGCCTGATGAAAGCGTTCCAAAACTTGACTAAGAGAATTCAGTGATGACTAACACCAAAAACTAGGCACACACTAACCAAGAGTCCATACTCTTACTTCATTCCCGGTGAAAAATAAAAAAAATAACCGGTAATGTAGTGAATACACTTAATAAGATATTCGAGAGGATAGCAAGAATGCGAACGAATACACATATCCCGGTGATTTTATTTCTCTGTAGTTGTATCACAACATTTGTGTATCTTTTCTCCTACGTTATTTCTTCACTATAACAATTATTTGATTAAGCCTAACAACAAAGATCAGATTGAGTGTTAACCTTGAATGTGCATGATCATTTTTACTAAGCACGATAAAGTAATCCGGATAATTATCTAACATTATGCGATAAAAGGTGCTGAAATGCCACTGAACAGTTATAGATAATAAAAACACTTTTAAGTTTGAAACAATGGCTGGTAGTTTCACATGCATCAAAACAGCGAGTCTACAGTTTCATCGAAACTCCTACGAAGTTCTGAGATGAGTTGTCTATTTGTCTATCTGCGTATTTTGAGCAGCTCCGTTTATAGTTTGGATAGAAGTTTTAAACTGATTAACAATTCGAGGAAAAGTTTTCATAAAGTTTTAATTCTAAAGTTAGGTAATTAATAATACATGCATATGTATCAAGGATGTGTGCGTCGGTGGTATAGCGGTTAGGACGCTCGCTGACCATGCACATGGTCCAGGGTTCGATACCCGGTCGACGCACTCCTTTACCTCGCTAAGCCAGGAATAAAAGCTGGTAAAGAGGAAAGGTTGGGCATGAGGCTAGCAACCTCATCCTGTAAAACAAACACTGCTACAGAAACTTCAAGTCACTAGCTTGAAACCCTATGTCCCACTGGGGAACATGAAGGAAAAAAAATGTATCAAGGATATTTCACTAGTTTCTGTTTGAAAATGAATCTTAGATTTAGGTCTCACAGAGAACCATGCATTCATAATAGATCATGAAATATAGATCATTGATTCATTGGTGGTTTATATCGCATAAACAGTTTACTAGACAAACAACGAACAATGTCTAGTATACAGCTTTAAGCAGATGATAGATTTTTGAAGGTTTTCTACTGTTTCAAGATACCAGAATGAGATCAAATCATTTTAAAACGCAACAAAAGTCTGTTTTGATGAGTTATTCACATCTTACCACATCAGTACACTGTGTATCACAATAACCAATTAACGTAAACTGTGATTGTCTCGGAGGGATAAAACTGTTTGGTGAATATACTAACCCAAGTTCCATTACACCCACATCATATGGTCGGCGATTACTTGTAATATAAAGACGAAATCCACTATTGTCTATGATACCTATAAATGAATAATTGTAAAGTAACTTTAAAAAATGTAAATGGTTAACATATTAACAATATCATCTTTTTTAAAATTACATTTTGCATTAAATTGGCAACTGGTTTCCTACTGTACCTGAAAACAGCTTTGGATGTAACCATCGCTTCCAGACATTCTCAACTGATAAGCATAACTTTTTAATTAATTTTTTAATTTTAGATTATAGCTTGAAACCACACTGTATTTTTGGTACAAGTGTGGAATTTTCAGCATGGATATCGGTAGCCCAAATTTTGCAGGCCAACCATTGATATCGGGTGTGCGTCGGCAGGGGATCGAACTCCAAACCATGTGCATGGTCGGCGAGATTCCTAACCACTGTGCCACCGACGCACAACTTGGGGGGAATCTATCTTAAATCTCTACCCCAAACCAAATTTTCTGGATAAGATTTTATTTTGATAAATGGTAAGCTGTGACCAGTAGGATACCGCAGGTTGTAGGTGAGGTAGTAACTCATTGAAGAAGATTTTGCGAAGTGCTCGCACTATATCATGAATTGGCAGAAATTAGAATTCATGGGCCATTGAGTCGGGTACCAGTGGCTTAATTGTCTACGAGGTCGCCTTGTAACCAGAAGGTCGTGGGTTCGAACTCCGGTGGTGGATGCGTGCTGATGAACAGTCCCAAACTAGGGAGAAACAGCTGTCCAGTACTTCCAGATTTTCCAATAGCTCTCTAACTGATTTCAGCTCATGATGAAATCCTTCAGCCAATATATATATATATATACTTATTTCAATTCCCCTGAGATTTTACACACATCTACTTATCACTCAGGACGTAATTTTTGCGCAACTATTCGGTCCAATCTTGATCACGGTTCATATGAGCTTCTAAGGTTACTTATCAAAACAGTCAAGGGCACTTACTGAAATACGTGGCAGCGACAGTTACCCGTGGACTTAAACACCCCCTCAACCCATCACCAGAGTGTATAAAAACAATTTATTATTACTTTTCAACTGCATTGGTCACCCTTATCTGAATACATAGTCAAGCGTAGTGTTAATTACTTCTCAAGTTTTAGCTTGTAAGGATTTGATTTGTTTCAAGTTCGATCACGGATTGAGATCAGTTAGAGAACCACTGAAAACAAGCAGGGAGTAGTGGACAGCTGTTTCACCCTAGTCTGAGACTATTCTGCAGTACACGCCCACTGGGTTTTGAGCCTGGGTTCGTCTAGTTACAAGGTAGGCCCGTAGACCACTTAGTCACTTGGATCCAGTCCAAAGCCCTCTGAATTATAACTTCTCCCGATTCGTGATTTTACTTCAACCACCAGCCGGCCGTTTGAAACCCAGTAGGTGCGTGCTGACGATGAATCCCAAACTAGGATGAAACTAGGTTTTCATTGGTTCTCTAACTGATCTCAATCCGTGATCGAACTTAATTGTTTTTATTCCTAAATCCTTTGTCAGTTTGTTTATCTTAATTGGCCTTTATTTTCATTATAAACTGACTTGACAAGTAATTGTGTAATCCGACTGTTCAAAATGTACTACGTGAATACATCACATTATTCATATAAACTCCCTCGTCTAATAAAACTATGCAAATGTGTTGAAGTGACTAATTGTTTTAAGGTTTATTAAGTGCTTCTTTCATAGATGTGGCCCACTGCCCCGTTCAAGGATCTTGATGAACTCCTTTATTCGGTTTTACAATTAACTGTTGTCATTTGACTAACATTTGCAAACGTATTTACAAGCATTAATCACCAAACAGAAATGTACTATTAGCTCACTCTAACAATCAAACGGTATTTTGTCCAATTATGGAATTAATAGGCTTAAAAAATTGTTTGAAAACACCTACTCCTTTTAATAAGTCTGTATAGGGTTATTAATGGCCTTCTGAGAACAGTTTATTGTTCATAGTGAAATCAAGGCACTCCAGCAGCCTCAAGTAACTGCTTAACTCAAACTCGTTTAATCGGAACAGATCTTTCGTTTGTCAGGTCATCAGTAGCACTTACTGTGTGTGGAGCAATGATCGTAGCTAGTATTTCGTGCTGCGGGATGAGGTTCGAACTCAGGGCTCATTGACTGGAAGCAAAGAGATTAGTTCAGTCAGCCGCGTATTCATCGCGAGCCTGAATATGACTTTGGTTGATAAACTGAGCTCGAAACGTCTCATTAATTTCGTATCACTATGTGTGACAGCAAATAAAACTATTTTACTGATATTTGTAAATTTTGGGCATTGTGGCAGTATGTAATTCGATATTAATTTGTTTGTTAGATATATCACAGAAGCTTTATTTATCGAATCAACTGAAGGAGAATATATGTATTAGGAATGATTCAACTCCTGTCGCGGACATCTGGAAAATTCTACTATCCCTACGACGAATAGGTAGGAATGAAAAAAAAACCATAAAAGGAAAGTTCCGAAGCTGTGTAGTTATAATCGACATGATTATGAATAATAAATTGTGTTCGAAACGTCATCCAGTAAATAATAATACTATCTCATTGTGTGATGTATCCAATAAACAAATAAGTATGGAAAAACTGTTTTACTATCGATCTAAACAATTTTAAAAAATCCTTATATACAGTGAACTGGATTACTCACCCGATAAATTTCCTGGATTATTATAGTGTATTTCGATGACAGCGTACTCTCTTCCTCTAGCTCCACCGACAGGAATTCCAGCTTCTTCAGGAAAAGTCAGACCCTAATAATTATAACACAACTCATAATAGCAAAGAATTTGCACTTAGTAGATAACTGAGGGTGAGGATAAGCAATCACTTACTTCTTTCCGACATTTTTATAAATATTCTGTGCAGTCTTATCAATGAATTATTTGGACCTTAACTGTAAAAAATATAAAATATTTATCGACCAACTGAATCACTGATTACATTTGAAATGAAGACCAAGATTTGAGCTGAATTCGACTTAACAATCGAAAAGATGCCTACCACTTAGGTATTCTACCGATTTAGTTACAGGACAGAGCCACGGCACACATTTTAATAATGCTGTGGTCATACGTCTATTATTTCATATCTTGCTAGTGAACAAAGATTGTGTTAACTGTTATAAGTATAAAACTTGGGCACTCTGGTGGAGTATAACTCCATTATGGATAAGATTCTATTTTCATAAATCACACAGTGTTGTACAGTAATATGAACTGATTATGAGCAATAATTTCTGCTGGAAACGTCATCAGTTAATATTACTGTATAACACTGTGTGATTTATCAAAACAAGATTGTGTTACATTAACTGACTAATAGGCTAACGAATTTTATTATGTAAATGTCTATTTCTCAAATATAAATATTTACGCGGTCGCTTACGAAAGACAGCTCAACCTTTCTGTGCTTGCATTTAACAATTTTCGATATATGCGGGAAAACAGTAAAAAGAAACATTCTGTTATCCGAATAAAATTATCTATGATAATATCCAGCCTAAACTGTTTGATGAAACTGAAAGTCAGTGAACGGAATTAGACAGTCTAGAAACACTCAATCAAACAGAGCTATTTATCATTCTAAAACCGAGTTATTACTTAGATAAAAGGTGATTTGAAACCACATATTTAAATACATCGTTCTTTTACTACAGCCATTTCACTACAATATAGTCAGAGGTGGTTTGGTAATGTGTAACCTGAGGTTTTAATTGTTATCTTAATTGCTGTTAAGTAAAATGTATGGTGTGTACATTTGGGATAGGCATATCTAAAGGTTGAATGGGTTGCTGCAGAATTTGAACCAGTGACCTCTAGATTAACAGTTTGGCCCTCTACTAGTTGGTCAACGAGACCCGAAATCTAGTTAATTATTTGCACACATAGAGTCAGATGAAACAAGTTATAGATAAAATGGATTCGTATTTTGAAGTTAATTGGTGGATGGTGATCAGCATTTCGTCCTACTTGGGATTCATCATCTGGATGTACCTACATTATCCCGGCGAGTGATAGTGTTCCCACCGAGGCTTATTTTCATCATGTTGATGATACGTTTATTGTTCTTGATGGGAAAGCTGACAAGAATGAAATGTTAGTGTTGCACATCCACCGCCAATCTTCACTTGTGAAGAAGAACATGATAGTAGATTACACTTCCTTGATGTTCATTTGAGCAGAAGACAGGATGGTTCATTCAAGACGGATGTCTATAGAAAACTTACGTCTGCAGGGCAATATACACATTTCTTCAGTTTTGTACCAATACGATACAAAATCAATTTGGTCAGATATCTCACGAATAGAGCAAGAAGGATCTGTACAGATGAATTTCCAGAATATAAATAAGGATACACCCAAAACAATCTGGTCCGAATCGGTTACGTCAGTATATTTGTAGGGAAACACATAAATGCTATGTATAACAAAGAGAAGCCAACAGCAGTTAAAAAGAAACAACTGTTCCTGAAACGGCAATTCAGTGGGAACGTGGCTAGTGAAGTCCTACATCTAAGATTATCGAGAGCAATACTACCTCCAACCTATGTTAGTCCCTTTTCAGCCGACCAATTATGATTGCTCAAGAGAAAGACAAGCTGCCTAGCTGTGCCAATTCTATGTGCATTTACAAATTTAGCTGTTCCTGTGGAGAAAGCTGTATAGGGCAGACAGTTAGACAGCTCGACAAACGTATTACTCAGCATCTTCCTTCATGGTTCGGAAAAGGTCAAATAAAATCTATAAGACGTTCTATTTTGGCTCATTTGATTGATAGCGGTCACCAAGTGGACAGAAATAGTGCCTTCATAAATATCTATAGCATTCCATCGAGCCTTTCGAATGGAATTTGAACCCACCTTTTGCACATAGCCGAAGCTATGGGAATTTGACAGAACAATCTCAGTCTTTGCATACTAAAGAAATTTGTTCTACCTTTGTCTCTCCTTTGGCCTAGGTAAATTCTAATTAAGAAACCTCCCACCCTTTGTTGTTTTCCATTTCCTTCGTACTTGTATGATATTTATTTATACTCTGTTTATCTGTCTACTTCACTTCTAGTACTACGTAACTTTTAAGATTTGACCTAATTTATTTATTGAATTGTCTACACATACACATATTACTACCTTTGTTATTCTTATCGCCACGTGCATAAACCTTACTGACATTAATTCTCTTATCATTATAATTATCATTATTTCTGACGTTCAGAACATTTATTATTAGTATTATTGTTATTTGATCCACAAATTCACCGTCATTGGTTAAATTTTCCTCATGACTCAATGGGTATTTTATATACAGCTTTGTAAATTAGAGTAAAGCCTGACGGAGGTCTAACTGAAAAGAATGTTGTTCGCTTATATGTCTTGTTAAGGGGATATGGACAGGTTCTTCAAATGAAATCTTGAGAATGCGAGTTTCTCATTTACTCAAATGGCAGAGGAGGTTTTATAATAAACTAGAATTCATTAATTGGCGAGATTGATCTTGTAGGGTTGTTAGACAAGTACTTTACATTGAATGTAATGTAATTCATAAATCAAGTGACATCTGTGAATACAATACTGAGATGCTTTGCATTTTTATTAGTATATTTTCTGTAGAATAGCACATACACCAAATGAATTTGAATTCTATGACCTGTATTTGCGATTGGTCTGATTCCTTATACAACATGACCACTGACCGATACAACCAAGGAGTAATCACTTTCACATATGACTTGCTGAACGTCATGGATTATAGCATCACGCTACAATTCAGCGTGCTTAGTTCAAATGTGGTCACTTGTTAGAACTGGAATTTCATTCATTATGGGTAAAATTTATTTTGATAAAGTCTCAGTGTTATCCAGTAATATTTAATGATTACGTTTCGAGCACAATTTATTGCTCATAATCATATCATTTTTGTTCAGCTTAAAAATCCCCACTAAGTCATATAAAGCCGCCCACACTTTCTGCCCCCAAGTAACATCTCTGTCTGAATCTACAATTCAGTGGAAACTCATCGGTAGAAATAGTAAAAAGCCACATGTCCTGACCATCGAAGAAAACCCTCCCAGCTGAACTTCTTCTACGAAACCAATGATTAGCATGAACGTGAAGGATAAGCTACCCTACCCCTACTGGTCTCATCAGTGTGTATCTGTTAATTCACCTACTCGTGTGGAGCTAAGCATGTCGGCCGTACACAGAGCTTGTTATCCATACGTGTTATTGAACAATTGCCCATATGGTTTCATAAAGGAGAAATTTAATCTGCTATCAACAAACGACCAACAGCGGATTACAAACTAAATTCGAAATTGGAACTGAGAAGGCAACATGTACCACTCGAATTCTTATATGCTGGGTCACAGGGATAGAATGGTGTTACATTCTTGACAAAATACGAGTAGTTATATGTCAAACTGGTGACTGAAAGTTAATACGCCTATCATCAAACGGGATTATTCATAGCTGCATCTCTTACCACTGAAAACTGCGATAAAAATTCTCTGATGACTTTTGTTTACTCGTGATTTAGTCAACTCCATATCACTGGATTTGTACACAAGAAAGTGAGCGAAAAGTGTACATTTTTATCAAAAGATATCCTGTTAAAATATCAGCCTGTTGAGTAAATGTTACGGTACTGCAAACAATACGCAATATTGAATTGAATCTGACTTACAACTGTCCCCATAGCCCAGGCTGCAATTACTTCCCTGCAGTGAGATAAACCAATTGGTTTCATTTCTGAATTACATGGAGCATTGTAATGTGGGATATTTGCATTTCCTGGACAGCGAAAGATTTCCATATGATGAACCAATCCTTGACTTGCCGGAATAATATCACTTTCATACTAGATTTGGAATAGTAGAGTGGAAATAAAGTGCAAGAATACGGATAAACAAGGACGGAATATCGGTTTCCTGAACCAAGTATAGCAGAAATCTATAAAATAGGAATTTTCGTGTGATAGAGTTTTACTGTTTTTATGTTTAGCAATACGTCGAGACTGAAATAGGATGGGGATATTGATGCTACAACTAGACGCGCTGATGACGAATACCACTTGACTACACCAACAGCATTATATGTTAGCTACCTGTTTCCTCAGTCAGCTCTATTTTAGCCAAAATAAACAACGACGTGAGATGAGGAGTATATTTAACATTACTCTTATAAGAAGTGTAAACATACTAAGAAAAACAATGAGATGCATATATATATGGGGTGTTGTGGCAGTGAAGATCACCATAAAAGGATATTTCCTGGCCAAGGACATAGGCGTGAGCGAAAATATCCGGACTGACGTTGATCCAATCTCACCGTAAACTTGTGACATGTCTGACTACATATTAACTCTACGAAGGTGCCCGAATTCCATATACCACTGATTGACTGAGATTACTAGTTGTTTACCATTCATATCAACTACTGTTTATTGCTAGTCAGATCCACGTGATATGAACACGACCACTCAGACTGTGTAGATTGCAAATTACTATTCAATTTGAAAATTGCGAATTTGATTTGTGCTCAAATTCTATACTTATATTGGTGTAGTTGTGTATTCTGAGTTGGATGTGTCGCCTGAGATGAAGTCAGCCATGATGTCTGGAAAGACAATGAAACATTTGCCATTAGACCATCGAGCTGAGAAAAAAACTACCACATCCAATCCCAATTTATTGTTCATTATCATATCAACTGTCAGTATGTCTATTGTTCCACTGAATGAAAATGGTTCAAAAGTGCAAGAGGAAAGTAGTGTCACTACTGTAAAACATCAGATTTTGGAAACTAAATAATGTTACATAAACAAATCCAATGTGAAGTCAGTGCTATTATACGGATCAGACACTTGCACTGCGCGTCATAAAGAGCATACCAAACAAACTACAGACCTTCATTAACAACAGTCTTCGCTCAATACTCAAGATCAGATGGCCGGCCAGAAAAGATCAGCAACAGGGAGGGATCTCTGGGAGCGAACCAACCCAGCAGGAACCGATTGTGCAACAAATAGGCAGGAAGAAATGGAGATGGATTGGCAGGCCATACTCTGAGGAAACCATCAAGTGAGTGACATCACTAGACAAGCCATTGCTCGAGTGGAACCCGAAAGGGAAGCGGCGAGTTGGTCGTCAGTGCAAGGGTGACTTGGAGGAGGTAATGTGAAGAGGAGATGAAAACGTGTGGGCAGACTTGGAGCCAGGTGAAGACTCTAGCAGAGAACCGAACGCAGTGGAGACACACGGCTGAAGCCCTATGTTCCTCTAGGAATTAAAGGACATAATAATAATAATAAATAATAGTAATAAACAAATCCTTGTAATGGTTATTTCATCTGACTGATTAAGCATCGTTCCCTCTAGTGAATGGCCTCCATTCTCAACAGTGGATGTAGTATGTTTATATATGAAGGGAAATATCACAATTCAGTTCCACTTTTAATCATCAAAGCCTATAGTTATTCGTTTGTGGAATGAAAATATGCATGTTCAGGGAATATGTCCACTACGAAGATATGTAGGCTGCACCATGAGAAAGAAAAAGAATAGTCAGAATAAAAAGAAATACAAACTGAAAATTCCGCTAATTTGGTGGTTATTGTGGTAGAATATTATTTACACAGTTTATCATTTAAAAAAAGGCAAAATGGAAAATTCCACATAATTTTGATATATGTATACCTTAATAATATGATGTTCCTTTGAGAAGTACGGAAGTTCAATAGTTTTGCACCAATATGTTGTTTCCACTGCGGGTATTTCAACCTGTAATAGAGATATAACTCTGGCTTAGTAATTATTCACAATATGTACATCGATAAACTTTTTATTGAAGTAATTTTGAGTTTCACGTTGAATGCTTTTACTTAACTTATCTCCGCTGACGTATCAACTTGTATTACAGGATGCTTTAATCACACCTCAATGTTAACATAATGCTTTTGATTGATGATTGTTAACACTAGACTGCATGACGCATGTTTCATCTGATTAGAATTCAGCTACATCTAGCCGACAAGTCCCAAACAAGATAAAATGAGCTTCCTGCATTCTGCTGTTATCCAGCATCAAATAAATAAACTCAAGTTTCGTGTTTCATTATATATGCATTATGCAAAGATTAGTTAACACGTCTGTGAAAGAATCGATCGAAAAATTATCCATACTGAGAATTGCTTCTATGCAGTCTCCCAAGCAATCCTCTTCATTGTCATTACTCGTGACAGTCAGTGATTAGTCTTCACTTGCTGTTATCCTTCAGTTTCATATATAGCTATATATACAGCTATATATATATATGTATATATATATAGGTATATATATATACATGTCTTTAATACTACACTAGAACTGAAAATGACTATCTTTAATCACATTTTTAAAAACAGGAGATCGTGCGAGGAGGAAATGAAAGGCTATGGGCGATCGTGGATCTAGTTGAAGAGGGCAGCACTAAATACAACAAAGTGGCGATTAGCTGCTGAAACCCTGTGTTACACTCGTAACCCAAGAGAAGAAGAATAAAGAATTTTAAAAAAACGGAAATACTATCACACATCAATATTCACAATTTCACTAATAGCATTTACCTGTTCAACACGAGCTAAGTGTATGTGAATGTGTTTATTCATTGTCAGTCCAGTGTACACTGGACTTTTTAATAATTGAAGAAATAACTTTTTATGTGGGATCTGTTTCATTTCAATATTATCCAAGAGAATTAATGGACTCATTGTGAAACGGTAGAGCCAATAAGCTTTTATTTCATCATTTAGAGTCAATTGTTCATTATTACTGTGGAATAAGAAGACACGAGTTGTTTGATTCTATGAAATAATCAAAATAGATAGACAAAGAAATAGGAGTTGTAAAGTATTAACTTTAAACTGAAACATTTGCTGAATGAAACGCAACGACAGGGATTGCATGAATTGTTTTTGTACACAAAGTTCTACCTTTATTCTATTTACTATCAAGTTTATGCTACTCAGGGCAAATGCAGAGGCGCAGTTTTTAGCACGTTTCACTGGATTTGAACTTGCAATCATTTATTTGGTTTAGTGACTAAATAATAAATTAAAATCAATGAGAGGCGGAAATTTAAATTAAATCATACTTTTCATGTCATCGGTTTATCTAATTAAATCCGAATATCTTAACCCTTGAAGGATATTTAATTGTTGAATCATAGACACTTAACATTTTAGAGTTTAGGAACAGATAATCGACAAGTAGGTTTGGACTTGCTTTTAAGCCTGCTGACACTTATGGATAGGTTATATATTCAACCGTTGGGGGATTCATGTTACTCTTATGGTTTAAACCTCGACTGATAACTGCTATTTCATTCAACTAGTTCTCCTGATTAGTTTGAACAAAGAGAGAAAGAACAGATGTGTAAGATAAAAAGAGCAGACCTGACTGATAGAATTCCGTCTGTATCAAACAAAGGACTATACACATTACTCTAGTTACTAACTAGTGTACTACAGAAGGTCAATTGCGAGCCCAAATAGATCAGTGGTAACGTCTTTGACCACTCGAATCTCAGTAGAGACATGAGTTCCTTCAAGGCTGCAGATACTCCTTGCTGATTGGTGAGTACCAACTAGCACGAAACCTAGATCAGGAGGTGGGGCTTCCTACCGATTACCTCCAACCATATAACATCAACAGTTCAAAGTGCACCATGACGGCGAGCTACTTAGAATGGTGGCCGCATCTCAAACCTGACTGAAAGAATTCCGTTTTCCCCAAGCAAAGGACTAGACATAACGCACAAGTTACTAGTGTCTAATCGAAATAAAAAGAGCTTATTTTTTCCTTCACGGCTTTTTATCAACTGCTGGTAGCCTAAAAGAGACAGCCTGAAAAGGACACTTCCCGCCTCTAGGCTAATTTCACTTTATAACACGAAATGCTCACTAATACAGTGCAAAATAAATACGTATCCTGACCGTGTCAACTCTAACTCTAATTACCAGTTTACATATACTTGCGGTAGCAGTTACATAGGGAAGACTGAGAGAAGAACATCTACCAGATTTCCGAGCATGTCCTCAACAACCTTCATATGGAAAATTAGAAAGTGTTTGCAAGTGCAGTTGCTAAGTGTCAGAATGGCACGGTTGTTTATTCAGAATCAGCCAGACTTTAAAAAAATAATCAATATACAGAGAAAACTCTAGCTAATTCGCTTCACAGAAGCCACTATTATCAAATGAATACAACCTAATACCTGCATGCAGCAAGGCGGTATGATTAGTCTTCTGCTACCTTTGTAACTAAATGTCTCCACTCTGTTTGCTTCCTTTTGCTGAATCAACATTTTTGACTATAATTCATTGAATTGAATTCACTGTTAATCTTTTAACCTACTTAATCGTTTATATATGTAACTTTTAACAGTTTGAAAAAATTTGGGCATTGGGTATACGATATTCATTATAATAAAGGTTTTTTGTATTTCGCAATGAATGAAAAACAAAACGAGAATCACATTGTCATAATGTCACGAAAAGGAGACAAGTACAAAAATTCTTGAAACTGGGAGAAAAGAAACAACCAAAGAGAATCTCAACTAATAATACGGAGAATATTAGAGCCATACACATGTCAGACAAGATTATGAAAAGAATGCGACTGGACACCTATCCGAAGGACCATACTTACTCATTGAAGAAATGAAGAGATCTGCCGAATTCAACAAAATGAAACTAAATACAAACAGACTCCTTCAAGAAATGAAACCCAAAATTTGAAATTCTCTCCGGTATAAACTAGAACCAAAATCTTATGTACCTTCAAGATTCTACGGCCAACCAAAGACACATAAACCCACAGTTCCATTAAGACCAGTAGTAGATTTCACCAACTCACCGACATACAACCTTTCTAAATACTTATTTTCTATTCAACAACCACTGCAAAAGGATACTCTAAATATTGTAAACGATTCATATGATTTCAAATCCCAAATAGAACACCGAGAAATTGATAAAGAAGACATTATGCTAAGGTGTGATATTAACCCATTATATACTAGTATCCCTATTACCGAAAGTCTTGATATCATTTCCAGTCTTCTAGAATCAGATACAACGCTATCACAAAGATGTCCACTGGACACGAGTGAAATAACTAAGAGTTTAAAATTCTGTCTGGAAAGTAATTATTTTACATTTAAAGGGAATTTATATAGATAGACAAATGGTGTTGCTATGGGTTCACCAGTTTCCCCAATAGTCGCTGACCTTTTCATGAATAGATTCGAAGATAACATCTTTTCAAGCATACTCACTCCTAAAATATGGTTAAGATATGTGGATGATACTTTTGTAGTGCTAAAACGAGATCTAGACAGTTCATTCTTGGGGAAAATGAACAATCTATCTCCCGGCATCCAGTTTACTGTGGAAGCAGAATCAGACGTCAGTGAACTACCATTTCTAGACTGCCTAGTTAACAGGAGGGAAAACGGACATTTTAGTATATCCATATTCAGGAAGAAAACCCACTCCAATAAATATTTAGACTTTGGATCATCACACCCCATCAGTGCAAAGATTTCAGTTGTTTCAAATCTTCTTAGACGAGCACACTCTCTGATAACGGATGAGAAAGAAAAAGGAGAAGAAATAACAAACATTACTGAAACTCTCAAGCAAAACAATTACCCAACGAACTTCATCAACAAAATCAACATTGACATTAAGAATGGTCAAAAACGTATTCCGAAAACATGAACCACAACAGTTATCATTCCATATAGAGTAGAGACGTCAGACGATATCAGCACAGTACTCGATAAGGTCGACAACAGCGTTTCGATCAATGAAAAATATACTTTGGCTTCTGTGTGTTGCATTCTGCTGTTATAATACTATTCTATAGTTAATTCCTCTACCTTCTCTTAACTCTGCGACCAGTAACGATCAGAACGGGAATAATTTTACTGACAACGTCTTAAAGCCACACTGACAACTTCATATTGGAGTATTCAACGTCAAGACCTTATGCTAAATTGGGCAAGATACCATAGATGTGTTGTGCTTCGAAGACACACATACAAGGTCCAACCATGGTCATCTCCTTAACTTCACATGACCAACAGACTAGACCATATAACTAGGTTACTTAGAGGATGACTGCCTCTTTGTGCTCCGACTCATCATCGGATAGAAACCTTGAATCTACTAGAACCTGGGAGACATACTCTGCATGTATTTGAAGATCTGACTGACCTAGTAAGTGTGACTGTTGATTCAGTAAATTTCGGAATAAGATAACACTGCTATCCTCCACCACTGTGAAGACAAGGTTCTTATCAATGAGGTTATTTAAGTATGGATTTATTAAATGAACTGCCTTTTTCGGAAGATTCACGTTAGTTGTTTACCTAGGCATGTACTTCACCGCTTTCGCCAACATCACTCCGTATGGTTTAGTAAGTGATAACTCTGGTACATTGATATCTTTTTGGCAGCATATAACTGGCATCTTCATTTACTTTCAAATACTTCGTTCGATGTTATTTACAAATTCGACCTGGCTGTAATTCCATATAAGTTTGTCTATTAGATGTGTCACACAGTGAAACAGAATTATTACTTACTGGATGACGTTTCGAACAAAATTTATTGTTCATAATCATATCAACTGTAATCAAACGACTTCGAAACTTCATTTTTGTAGTTTTCTTTGTCCTCTACTACTCCTACAACAAATAGGAGAGGACAAAGAAAACTATAAAACTCAAGTTTCGAAGTCATCTGATTATAATTGATATGATTATGAACAATAAATTTTGTTCGAAACGTCATCCAGTAAATAATACTGTTTCACTGTGTGATACATCTAATAGACAAACTTATATGGAATTACTTACTACCACAGTGCCCAAGTTTTACACATATATCAACCTGGCTGTTATGGAATGATAATGTAGAGAATTTGTAGCTCAGGTGAATAATTTTGATTTAGCTATGTAATCTGAGCTGATTGATTTAATTACGAAGCTTTCAATCACTCTTATAGACAACATCTTCTTTCATTTCAGGTTTCAGTATGAAATGAACTGGTATGAATTCTCAATGAATGATATAATTGTGTCACCTGACAACTGTTGTCGTGATTGGTTGCTAATCAACATCTCTATTGATCATTTTTATTCACTTAGAATTCGAACTTTCTTGTCATGTGATTTACCTTTTTATTAGCTGTTGAATTTGAACTACAGTAATGTGTTTCTAAATCGCTGATTCACTTGAGTATCAGACCTCTAGGAATTCCCTGGTATTTTTGATGTTTCCTCTACTTAAAATTTCTACACTATCCCAATCGAATTGTTGTCCATAATAATTATCCACATGCATTGGTACGAAAGAATATATATCATGTCTTTTTACAGTCAGTTTGTGATCTTGGATTCGGATTCGAAGGGGACGCCCAATTTGACCGATGTAATGTAAGTTGTAGTTCATACAGTTTATTTGGTAAAGAGTATTAATTTCGTCTTCTTTTCCTGTTGGATCTTTCGGTCTGCACAATATCGAATGAAGTGACTGTGCTGGCTACCTTTTGGTCTGTATCTATTTCAAACAGTCTTAATATTCTATCAGTTTTTTTCGGAGATATTTTTTATATATGGTAGGATGAATTTTCTTGTAGTCTTTGGTGATGGTTTCTTTTTGGTGTTCAAACACTTAGAGTTCAAACACTTTCTGATGGAGCTGTGTAGGAATTCGTTCTTTATGAAGATGGGCGATTTCAAGAAGCCTGGTACTCAAGGGAATAAACAGTTTACAATAGCTCAGTCTCTGACCGCAGCACTCGGTGACTCAGGTTCGGATCTCAGAAGGGACATGAGTTCCTTCTAGGTTGCAGATACGCCTTGCTGACTGGTGAGTGTCAACTAGCACGAAACCTAGGTTAAGCTGTGCTTCCTGCCGATTGCCTCCAACTATCTAACAAACACATTAATGTAGTTCAAATTCAACAGCTAATTAAAAAATAAATCACACGACAAGAAATATCGAATTCCAAGTGAATAAAAATGATCAATAGAGATGTTGATTAGCAACCAATCACGACAACAGTTGTCAGGTGACACAATTATATCATTCATGGAGAATTCATACTAGTTCATTTCATACTGAAACGTGAACTGAAAGAAGATGTTGTCTATAAGAGTGACTGAAAGCTTCGTAATTAAATCAATCAGCTCAGATTACATAAATAAATCGACATACTACTCAATAATATTTATAAATTTACAAATGTTGAGTATGACCTGGAAAATATTCAAAATAACGTTTCACTCAAATATTTCCTACTTATAATATGTTTCAAGAAATTTTGAACTATCTCATAAGCCTTGTAATATACATTTTGAAGTCAGGGAGAATGATAATTCTTTCACGAATTCCCTTAATTAACTAATTAATAATAATAGCTTTATTCCAAACACTATTTGTGGTACAGGTATGGAATTTTCAGCGTACATTACAATATTGCATCTAATTACCTCATAAATTTTATAAGATTTTAAAATAAAAAAAACAACAGCAAGAAAAAGAAAAGAAATAAAAAAGAACAGCATTGCATTCACATTTTAAACAATCCACCACAGGGTATGAAATATAAAATTAATGTGTAATAGAATATGTGAGAAACAATATAATAGTAACAAAGAAAGGAGAACAAAAGCTAATGGGAACTATTTGTTAGAGTGCCGCAGTAAGTTGATCGTGTCATACCTACCGGATTTCTCATGACATAACAGCTGTGCCAGATAAGGTATTGTGGAGTTTTTGTACTTGGTAGTCGTAGCATATAGCCTCCTACAGTTGCTTCTAGTTCTACCAGATGAAATGCAAGGAGAGAGCTGCGTATAGAGAGGATGCTCGGGGTCTTACAATATAGTATTCGCTAGTTTCTTACATGACATTATATGTCTATCCACAATTGTGTTAACCAGTTGGTTTAGCGAAATCCCACTTGCCCTACTAACAGCTTTTAGTGCCCTACGCAGCAGAATGAAACAAACTCATTCTATGTATCAGTGCTATGGTCTCTAAGTGAACAACTAACCGACGATACCTGAAAATCCTGAACACTGATTACTCTGAAGTCAAACGCCCTCAGATGTTCCCAGTTTCACTTATATGTATGCTTTAATTCATGCTATTTTCTCGACAAGTACTCATGTTATGTGAACTTTGTTCATTGCTGCCTGATTGAAATGTTGTTACATAGAGCCATATCGTTTCATTGTACTATTTAGTCACCCACTGGTTACATACTGTTTTTCAGTATATTCCCCCATATTTACCAGACCGACAAAATCGTTTATCAGTTTTATCAAAAAAGCCTTAGACCACACAAATTTCCATCCATCACCTATTAGCCATTCCTTATCGTTTTAATCACTGATGTACACCCTTGGTTCGCTCTATATAATTACACATCTTTATTTAACTTCCAGCCTAGTAATAGGCATTTCTCAAAGTAAATAAAGGAACATATCGTAGGAGGTTGGATCTGTTTTCAGGTCACATCATCCAGGAGAGACTATAATAAGACGTTTTGGATGTAAAACTTCGACCGGAACAAGCTGGATTCAGGAAAAGTAATTCATTCGCGGATCAGATTACAAACAGACCATAGAATGGCAGTCAACTCTTTACGTCAGTTTCAAAGGCCTTCGACGGCGTCGACTGTGAGGTAATTTAGAGACTGGTTCAACACTACAGAGTACCCCAAATCTCTATCGACCTCACTGAACAGCTATGATGCCCAATATCAAGTGATAAACAACAAAAAAGTCAGCGAAAGCAAGACAAGTCTGTTTACTGTAATCGATCATCTGCCTAACTGTGGTGGTCTAGATCTTACAGTAGACCATGAAGAGTGGGGATACAAGAATACGTTGGGCTGAAATGAATTTTCCAGAATGTCTAGACTCCACAGAAGATTTATGTCACACGAAGTTGGCAGACATGTTGGCAGAAGGAACAGCAGTGACCTGATCCCAAGTGAACACAGAGAAGACAAGAATGATAAAGAATCCTAATCTAAAGCAACAACAACAAACACCAACCGCTATCCACAGAAAGAATCTAAGGGGAGTTACTTATTTCACTAAACGCTTTCAGCTAGATATAGTGGCACGGATGTGGATGTCAAAGCCAGCTTAGATTGGAAAGGCAAGAAAGATATTTTCAACTCTGAAGTCATTGTGGAAATCCACTGTTCTCAGCAAAGGAAATAAGTTCCGGATTTACAGCTCTAATGTCAACTCAGTCAATGATTGCATACTGTTCAGAGACTTAGCACGCGCTACTGAAGATTCTTATCAGGATCTGCCTTCGCTTCATACTGAAGATCCGAAGACCGGTGAGGAAGGAAAAGCAACAAAGAACTGTGGCAGTACACCAACTAAGAACCTGTTACACGAAAAATATGCGGAAAGAAGTCGACATGGATCTGACATACTCTGAGGAGACCGCTGAATGACACCACATGCCAATCTGGCCCTCGAGTAGAAGCCAAATGAAGAAAGACGAGTTTGGTAACATGGAGAAGGTCGTATGAGGAGGAGATGAGAACTTACAGACAACCGTGCAGCCAAGTAAAAGAGGGTAAAATGGAGATGTACCTTTGAAGTCCCATTTTTCACTCGGGAAGCAAGGAGATAATAATATCATATAATAAGGTCTAATTTCATCACGTTACATAATATTCTACCGATTATTGTTTCAACTAAAGTTACTGTACGAATATCGAATATTTTTCTGTACTGTATGAAATCCCATCATACTGAATAAATCTGCTATTCTCATTATTACTGTAATCGTTGTTATTGCGAGTGAATGTAGTCATAAGGCTTTTAAAAATAATTTTTCGACAAACTATGCTCACCGTAGATATGTAAACACTTTTTTTTAAATCTCAGAGAAATAGAAATAAACAATTCCAAAGTTATATATTGTATGTCAGTATTGACTTCTTTTGTTCGTCGGTGGCACAGCGGTTAGGACGCTCGCCTACCATGCACACGGTCTGGGGTTCGAACCCGGCCGACGCACTCTCTTACCTTACTAAGCCAGAAATAAAAAGCTGGTAAAGCGGAAAGGTTGGGCATGAGGCTAGCAACCCTATCCTGTAAAAATGAACACCGCTACAGAAACTTCAAGCCTCTAGCTTGAAGCCCTATGTTCCACTGGGAACGTGAAGGAATTAATAATAATAGTAATAATTAACTTCCCTAAAGTAACTCAGGATATGTAAATGGTTTTGATCATCCATAGACACTCTAACTTACAGTTAAGTGATTAATGTAGTCAGATTTTATGTATGGAATTTCAAAAATCCTAGAGAGTAGTTCAGGAATTTTTGTAAATTGGCATATTTTATGGTTTTGGATCTGATGAACTGATTTCCGTTTTAAACATAGCTTCCCCGAATACATAAATAGATGTGACCTCCAGTTTTATTCTGGTATTATTTGCCTTTGCCAACAACCCTCTCTTTAATAAGTCTGCCGTCCTCTTTTTTTCAAGTCGTTCAGGTGCGTAAGTATGCCATTATCCAATTTGTTTTCAAATCCATTAGTGTTATAAAGTGCAGATTATATTTGATCTCCAGGAAAACTGTAGATCTCAATGTTAAATTTAATCACACTAAATCACCTACTTCCAAGCGAAAATAGTAGTTAATGATTAAAACAAAAAAAACTTACATTAATTGTGTAACCATTTTCATGACAAGAAATGGCTTTTCTTCCAAATTTAAAACATATCCTTGGATGGTCAGTTTTAATTTGATTCACTTTGTACAACACGCTTTCCGTAGAATTCCTAAACTGAAGGACTGTGTTTTCATTTGTATAACCTTCCTGTATTCAAAATATTATAAATATGTGATTGAAGAAATGTTAGGGAATGTCAGTAAAATATACGAAATAGAAATTCTCAGTAAACTAAGACTACTCGAAGAATCATTGCATATCGGAGGAGCCTGATGAAATTCCCCCGACAGCTGATTTTTTTCTCTGCAAAACAATTCTAAGCGATTCATTTTCCAGATGGATATTTAATCATAAATATCAAATGAAAAGGTCAACTGTTTCCTGCTGTGTGTAAGTAAGTTCGATAGAAAATGACTTATGATTCTTTGATTTTACTAATCCTTGATAAATGTAACTGACATAATATATTTTTTATGTTAGCTAATTAGATAGACCAGTCCCTGAAAATGTATTCATCCAAGAAATCAAACTCACAATCTGTGGATTATAATTCGAGGTGAAATTTTACCGCAGTTTCCCACGGAAACTAAAATTTTGATAGCATTATTAGAAGACGGAGATTATCTGAAAAGCAATGTGATGTATTAGCGCTATACATTTCGAGCAATCTGATCACACATTTACTTGTCAAGTCAATATATATGGAAAAGTTAAATTGAACAAAGTGCCAAAAAGGAATTGAGAATAATTAACACAAACGTTTAGTAATCCAATCATATTAGTCTTACATGCGAGGAAGAAAGTCGCAACCAGCTAGCATTTTTAGACATACTTCTGATTCGAAGAGACGATGGCTCAATAAGACGGTCTATCTACAGAAAGCCCACTTGGACAGGGCAATACCTCAATTTTCACAGCTTCTGTCCATTACAGTATAAGAGAGGCTTAGTGAAGTGTCTATTTAAGAGGAGTCAGCGTATTTGCACGGCTTATGTTATCGACAAGGAAAACGAAATATTAATGGATACTCTTGTTGAAAACGGATATCCTTTGAAATTTTTAAACAGGTGTAGAAGTCAACTAGCCTCTAAACCTACAATCCATACCGTCCCTAAGAAAAAGGTTTTCATCAAATTACCATATAATGGGGAAATAAATAGTAGGATTTTTAGACAAAGGTTGAATTCGATCATCCGTAGAACCTACTATGCAGCCCAATTTGTAATTGTTGAAAAAGCTAAAAATATGCTTCACTGCAAACCTCAAAAGTGCACAAGTGATTATATCACATCCCACACAATTTACCAATTTTCGTGTGTGTGTGGACATACATACATACATAGGGAGGAGTAATCGCGCGTTGCACGTGAGGGTGGGAGAGCATATCCCAAAATGGTTAGAAAAACAGATGAATTGTGACAAGCCAATAGATGCAGATGTCAGACCACGAACTTCGTCTATAGCTAAACATTTAATCGAGATGACCTATAAGATTGATGTTAACTCAGCCTTTAAGGTCATCTATAAAAACGGTCAACGACGTTTACTGAAATACGCTGAGGCTATAGCCATTCATAAACTTAAGCCCCCCTTGTGTATTCAAAAGCAGTTTGTTATTACTCTTAACCTACCTTGGTAATCCTCATTTGATTGGATTACCAAGCGTTTGTGTTAATTATTCTTAATTCCTTTTTTGTCATTTGGTTTATATATTGACTTGACAAGTAAATGTGTGATCAGATTGTTCGAAATGTATAGCGCAAATACATCACATTTTTCAGATAATCTCTGTCTTCTAATAATGCCATCAAAATTTTTAAAAGGGACTAACTGTTTTAAATTTTTGAAACTGAAATTATTCAGACCGCAATACATAATCCGCTAGATACTATAAATGGCAATTGAGAAACTAATTCAGATGTCTGCGCTGAGTCAGACGGCGAACAACTGATGATGAGCTGGCCCCCAAACGAGCGAAACTGCCGTCTGGCTTTCAGGTCACTTCGGTCTGGCTAACAAGTACTACCGTATGATATGGGTGGTACACATCTACTCATCAGTACTGTATAGATTTATGCTAATATTCATTCAAATTTATTATAGTAAACTGGTGAGTATTAGGTTTAAAACTCATTAAAAATGTGGATGAAAAGTTCCATTGTGTTCAGCACTTCGATAACTGTGTATGTAACGAGAATGGTATGAATTGTCAGGGCTTATTTTTACATTGATGGCAATTACCTACCTGCTCAGAGTTATCAGTAACAGTGTTACTTGGAAATGAAGTCACCTGATGAAATCCATATGAGTTGTGATCATACTTCTAATAAATATGGAAGAGTGTCAATGGTAGCGAGCTAATTTTTCGACCAACTGCATCTAAAGATCAGTGTCACATTTTCATCAAGTTAAAAAAACTTAGATTCTATGCGATTCACAAAGCAGCTTAAATGATCATTCTACTTGAAAGCTTACTTCTGTTTTCATTGAAGTTAGTTCAGATGACTTCGCCAATCCTAAAAATGAAACATACCCTATGAAACAAACTACGGTGAAATTCACACTACTATCACTCTGATCCTAAAAAATAAACCCCTTAAATTATTCAGAACAAATTATTTAGAGTGAACAATTGTTTTCAATGAATTCTTCTTCAGGCTCTACAATTATAAATCCATTAATTTAAGCATACAATAGCCAGTAAAGGCAAATTAGAATCATATCAGAAAGTGTATTGTGGAAAAAATATAAGATGGGATGGAACAATTATTTCAGATTTCATAATTAGCTACGGGTGGAAGTGGTAATTCGATAGAAATATTTCGCAAAACCCCACTGTCAACAATTATCCACGTGTTGGTCAAACAAACATTATGCATTTTATCTAAAAGATAAGAAGAACACGGAAGTATTGCTTTTAATAGTATGATTTTGTTTCATGGAGTAATAGGTCTCGCTTTGCACTAAACATTCATCTTCTTTTGACTATATGTAAATACATTTTGGTTCATACATATACTTATATATATATATATATATATATATATATATATATAGCCCATTAAGATGTAGGGTATCATCAGCCGAAACATCTAAAAAGTGTTGAAACTAAGTTAGTTTCTACTTAGGCTAATGTTTCATAAAACATTAAGGCTTTTATTGATATAAGAATAAAACTTGGGCACTGTGGTAGAGTGTAATTCCATTATGGGTAAATTTTATTTTGATAAAGTCTAACAGTGTTATACAGTAATATTTACTGATGACGTTTCGAGCACAATTTATTGCTGATAATCATATCAAGGTAATCACACGACTTCCTAAATTCATTTATATAGTTCCATTGTTTTTCACTTGATTTTTACTTGATTTGATTGGTAATAATATTTTCCATATTTCGGATATGAGTGATGATTCATTCCTATTGCATGTGTTGGGTGTAGATTCGATGAACAAAGATTCAGTAATCAACCTCTCTCTCCACCTACCTAGATTACTTTTTAGAATTTTAACCCTCTCCCACCCTATTGTGTGGTTGTGTGCTAATGCATGCAGTGCAATTGCTGACCTTTTTTCTAAATTACTTATCTTCTCTGGGTCAACCATTCTTACCTTAGCTAAATTCTTATGTTCTGACAATCTGACTACCCCTGATCTACTAGTGTGACCTATGTAGTTGACCTAACTCACAGTCATTGCAGGGTATTTTGTAAATTATATCATTTTGTCTAATTGGGTCCACTGGGTCCTTTAACCTACAGAGCTTGTCCCTGAGTGAGTTTGTAGGTTTAAATGCCACCCTAATTCCTGCTTTATTTAGAATCCTATGTAGGGTCTCAGGCTTTTATTCCTTCGAATGATCCCACGAAGGTCATTCTTATGTTTCAGTCAATATACATACGATTTTACAGCCTTCGAAGATGACTTCTTTGATGAAGAAAGTTTTCTTCTCCGAATGCCCTTTTAATGTCTTCACTTGGTATTAGTTATTAGGAGATTTTCCTCAGTTCACATTCACATATCACTGAATGTAAATTCGAACCCTTTTCATTTAATTCTTTCACTTGCTCATTAGAGTTTGAAATATCTGTTTAACAGCTTATGAAGTAAATTAGGTATTTTTTTCAATTATCTAACTCACGGTTGTATAATGCTGCAGAATTTTGGACGCGTAATGATTTGAAAGTTATTCTTAAACTAACAAAGCTAGTCATCCATTGTATAGTGCTTTGATGTCAGGTGACTGAAATTAGTTGGCAGGAGAACTCGCAAGTAGGCCACGTGATTATCGGAAATTGTTAGCAAACTTGAGACAACAGACTAACCTTGTTGTCCTCTGCCAGGAAGCACAAAACATGTGTCAGTCAGGCCGTCTTGTCAACTAACTTCTTATACCTTTTAACAAAAGGATCTTGAGTTATATGACGGGTTTTGCCCACGTGACTACTTCTGTATACTGAAATCCACTCTTTCCACAGTTATATACTTATTGTCGTCAGCTAAGTATACCTTGATTCTTTTAGAGAATCAATTTCAAGTAAACCTTCAAGCCGACAACGCTTTACCGCTTCTTTTTTATTCCCTTACGTTCCAAGTGGAACATAGGGCTTCAAGCTAGAGCTCTGAAGTTTCGGAAGCAGTGGTTTTATTTTTACAGACCCAACCTTCCGTCTTTACCAGTCTTACTACCGGCTTAGTGAGGCTTAGGTATGCGTCGGTCGAGGACCATGTGCGTGGTTGGCGAGCTTTGTACTGCCGAAAACCATCAAATAACAAAAGCTATTGTTTCTGAAACAGGAATTTTAAATATACAGAGGTAGATTACCAAATGAATATTAACATGATTTTTGTTGTTGAGCCTTTAGCCTCACCCCAATTATGTCCCCTACAATAACAGTTAACGGGAGAAAGCGATACGAAAATGATTTCCAAGTGTTTGTTTGTAGGCATCTGATTTGTTTTAATTTTGACCACGGATCGATATCAGTTACAGGACCATTGAAAACAAGCCGGGAGTACTGGATAGTTGTTTCTTACTAGTTTGGGACTCGTCGACAGTAGGCATCCACAGGATTTCGAACTACTTGCTGGTGGCTGAGGTAAAATCATGAACCACTGAGTAAGTTCCCAGTGGCTGAATGGTTTACGTGCTTGCCTTGCAACCTGGGTTGGAAACCTGGTGGGTGTGTACTGCCGATGAGTCCCAGACTAGGAAGAATCAGTTGTTGAGTACTCCCTGGTTGGTTTTCAATGGTTCCCCAACTGATGTTGATCTTTGATCAAACTTAGGACATGAAATTCAACTATCCGTTACTTTGATGGATAACTTATTTACATAAAATGTGTTTAATGAAACATGAAAGCAGAATTCCAAGTAGCAGTTAGATACCATAACTCACTTAACAGAATATTACCTTGTGTTAATGAGATTTATGGTTCAAATTCTTAGTTAAGTCCCTTTTTATTTTTCGACATTATTTAAATATTTCAAATAGAATTCAGACTATACAGACTTATTCAGAGCATGGTGCAGTATGACGACGAGTAGCTAAAAGGTAACATCCGAGACTGCAGAACTGAATGACGCCAGTCCGAATCACTGAGATCAAATCAGTTCCTTCATGGTTGAAGACTTGTCTTACTGACGAGTGCTAATAAGCCCGAAACCTAGGTCTACGGTTTAATACCGACTGCCTATAGGCATCTAATAACAATTTAAAGCTCATCGCGTTAGCGAGTTTCATAGCTCAGTGACAGCATTGCAAACTTGAATGGTAGAATTGAGTCCTACGAAATACATGATACTGGTTCCTTTCAGTGACTAATTGACTGTCAAGTCTTTAGATCTACAGAGTGCTTACATGCGTCTAAAGGAGCAGCAGAATTTGTTTTCCATGCATTTATACAACTAAACATCCTACCACCTTTACAGTATTTTAGTATCGTGTTTTTAAAACATTACTATGAGGAGTTGCCTTCACAATATCTAAATAAATAAAAACTTACCATGAAAAAATATTCATAATCATTCCTGAATGCTTTATTAAGAAATGGAAAGTATAACATATAGAATTCCACACCAACTGGTTCATCCTTTTGTCCAAATCCGATGCCGAAAAATTCCGGTAGCCTCGTCCTATCTACTTCATAATTTACTTTATTTGCTGTAGGCTGATTCGCTTCCATGATATTGAAACAAACAGAGAAATTTAACCATTTTTGTTGATTGTCGATTGACCATTTAAGACTATAGGCATCATTCCTATTCAAATTTGCTGAATACTGAAAATGGACAGTATTGGAATTCTGAATCCAAACATTAGAAATGATAAATACTGTTAAAACTATTCTAAGCATGTATTTAAGAGTAGTATAGTCGGTTAGCGATTTAGCTGTTTGAGGAGTCCCCGACCATATCTTCAAAAATATGTTGTCTTCGTAATTGACTGCTAAATCCATTGGAAAGTAGAAAGGCAAATTATTCGCCGCTTAGGTGTGTGTGTCTTTTTAGCGTTATTATTATTATTATTGAAATTCTTGTTTATAGAGTGATTTGTTTATTACATTTCCAGGAAAACATTTATTCAACTAAGACAGTATGTCTGCCAGTACTTATGCCTTAAAATTGGTGGCAGTGAGAATTTGATGAGGATTGGTCAACTGGACATATTTAATTTTAATAGAACAATCACACCATTTGGAGCAGGATAAAACATATTTGTTTTCTTCCTAAGGGGAATTTCTTCGATTGCTTATAACTTGGATTTGGTTTTTGTTAATATTACATGGTTGGAGTCAGTGGGTAGGAAGACTTGGACCTAGGTTTCGTGCTAGTTGGCACTCGTCAGCAAGGCGTATGTGGAAGGACTAGACACATTACTAGTTACTAACTATTGTCCAATCAAAGTACCAGTACAGTAGTGAAAGAGGTCAATCGCGAGCCTGAATAGCTAAATGGTAACTTCTCTGACTGCTGGTAGCACTGAGTGACGCGGGTTCGAATCTCAGAAGGGACACAAATTCCTTCAATGTTGCAGATACGCCTTGCTGACTGGTAAGTACCAACTAGCACCAAAACCTAGGTCAGGTGGGGCTTCCTGCCGATTGCCTCCTACTATCTAATATCAACAATTTAAAGTGCACCATGATGGCGAGCCACCTGGAATGGTGGCCACATTTCAGACCTGACCGATAGAATTCAGTCTGCATCAGGTAACAGCACTAGACACTCTACACTAGTTAGTAACTTTTGTCCAATCAAATATTTAGTTTTTATTACAATTATAAAACACTTTAGCTTGTTGAAGAAACAAAATTCCAAATAATAATTAAGAATAATCATAGTAATAAAGGCAGAACTGCCGAAGATATCAAAGCAAGGATAGAGAAAGCAAGGCAAGCTTTCATTTCTCTGAAGTCTGTGTGGAGGTCAACAGCACTTAGCACAAAAAATAAGATCCGGATTTTCAACTCCACTGTGAAGTCAGTGCTACTATACGGATCAGAGACTTGGCGTGCCACGAAGGGCACTTCGAACAGTCTACAAACCTTCGTCGACAGCTATCTTCGCTCAATTCTTCACTCAAGATCAGATGGTTGACCAGAAAAGATCAGCAACAGGGATCTCTAGCAGTGAACGAACCAACCCAGCGGGAAACAAACGTGCAACAAATAAGCAGGAAGAAATGGAGGTGGACTGACCATACTATGAGAAAACCATCACGCCAAGCCATCGCTCAAGTGGGATCCGAACGGGAAGTGGCGAGTTGGTTGTCAGTGCTAGGGTGACATGGAGGAGGTCATGTGAAGAGGAGATGAAAGCATGTGGGCAGACGTGGAGCCAGGTGAAAACGTTGGCAGAGAATCGAACGCAATGGAGACGTGCGGCTGAAGCCCTATATTCCTCTAGGAACTAAGGGAAACAACAATAAATAGTAATGCAGATGGATGCTAATGTTAAATTTGTTAAACCTAACAAAGTTTTGTGTGTAATGAAATCCAAGTTTTCTTTCAAAAGGCGTCAAGGTTAGTAACAAGACTATGAGTAAACATTCTAAGATGATGCACGTCACTAAAATGTTTAATTTGCTGGATTTCTTCACAAACTAAAATCAATTAGACAGATCACTGAAAAACAAGGAGTAATGAGAGGCTGCTCTCACACCTTGAAGTTCCCGGACTCGGCCCCTCTTGGAGTCGTGGGTGCGCGGTGCTGAAGAGTCCAGAAATAGGAAGAAGGAGCCATTCAGTGCTCTCTAGTTTTCAGTTATCTTTCTAAATGATGTTAGTTCTTGCAGAAATCTAACAATTAGAATTAAATTAATCCAAACCCCCAAAAATCCCATAATCTTAATTTGAAAACTGTTATTGAACAAAATACACAGAAACAAAATGAGTTAATGAAAAGTGAGTATTAGTCGAGAAATGAAAATAAGAAAAATAATGTGAGGTCAAGTATATAAGTAAATTATTTTTTGTACTTGTAGATCTAGTTTGACCGCATGAATCAACAGGCCTTGGGATATTTTTAGTACAAAGGGACGCTCATTTCTTCTGGATTACTCTTTTTTTCGTCTAAATCAACTTTATCCTGATTGTATAATTATACTCAATAAAATTCACTAAGGGAGTAAATAATGAAATTGGGGAACTACCTATGTTAGACTGCAAAATACAAAGAGTAACAGATGGTAGCATAAAAACGACGATAGATAGAAAAACTACACATTCTGGAAGATTCCTTGATTATCACTCAGCTCATCCACTCACAGTAAAACGAGGATTAATTCAAGGTCTTGCAGACAGAATACACAGACTTACAACAACACTAGAGGACCAGCGTAAAGAAGTAAACGTCCTATACAAAATGTCACTCGATAACAGGTACCCTACATAATTTAGCAAAGATAATACAAAAAAGAGAAAAAAGAGGGTAAAACTGGAGAATCATAAGACGGAAGAATGCAAACAAACAGTAACAATACCGTACAAAAATGGTACATCAGAGATAATTCAAAGAAACCTCAAAATAGTGGGATTCGCACAACGTTCAAACCGACGAATCTAATTAAAAATAAAATAAATCAGCTGAAAGATCCCATAAAAATGATGGATAAAAACAATGTGATTTACAAAATATCTTCTGCCGAGTGTCCGACTAAATAAGTGGGCCAAACGTTTAGATCACTCAAAACAAGAGTGAATGAACATAAACGCCTAACTAAAGGTCAACCAACAGGAACACAAGCTTACAAGAATTTAGAAAAAATTCATCTTTAGCTGCACATGCATGGAACAAAAACCACAATATCGATTGGAACAATGTTTGTATTCCAAATATGAACTAATATGAACAAATGGAACGAGAGACTTATAACAGAATCTATATTCATTAAGGTCACACCGGATACATGTAACAAGGGTGACTCAGTACAAATATCAACAACCTGGAATATAATTCTGAATATACGAAAATGAATGAACAAAAAATGAACTATATACATGAGTACAAAATATGTGAATTAAAAAACAAAACAGTTCCGACAGTTGGTCTGAAAATGGGCAGTAATTTTGCTCTAAATATTACCAATGACAAACCTTATCATTGTGTGTAAACCTCTGAAATATAATTATACTTTGTTTGATCTATTCCACAATTCTCAAACTTTTTACTGACATAAATTATTTTGCCGTTTCATTTATGACTGAATGACCCTCGTTTTTTTTACAGTATCGACTGATATACGCCTTTCTTTATGAATCCCAGATGAAGAATAATCCGAGAAGGTCACCATTATTCATTTATTATTCTAATACAGCTTCAGCTATGTCACTACCGAATAAAATAGCCTTATTTAGACGACTAGAATGCGAAAGGTTCCCTGAATAATGAGTCGCGATACATTATTGCTTCACGTGCAATAAATCTCGACACAGATTTCCTCACATGAGTTTTTAAAAAATAATTGATTTACGCTTAGATTTTACGATTTTCTGCAACCGTTCAAGTACTAACTGCTGGTTAGGAATAAATAGAAAATTCCTTCCGGGATATATCGAAAATCAAAACAAGTGATTCAACCAAGAGACTCTTTCCAACGAATTTATTATCAAGCTGTACAACCGTATATACATGTGTGGTTTTTAAGAAATCATATCCGGTGATGGAATCGAATCACAGGTGTATACACAAAATAACAATTGTATGAAATGCAATTAAAATGTTTGTGATTATAATCATAGTGCAAATATAGTGAAGACAACAAGCTGGATTTAGGGATACCCACTACAGATTTGAAAGAACTACTTTTGAGACATACATTGAATGCACAATTTACTTTCAGTGAAGCGATCTACAGATAGAAGGATCATATTACAATGGGTTCTCCCTTGGGTCCTCTCCTTACAGACTGTTTTATGGCCAGTCCTGAAAATGGTCAGGTGAAGTCAACAATCCCAAGTTTACAGATGTAAAAAAAGGTATGTCGGTGACACCTTTAATATTTATAATAGTGATTATAATTTGAATAATATATCAATTTAATGGTTGCCATACACACTCGAAATGGAGAACAAGTATGGTATTCATTTCCTCAATGTGAACTTGTAGCACCCATACCTAAGCCTAACTGCACGCTTATAAAACTAATTCCAGTATGTATGTTGTACGCTTACAGAAACCAATTTTACATATGCCTATGGAATATGTGCCAATGTATCATTGGATATTGCTTTTCTTTGTTACAGATGTATTTCTTACGCGGTTATACACTTCTCGTTAGTTTTCGTGTTTTTGGAAGTTCGATTTCGTTAACAATACATCTTTTCAAGTTTTCACTTGCGCTTCCTAATAAAACGTTGTTCATCTTTGACCGTGTACAACAACAGCACATCGTATAACGTGAAAACATATATGTACTATAATATTATAACTGGAATAGTCTTTAGTATCGCCATAAGCTCATCATGGAGGACCAATGGAACTCTGAAGAGATCTAATTAGACAAAGCCGTCCTAGAATGGTCAGCCGGCAAATTACTACAGCAAGGTACTCACTGGTCAAAAGCGAAACCATGTCCGATCGCTTGCCAGTCGCATCCGGCGCATATGTAGTCCTGATACAGTGGAGGAAGAGTTAAATCTTTTAAGAAAAATCATAATAGAAAATGGATTTCCGTCACGTTTTATAGACAAGAATATACAGTCAAAACCTGTGATATATGATTTATCATCCGTAACCGGGGAAATACTGTACATGAGCTTGGAATTCAAAAGTGACTTAGCTTCCGGTATTATTGATAGAAGGATCTCACAGTCACTGAAATAAACATTCCCTGCTCCATCATTGAGAATAGAGTTTTCCGGTCATTACTTTTCGAAAACCTGAAGGACAAGATCCCGTTGTTGAGTAACTATATGTGCATTTATCAATTCACCTGCTCGTGTGGAGCTAGGTATATCAGTCATTCGACTCGAAAGTGCAAGAAAACTATCCTGCATAGTTACTAATAGGTGAGAGTGGAGTAATAAGCAGTGCGATCACTGGACATCTGGTCGACAATGATCACCCTATCTCCACATCCTCCGCCTTTAAAGTCATCTACAAGGCGAAAAGTAATTTACCCAAATCATTACGTGTAACCGACTCATCTGTATTTCTGAAGCAGCTTTGGCCATCGGAACAGAAAAGTCAGATCTCTGCATACAGGTAAAGTTCTTCCAACCTCTCCAACCTTCATGGTTTTAATCCCTCTATGCTAAAGTGTGACAACACCTGATCATTTTCGGCTCTACTTAATTTTCGTTTTGTTTATTCAATTTGTATACTCTTCTTTTACTACACCAATTGTTATTATTACTATTCTCACTTTGAACTGTCCCCAGTATTATTTCACTCGTTTCACCTGTCATTCTAAATCATTTTTGTTTTGCAACTTTAAAATCTATGTGACCAAATTTCACACAATGTTACGTAACGTTTTTATTTTTATCCTACTTGCCTAATAATCCTATAATTGCACACCCTTTTCCAGGTTCTATAGATCCTACGAATTGTTCTATATATGACATTAATTATTTTGGAACTTCACACTGAACTATGATTATAATCACAAACACTTCAACTGCATTTCATACAATTATTATTTTATGTATTCACGCCTATGATTGAGGCGCCTCACCGGATATAATTTGGTTCGAAAGAGTTTCTTCGTTGAATCACTTGTTTTGATTTTCTATATGATTAGGAATTCTCCAAGTTGTTTACTACTTGAGGGAAACTTGTATCACACAACCATGTGTTACAAAAGAACAAATGTTGATTAACCAAAATATATCTAAGAATATTTTTGTGTATTAAAATTGCCGGGTTCATTTCTCAATGGCTAACTGATCCAAAACATCCTAAACAGGGTGAAACATGCATCCTGGATCCTACTGCTATCTGCCAACAACAGAAATGTAGCTTTGAGTTATTAATATATTGGGGCAGGTATTCAACGGAAAACTTAGTAAAGCCTTTAAAGTAAATACAGGAAAAAGGCTGCTCATTATCACTGATGATATTCTTGATTTTGGTGAACTAGATTATGCAAGAGACCATCGAGGAGCGAGAATACGTTGAACTGATAAGAAGATTCTAGCAGATCTGGACTCCGACGATGATTTAAGTAAAATGTCACATAAACTTCAGGGCTTACAGTCCATAACCAACATGATGCATGGCTAGTCATCGAAGAGAGGACTTCAAGCGAACAATGGGAAGACAAAGGTGATGAAGACACTTAACCAACAGCAACAGGCACCAATAACTACCTTTACTTATCACTTCCAACAACAGGCGGTATGGATGAGTATGTCACAGTAAGTCTGGATTGGAAATGCAAGAAAGATATTCACCACTTCGAAGTCAGTTTGCAGATCTACTACACTGAGGAGAAAGATTTAAGTTTTCGGAATTGGTGTCAAGTCACTGAGTACTTCTAGAAGGGTCAGAGACAAAATCATCTCCAATAGGCTACTGCAGACTTTCATCAACAGCTACCTTCTTTCCATACTGAAGTTCAAGTGGCTGGTGAGAAAGAATAGGCAGCATGGAGCTCAAACAACGAACCAGCAAATATGCAGAAAGAGATGGAGATGAATTGGTCACACGTTGGGGAGGCCGTTGAGTGACATCTCGCGCTAGACATGTCGTAGGTCGAGTTGAATCCCGATAGAAAACAAGGAGTTGTGTGTGGACACAGGAGTGACATGGAGGTGATCATATGAATGGTAAATGGACGGTGGTGATAAGGCATGGAGCCAGCTGAAATTGATGGCAGTAAACAGAATCCGATTGAGATGTATCGGGGAAATCCCATGTCCCACTCGCAATGTAAGTAACGAACTAATACAGCAATAATGAAATAATCCCACTGGAGGTCACTTGTAGGAAATTATAAAAGCCTTCTACGATACTATATATCTTTTTATCATTAAGAACACATTTTTATCATATTCAAAAGGTACAAAGAAAAGCATTCATTTGAACACAAATTAACACATTCACAAACATGCCGAAAACTAAAAGAGCACAGAGGATATTGAAGTAAAAGAAATTGAAACCGGTGTTAAAAATGAAGTGATTCACAATAGTTCACCAATAATACTGCAGCTAAAACAATATTATTATTATTACTATTAGTAGTAGTAGTAGTAGTAGTGGCAGTACTTCACTGAATGACTTTTCAGTGCAGACAGAAACTCAACTTTCTCACTTTCAGGTTGACCAAAACATCTTTTTCTTAAAAGGGCAAAATAAATGACACACACAGAGACTTTCAGTACACATTCATTTGTTGGTTTGTCTTTATCAGTTAAGAATAAAAGTAGAATTATTCACTCCATCAAAAAGCAAAGCAAACAACATACGACTGCATTTAAATAACAACCAGTGAATTCCCCTATTAGTTAATAATAAAATGAAGTGTAGTTAGTACACACTGTCAGAGATTTAAGGAAGTAATTAAACAAATTAGCCTAGGATATTCACCATATTATTCAAGAATAAATGGTGAAGAGACAAAAGGGTAGTTAGAAGAAATGAAGATATTTTAAGTGTTTTTTTTATTTTATGCCTAAAATGGATATTTCGATACTGAAATGTAAACATAAAATGAATGTTGAAATACTAGTTTGTACTTCCCATTTGTTTGATTATAATGAATATCCGATGGCGGGTTAGTTAACCATGACTGATTTTCTGTATTATAATCAATATTATCGTTGTTATTGGTATTAAGCGAGTTGACAAATGCTGCATTAACAGAAGGCAGAGCTGCTGAAAAAGATGGTATTACAGCTCCTGCCTCTACTGATGACGACGGCGACATAGAATCATCTTCATAGCATGAAACTCGGAAAAACAAGTAATACAATTGTTCTGATTTATCGTATTTTCTGTCTGTATTGTGCTTGTTTGTCCCATTATTCACACCTTCAAGATGTGCACTTAAAAGTGGTTTTTCACGTGTATGATTTGAACTCCAGTTTGGCGTAAGATAGACGACTCCATCTTCAGTACGATGATTCACTGGAGTATTAGGCGATTTATCTAACAATTGATAATAACAGTTTGATTGCTGAACCTTTAAAAAGCGCAAAAAAAGTAAAATAGAAAATTTACTGTGATATCGCTTAAATCAAGTCAATGGAATTTCAGGGGAAAAACTCAAATTTCAGAAATAATACATCCTTAAAACACCATAACTTTCGAAATCAGCGGTACATAGTTAAATAATGCAGAATATGATATAGTAGATTGAAGTGGATTTCAGCTGTTAAGCTTAGGCTACTTGGTTGATTGCATAACAGATTTTGTTAGTAATAAATTTTTTTTCGATGTTTCCTAGCAGTGGGCGTGGGTTTCATCATGTTCGGGATTCGCCAGCTGGGTTCGAACCCCAGCGGGAACACCATCACCCACTGGGGGGGGGGGGAAACAGGTACATCATGCCAATGAGTTCCAACTCGGACCGAACTCGCGGACGGATTCCACTGCTAACCACCAACATCATATTAAGTTTTAGAATTCATTGAAGCTTCCGTATTAGAAATCGAACATTCCGGTCCGAAATAAATCAACCAACGGAAATTCAGAAATAACTTGATTAAGGACTACTACTTAGTAGCTGCTCCACCCTAGTTCAGGACTCTTCATCTGTGCGAATCCAAGACCCTGAAAAAGATCAAACACTGATTTTGAGTTTGTCGCTGTCGCCTTTTTCTCTCATGCATGAGATTACTGAGAAAGTTTCTTTTATTACTATACTGATTTTGAATAGCTGGGGAACAAAATATTGTTTTTAGAATAAGTTTTTATGTGAATTCCCGATAGGTATTCACATGCTGTATCATTTATTCACCAAAGGAGTCACCATACAGATGTACAATATCCTGGTTTATGGTAAATGCTTTCTCTGTGATTTGCTTAACACTGATCCCAAAACTTCACCTCTAGCACTGCCATACAAATGACCCTTTCCTGTCCCTTTTAACCATTACTGGTTTAGGCACTGGAAATAGTACACTACTCATCAAACAAGCTTATCCACCTGCTAACCAAAACTGCCTTGCCTGTAGCTATGTCTTTTGTTGAAAATGAAGGTAAGTACCCCCTGACTAACCATATTTTTTCCTACATCCTACCTTTCTGCGTCTGAAATCACTTTACATACTGCACTCCTTATCACAAATATCAACAATGTCTTTAATTCTCTCATCCTTTATGTAACTTATGCATGAACTGAAATCACCAGGAAGCTCTCAGCTTTTTTCACAACACAAATTCACCCATAACTATACCTGTTATTTTGAATAATACTGTAGTACTTATTGAACCACAAACCAAATTTAAATATTTCAACGAATTAAGTGGGATAACTCTTAGAAAACCATTTCTCATCGTTGATAGCAGTTAAAAAATAAAATGGATAGACAGTGTTCAATGTACTTATAATTTAACAGTTGAACAACATCGTTTACAATATAACCTGTCACGAGCATAGTCCACTCAGCATGAAACAAGTTAAGAAGAGTGGATCTGTCTTGACCTCTTTACAAAATCATCTGTCTATACATGTGCACACGCTTTATTTTCACGAGAATACAATTAGAATATTTAAATATCCACTTATGTTGAAACAAATCCTTCCCACTGAGTAGTAGTTACACTTGAACAGTTGATAGATCTCTTTTACTTGTCATTTGCAGTATCACACTTAGACTTTATTTCAAAAATATATTTCTTTTCTATAGCTCTTTTAAGTCATACACGTTGATAATGAACAGCGTTAATTCTCAGAGAAAGAAGAAGCTTGTATAATCTTTAAATTTCACCAGATTTTAATTCATACACCTACTAGCTATAAGAATGTTACTGTAAAACGTCAAGCTTTCACTTTTATTTCTCAGTAACTCTAAAGCGAACTGTCTGTCATGAGATTTTTCTTCTGCAGTTATGTTCAAGAGTGAAATCTACGGTCAAAGACCAAAAATTACCTTGAACATTCAATGTGTTGGCATGAGTAGATGTTAACTAGAAACCTGGCTGTTCTACAAAATCTTCTGTAATTCGAATACTCGTATTTTTTCTTCAATCCTAACTCACAGTATAAACTAAGAACTTCAGATCGATTCTTTATACTAATTCAGTTAATCATTGTCTTTTGCATATACCTGTTTACCTTAGTTCCTGTGAATAGGCACCTTGCTTGCCTCTCATGCTGATGATTGTTGAATTCACCCCTGCTTGTATGGTGAATGCAGCTTATTGAAAACTTTTCCGAACCTAGGACAACATAGATGTTCAGTATTGTTTACCTTACAATTGTTCTTCTGCTTATGTCAGTTCGTGACGAAATCTGCACTGAAATTACTCGAATATCTACAAATGCGAAATCTGAATTTCCTATATTTGTTTCTTACCTGACAGAGTTTCAAGGCATCGAATACCACTCTCAAGTTTTATAACTTATTTAATGCACTAATAAGTCGATGAAATACACCGTAACTAAGTGTGGTATGTGTGACTGTTCATATGCTTAAGGCTCAATTTATTCAATAGAATAAAGGAAAGATGAAACCAAATGTTTGTAATTTAATGTTAAACACATCTCAAATTATTATTAATAACAACTGTGCATACAGTGTACCACTGACTAAGTGATGGTGAAGCATAACCAACACAGTATGAAACGAAGAACGGATGATAACCAAACTAATCAAGATCCATAACTTTTTGATCAGTTATACTCAGGAAGTTTCTATAACACTTTTATTCCTCCACAAAATCTGGTTGAAGAACTAATCTAGAATTTGGTGAGTAATCCCTATACTACTGAGTGATATATACACATCACAACCACCGAGTAGGCTCTCTTAATCTGTTTATCTTACCATTGGTTCTGAGTTCCACTCAATAAGTCTACACTAAATTTGGGTGTATACTTTCTTACTAAACACCTCAACTTTAAAATGAGTAGCTATATTTTACTAGTTCGCTTTGTGGTATCGATCGATTTATGAACTAAGAGCTGAAGCAGGATAACTGAATGTGGCACAGTTCAATCTTATAAAGAGGTACTAACTTTAACCTCTTAGAAGTAGTACCTATAGTCTCGGTAATCATTGAGAGAACACTTAGGTTTTATCACATTTGAGGATGAACCTTACATTCAGGGAGTATGAAAATCGAATTCATATATCCTCACAGACAATTTTCAGTCGACATTACAGTAGTAGTAAAAGTCAGTACTGCGTGACAGCATAGTTCCACACTAAATTAACTTATGTTACAGAAAATGCTATCAAGGATTATTATTGGCTGCATAACAATAGGCACCAATCACAGTCAACAAAAGAAGTTTGAAAGAGGTCACTTCCTTCATTTATCTGGGCAGCTTCTATCTTTTCAACTATAGGCACGCTTAGGCAGAAATTGACCACTCGGAAATCAGTTCGGAAATCTTATGCACTCCACAGAAGAAAGAAAAAAAATTCGGATTTCCAACACCAGTGTTAAGTCGGTCACTTCTACATGGGTTCGAAACTTGACCAGAGCGTCACGAAAAACATTTTCGACAGGTTACTGCAAACTTTTATCAACAGCTATCTTCACTAGCTCCACACGGTAGATCAATTGGCCAGAAAGAGTTAACAACAAGAAACTCTGGTAATGAACTAATCAAGAATTTATTGCTCAATACACATACAGGAGGAAATGGAGATGTATCAGAGTCACTCTGAGGAGACCATTGGGTGAAATCGCGTAACTGGTCTTAGCTCGAGTGGAAAACGACGAGTTTGATCAGTTTCCGAAGGTGACATGGAGGAGATCGTGTGAGGAGGAGATGTGAAATTACAGGCGATCGTGTGGCCAGATGAGGAGGACCTCAGAGGATAGGACAAAATGGAGGCATGCTGCTAAAGCTCTATGTTCCACTCGGAACCCAATGGAACAATAACAATATATAGTAATATAATAAGACCGTTAACTTAGCGACTTAATCTTAATAGTTAAAAAAAATATCCACTAAATTCAGATTACTGTCCTACAGATATTCAGCGATTATCTAGCAAAGAAATTAGTTCTACATGTATTCAAAGACAAACCCATATTCTGAAACTCGAACATGAGTCAACCACGGTTCAGGTCATAGACCATATCTCAGAGTCCTTCAGAGCACAACAGTTTCATCTCGTTTATGTTAACACTCACTGAACAACTAATCAGTCTACACAGAAAGTTAAACAATTACTTATCATATATAAAATTTTCACTTACTTGATGCCAATCAACAACACGAAGCATGATTCTTGATCCAGTTACACGGAATGATTCAGGAGGCGGAAGACTAACAATCAAATATTCCACTGTATCAGCAAACATAGCACCATGGGGACATGTTAATTTAGAATCAGCACATCGTATTCTACAAGATCTAAATTTTAAAAAATCAAGGACAAGAATTAAAAATAAACGAAACTATCCAATGAAAGGGGAGAAAAGTTGAAAAAATCTCCAAGTTATTTTAAAGATCGATTATAGCATGCCACTTAAGATTTTGATTTTGGTTGACTGATAAGAGATTTATTATTCGTCTTAGAGACTTTTTAGAGTGTACAGTCAACCAATGACTCAAGATGTGACTGTGTGGCTTAAGCACTCAAATTTAAGGCAATAGATCACACATCCGAACCCTATTCCGCTTGCTACAGTTTGTATAACTGGTTAGCACTATGAACTCTCACATAATAAGTGTGGTTTACAGACTAATATGCAAAGAATCTATAATCGTTAATTTAGTCATAATTAATGACGCAAATCCAATCTAATTATCCCATCGCTTCCTACAGATAAGATGAAAAAAAAAGGTTGATTTTATCCGTGATCATTTGTTCCTTTACGGAATAGAAGCCGTTGAAGATGGAATCCTTTCAGTTTCCTAAAATCTTAATAAAAACACTATTTCGTAATTTTCTATTTAATGCATATCTTTTCAGTATAAGGTGGTCAAAAGTAATCCACAGGGAGCCCTCACTGATTGGAACTGAAAGTGCACTGAGTTGGTAGGTCACTTAGGTTGGCGGACTGCTGACTCATAGAATTCAGTCAACAGTAAGGGACTAGTCATATAACATAGGTTACACCATAGTCGGTTTTGTATAAGTTTACTTATAACTGACAATCTACATATTTTACAAAGATAATTTTATATTATTCCATAAAAGTCTCGACGCTGAATAAGGTGTACATCTAAAAGTTGTATGTAGCTCACTGATTAGATAGATACTAAAGCTTTACACATCATGACATATTAAGCTATTTTACAATAAACGTCATTACTATTGTGAACTTTTAGAATCACTGAAATGATGGCGGCCAGGCTCGTCAGTGGTACATTCGAATTGTTTCACTCGATTGGCTTGAGTAATATCAACCTGTGTGTGAGATCGACACAACTTATCCCTTCAATCAACAATAAAGTATATGCCATATTATCTAATTATCTTGGTAGCGACCTGTAATCTAAATTTTGTGAATAAGTTATTACGAAAAATAAACATCAGGACATTAGAGAGAATACAAGAAGTTTATCAAAGATCTCTTTTCAGTGAATTCATCCCAAAAGAATAAGTAACCTAGAATCGTAATTGTGGACAGACATGACTATATAAACAGAATTATCGTGCTGAAGGACTGAATTTCAGAAACCAAAACTAATCAAAGACCGAAATGTGAAAATATAAAAATACATCTGTGATTCCCAGAAGAAACTAAGAGAAGAAGGGTATATCTCACCAAAACTATACGTAAACCTAAAATCTACATGTAGCGTCATTTCACGCATATAGTGACTACCGAAAGTGCACAAATTAGGAGTGCCACACCATCCTATACTAGAGGCGTCTCCATCACCTCACCATGAGACTAAAAGTAGGTGGTATAGTCATTTCAACCTCTTCATGGTTATCTAGTAAACCACAGTGTCAAGGATGCCTTTTAGTTTATTGAAAAACAAAACAAACTTAAACAGAGCTGACTGACATATGGCATCCCTTAATGTTACATCCTTATTCACTAATCTTCCTCTAGTGGAAACCATCGATTAAATCTGCAAACAGATGATGGAAAGTTATCCACTATTGTTAATCCGTAGGAGCTACTGACCGAATATACAACGAATGTCCAGTCCCTATATAATAATGAAATGTACAGATAGGTTTATGGAGTAGCTATAGGAACTCCACATTTCTACCATAACTAAAAAATTGTCTGTCAGAAGATGAAATGGCGAAAATGGTACTGTACTGTCGTTACATGAATGACAGTTGTAGTCTACGATAAGGACTTAAGTGGTAATTTGACTTGATCCACTTCAATTGTACTCACTCAGTGATCCCTTTCACCTACTAAAGAGAACAGAGTAAATAACGAGAAGAGAGGATAGATCCATTAAAATGACCAGGTTTACAAAACTAGAGACTAAAGCCCAATACACACAATTCCTCGGCCTTGTAACACTGAAATACCAGCGAAATTTACTCAGGTGCTTAATATTTAGAACAAGGTTAGTTTACTCCGAAGACTATGTACAGAGAGAACTCCACGTAATTCCTGATATCCAGAAACGTTTATAGAAGTCAGCATCGACTACAAGTCGTAAATATGTACTGGCGACATTAGAGAAAAGCCATTACTTTTGCGTCTACAATTCAAGAGATATACTCCTAAGGAGATTCTATCCCAGAGTCTAACCAAGGTAATAAAGGAAACTTCCTACTCTGAACATCTGATCCTATCGTTTAGTAGCTAGCCAATGTTTACCCCGAAACTGAAAGACGTCTTACCAAAGCTTAGATATTCTTCATGCATAAACCATTTTAAATGTTCCTGTGGTTCAAGTTGCATAAACAGTACGATTAAGGAGGTTGGTTTGCGGATTTGAGGATATTTACCAGCCTGGTTCAAAATGGGGGTAATCAAATGCGTCGAATGTTTTATTTTACCACACCTGATAGATACACTGTCTCTAAGATAGCCTTCGGGGTTATATACTTTATTATAAAGTCACTGTCACCCACAGTTCACCTAAAGCTTCTCCAAACATTTAAAGCTGTTGCGATATGAGTGACAAAATCAGAACTTTGTATTCAAAAAGAACACATTCCTATCATCATCAAACTTAGATTAAAGGTTCTAGACCTTTCTTATTGTTTATTTCCTTTCCTTTTCGTCACAATGTTTATTTTCCAACTCAAAAGTGAATTGAACTCCATGTACTACTGGGTGATATTTACCAAATACTATGTCATAACTGTGAGGTTAATTACACGGGTCAAACTAGTGGATCGGAGCTCAATTAGATTATCGAAACATAGGTATTTAGCTAGACCTAGGAACGACTGACCCTGTTAAGCTAAATACCTTCACTTGCATGTATTCACACAGGATGAAAGTATGAAAATGTAGTATAGTTAGGTGGAGAGAGAGAGAGAAAGGTTAGTCACTGAATCTTTGTTCATCGAATCAACACCGAGCACGTGCAATCGAAATGACACAAAGCCTATACCGGAGATATAGAAAATTACAACAAACAACAGGAGAGAGGGACAGAGATAAAGATATGTGTAAAGTAAATCATGTAGCTGTGTGAACAAATTGATATAAGTAAATTATAACTCCCTGGTGTAATGAGAACAAGATGATTTTGAGCGAACAGTTGTTTTCGATAACTTCTTCCTCAAGCTTTACAGTTATTCGTGAATATTAGAATGCAAACAGCCAGTAAAAGCAAATGAAAAATCATATAGTTTCTGATATAATTTCAATTTACCTTTGCTGGGAGTTTGTATTCTAATATTCACGAATAACTAAAGAACCTGAGGAAGAAGCTACCCAAATTAATATGATAGTGAGCATACATTCTACCCGAAACATCATCCAGTTGTTAGTACTTTATCACTGTGTTCTATCAAATAAATGGAGTTACATTCTACCACAATGCCCAAGCTCTGTACTTTTATTAGTGATATTATCTCTTTTGTCATTATACAACGGCGTCTAGTTCATTTCACATATTGATTATTTCATAATGAAATATTTACTGCCGTCTTCCTATATCATCTTTAATGCGTGACAGTTGGTACCAGTCCGACATCAGATATCAACAGCTGTTTTCGTTCTATACTGAAGATCAGATGGCCGGAAAGAATCACCAACAAGAAACTATGGGAACAAACAAAACAAGAACCAATCGCCCAACATATATTCAGGAGAAAGTGGAGATGGATTGAACACTCGCTGAGGAGGCCACTGGGTGACATCGCGCGTCAGGCCATCACTCGAGTGGAACCCGAAAGGGAAGCAGCGAGTGGGACCTCTAAGAGTGACATGGAGGAGATCGTGTGAAGAAGAGTTGAAACAGTATGGACTCACATGCTTGCAAGTAAAAAGTACAGCAGAAGACAGAAGCAAGTGGAGGCGTGCAGTTGAAGCCCTATGTTCCACTAGGAACCCAAGGGAACAATAATAATAATAAGATATCAGATATGTTTTACAAACTTGAACAAATTTGTCAGTTTTCATTCCCCATATGTGTAAATCTAGTATAACTAATTGCCGTCATCGTTTCTCATTTCAAAATATCTTCTAATTGCATTTGGCTTGACATATCTGTCACACAAATACTATATGCTGCGTCACTCTATAATGTATAACAGGCTATTATTGCAGTAAGAAGAACTCGAAGAGAATTTATTGGAAAGAATATTTTGCGTTCAGGTCAACTTTTAATTCATCCTCAAAAGTTTTACAACCGGACTTGTAGAATGGAAGTGTATAAAAATTACTGAGATTATACAGCTTTTGAGAATGAAACTTCTGTAAAGATATCTCTGGTGAACTTCTCGTTCTTTTTTTAATCCAAGTTATAAAACTTTCGATTTCAGTACAGATTAAGGAAGTCTACAGCATGATTCCCGATAAATCTGATATTTATATTTGTGATAAAAAGCAAAGGAACTCTCATTATTGTTGTATTGTTGTTCCCTTGGGTTCCTAGTGGAACATAGGGCTTCAACTGCATGTCTCCACTTGCTTCTTTCTTCTGCTGTACTTTTCACCTGCATCCATGTTAGTCCATACTGTTTCAGCTCCTCTTCACACGATCTTCTCCATGTCACTCTTAGAGGTCCCACTCGCTGCTTCCCTTTCGGGTTCCACTCGAGTGATGGCCTGACGCGCGATGTCACCCAACGGCCTCCTCAGCGGGTGTCCAATCCATCTCCACTTCCTCCTGCATATTTGTTGGGCGATTGGTTCCTGTTTCGTTTGTTCCCATAGTTTCTTGTTGGTGATTCTTTCCGGCCATCTGATCTTGAGTATAGAGTGAAGACAGCTGTTGATAAAGGTCTGCAACCTGTTGGAAATATTCTTGGTGACACGCCAAGTTTCTGATCCGTATAGAAGAACTGACTGACTTGACGTCTGTATTGAAAATCCGAATTTTATTGTTGATACTGAGTGACAGCGGAAGATTTCCAGATTGGTTTCAGGTTGATGAATGTGTTTCTCGCTCTCCCGATTCTCAATTTGACATCCTCGTCCGTTCCTCCTGTAGTTGAAACAATGCTCCCTAGATAAGTGAATGAAGTAACATCTTTCAAATCCCTCCCGTTGATGGCGATTGTCTCTGGATGTTGCTGTTGTTGTTGGTTGGTTATTTTCATAACCTCCGTCTTGTCTATGTTCACCTGGAGTTCTGTCTTTGCTGCTTCTTCGACCAGTTTGTTGATTTTCGCTTGTAAGTCTTCGATTTTGTGTGACATCAAACATAAATCATCCGCGAACTCTCATGGTAGCTTCATATCAGTTGTTTCACAAAATATAAGGCAGCTACGGTTCAAAGATTTGGTAATTTTGTCATGTTTTGATATCAAAGAAACATTGAAATCTAGAGAGCACTGAAAAGCTGGTTTTTCTTAGTCTTAGACGCCTTAGTTACATGCGCGTGTGCGACTGCGAAAAATCCAGTCTAAGATCACTAGACTTGGGAGAAAATATACCGTAATTCAGATACTAGGTCAGAATGCAGAAACCTGTGATCTCCATCTTCTCTCTGGTCACTTTAAGCCTCGCATTGTAGAATGTACTTTTTGGGATTTCGTATCAATAAGTGAATGTTTTTAGGGATTCAAATGAAACTTTTACGTCAAAACTTACCTAGATTTCTTATCGAAAACATAATTTTCTGGACATTTCTGTTCAACACATGTATAATTTCCAGGAAGATTTAAGCAGACTTCATCAGATCTACAAGGATAACCTAAGTTGCATTCGTTTATATCTAAAATAAAGATTTAAAATGGAAGGTACAAGAAACTAGGATGGGATTACAAGCATAAAATGTTGAAACTATAATTTATGATGGAAAAACTAATAGTACGATCTTTAACTTTTCACATTCTAAATGAAGAAACAGTGGAATGTGTCTATAAGTAATCCCAAAAGGTGTTCTGATACAGATCTTCTGATCCATATCTATTAAGTGTTTAGCTGTAGACGAAGTCGGTAGTCTGTCACCTGCGTTTACCGAGGTTCCACGGTTGATTTATTTTTCTAACCATTCGTGAGTATGTTCTCCCACTCACGTGCAAAAGCGGATTTATTAAATGGAACTAATTGTTTTAAATTCTTGAAAAGAAAACTTCCTCCACGCGCTGTAAAACGGCTAAATGATATCCTTAACCTTAATTGTAAAGTGGCACCTGAAGAAGTGGACGTGGAATTTATATAAACCTTGTCTTTCTGGTCACACATTCCCGAAGGTAGTTTACAAATCTTTTCAACCGTCTAAATTACAACCGAACTCTTAAAACCTTATTCGTCTTACGAAGTATCACAACTGACAATTGTAATGCGAACTTGCGTGAAACCTGACAAAGGACTAAGTGTGGTTGCGATCGACAAATATGATTATTAAAAAAATTATTATCCATTCTTGATGACAAAAGTAAAATTATAGCGGATATCACATTTGGTGATTTCAGAAAATGGGAAGGAGAAATAACATCTCAACAACTTTGCGGCATGGACGTTATTGACAAAGAAGAGTTAAACTCTTTAAGATTCGTGAGATCTGACCTTCCAAACCTTTATGGACTGCCCAAAATTCACACAGTTGACAATCTATCAAGCCCATTCCTATCAGTGTGTCATTATCCTACACATAGACTGGTAAAATAGTTAGCAGAGATTTCAACCACAGTACGCTGTAGATTATGTAAGTTCTGTCGGAAAAGTACTTTTGAGCTTGCTGACTGCCTTGTAGACATAAATATAAAGATGTGAAAATGTACTCTTTTTCTGTTAATACCTTGTTTTCTAATGTACCGTTAATATTCTTTGTGACTACATATCTTCTAGTTGTCTTTCATTCTCTATTCCTCTAACTTATTTTTAAGATTTTCTATTTCTGTCACTATTTTGTACTGAAAGTACCCATTACATATTTGAAGGTAAGCACATTTCGACAAGTAGATGGAGTACCTATAGGAAGTCCATTAGGACCATTATGGACTGATGTATATCTGTCGTCCATTGGAAATTTGTTTGGTGACGTCACATAAACCAGCTACAATGGAGTTTAATCAAAATAATGTTTCATAGTCTTATTAATTAGCGGTGAACTTACCTCTACATAAATTTGTTCTACGATCTACTTCATATCCTACAGGACATTCGCAACGGTATGCACCGTAGGTATTTACACACTTGTACTGACATGGACTTGAACCAAATGGTGGATTGCACTCATCAATATCTGTTTAGAAATTGGAGGAAAAAAATTAAACTGGATTAAACCATTAAAATACAGGTATGATGTGTGAGTTTATTGAATGTTAGTAAGAAATATGCATTTTTAGTTCTGGCACCGTGAGTCTAATCTGCTGCTATTCAAGAAGCAGTTTAAAATATGTTCTGCATACAAAGCCCTCTTTCTGTCAGAATCAAAGGTACAGGAAGACTGGATCTAATTAATAAAACAATACCGACTACTGAACCCTATCAAAATTCATCATTTAAATTTATTCATACAGTAAAACTTGTCTCTCGAAAGCTTCTGAAGTGGCATCTACACCCTTGAAGAAAATTAAAGAAGCTCCGCTTTCCTGAAAACATAAGTGATTTCCTTCCCTTATGATAAAATAAATTAGGCGAGTAACTTTTCTACCGTTTGTGCAAGCGATGGACAATCCGTAATACATCCCATGGAATTTAAATTTTATGCTGTAATAAAATTTAGAACAGATTAAAGGTAAATGCCAAGCTGGATGTTCTCTCTGATCATCTAAAAAGTGTTGATGCTACATCTGTTGATAACAAGGCCTGATCCAAGTCTAAAATGGTTGGTATTCTACAGTACATCTAATTATCGATTCCAGTCAGAAGTTACGTACTTTTGAGATTCATAAAGTCACTGTAAGATCTACTTTAACGAAATGAACTTTATTGGCTCTAAGCTTTCCTAAACTCTTTAAGTAAACGTCATGTGAATCACATTACTGCCTATTTCTTCAGACAGAAGCGAGTCAGAATTTTATATACTTTGATATTATTTCTCTATTCACAAATGACTCTATGACTGTCCACAGTCTTTCATTCCCTCTTCACATGACTTCCTTCCTCCATGTTACACATGAACGCTAAACTCATTGCTTTCCATTTAAGTTCTACTGCCAGTTGATTTCATTTGAATGTCTATCTTCTCAGCGTTTGTCCAGTACATCTTCATTTCCTTCAGCACATTTGTTAGACAATAAGCTGTTGGCTATTTCATTATCTGGCAGAGTTCCTTACTACTCATCCTTTCTGAGTGACCATTTCATCTTCAGCATCGAGTGAAGGCGTCTGTCGATGAAAGTATACAGTAGACTGTTGGTGACATACACGTCAAGTCACTGAACCATATAATGGCACTCAATGACTTGACGTTAGTCTTGCAATTTCAAATCTTATTCCTTCTGCTGACTAGCATCTGTAGATCTTCAAGTATCAGTTTTTTAGGGATTTGATTGATTGATTACAGGATTCCATCATGAGCTGACATTGGTTAGAAGTTAGAATTCATAGACCATTTAGATTGGGTCCCAGTGGCTTAATGGTCTACGAGCTCGCCTTTTAACAAGCAGACCCCGGGTTTGAAACCCGGTGGATGCTTACTGATGAAGAGCCCCACACTAGTACGAAACAGCTGTCCAGTACCCGCAGGTTTTCTAATAGTTCTCTAACCAATTTCAGCTCATGATGAAATCCTGTAACCAATCTGTAGATCTTGCTATCCAGACTCTGGTTTTGATAGCCTTATCCAAGTTGTATCCAATTCCATATTAATTTCTTTATTAGATATATCACACAGTGAAACAGTATTATTTACTGGATGACGTTTTGAACACAATTTATTGTCCATAATGATATCAACTATGATATGATTATTGAATTACATACTACCACAGTGACCACGTTTTACACAATAATTAACAGGCTGTATCCAAGTATAAAACCATTAATTTATAATGAAAAACCTTAATTAATTTACATATTTTTAAGGCCTAATAAAGTGGATTTCATTACTGCTAGTAAGTTTCGGTCAAAATATCATATTAAAGTATAACTGAACTCTTCATTTTACTTTATCTTTGTCAGTAATTTTGGTAGGTCTATGAATCAGACAAAAACAAACAATGTGAACTGATGATGAGACTATCCGAGATAGTCTTAAGGTTGGCAGATTGCTAACAGTGTAAACTGCGATGACTGAAAGTCAGACGGAAATTAGTATCATAATGGGATTGGAATTTACTAGAGCTCCGGAGGTCAATGACTGGAATCGATACTTGCATTTCATTTTCAGCCCGCACCTACTTTATCAAAAACAATGTTTTTGATCAATCAGATTCACAATCTACAAACTTATTAGTGATTCTCAGTTTGCACAGTTCGAGTGGTGAAATTTCACCCTAGTTCCCCTTGGGAACCAAGTTATTCCGATCCCAATACGCAATCCAGCATAAATGGTTATTAGGAAGTAAGCGAAATTTAATAAAACTATGTACTATTAATTGATTGGTTGAGATGAATAACTCCATATCACTCGTACCAGCCAGTAGTGATTTATGGTATGACCAGTTCGATCAAGTAGCTAGCCAGAAATCGTGTGGTTTGAACTGATTCGGTTCTGTCTCAGCTGAATTAAACTGCGTTCACCGGTGATCAGCTCGACTCCAAATAAATTTCATGCCAAACTTTCTGATGTTCTTTAGACTTTAACATTGATTAAAAATACTTGTCATTTTTAGTGCAGTTATCTTACGTTTTTATCATGCGAAGCTGGTTTAAAGCTGATGGATTTGAACCATTAAATTTCTTTAAACCTCAGTGAGAGTTGACTTACGTAATATTTAAAAAAATTAACCGTATGTCCCACTTTATAGGATATGAAGCCTACCTATGAAACATTTGTGCTGATTATAATCCTCATATACTTTAGGTTAGTTGAAATCAAGCGAATTAGCTTATCTACTTCAAATTGAAGTACGCGCTGAGGATGTTGTCTTGTAAGACAATGAAACTTTTGCAACTCTCAGTAGGTGAGAAGTTGCTTGATTCAATACACTCCACATTATCAGTCGCTGAAATTTCAGAAAAGCAAAATGTGGTCACGATGTTTTAAAACACAGGTATAAGAAGTTCGACAACAAATTCTGATATTAGAAACCAATCAAAGTTATTGATGGACCAAAATTAGGCATATAAGAATTCTACTCATTAGTGTAGCCGTTTGGTCTTACAAATATTAACTTCATTGCCTTAAAGTCTCTCAAGTCAACAAAGCATGTATATATGACTCTTAAGAATGATTTATTTCCACATTCATCACATTTATGGTTTGTAAATTTCTGTTTATGTGAATCATTTCTGCAAAAAGACTTTTACGTAACAACTTATAAAGTGGCTTGTTACAGGATGTAGCTTCCTGGAGTTCTAGTGAGAAGTCGTGACAATTGAGGTTCAATTAAATGTCACGTGTGTGGATGGATGTCCCACCAACGACAATGGTTGAGGTCACGCTAAATCACGAATAGGCAGAAGTTAGAATTCATGAGCCACTGAATCGGATCCCAGTGGCTGAATGGTATTCGAGATTGCCTTGTAACCGGAAGGTCCTGGGTTCGAATCCCGGTGGGTGCGTACTGCCGATGATTCCCAAACTAGGATGAAACAGCAGCTGTCCAGTACTCCCTGGTTTTCAATGGTTCTCTAGCTGATATCAATCCGTGACCGACTCGTAAAAAAAACATAACTAACCTTTACAAACCAAACTATAGAAAACTTATAAAGTACTCAAAATTAAAACCTACCTATACAACCTCTTTCTCGATTCCATTGAAATCCTTCATTGCAGAACTCATCACGTCGGGCTAAAATCAGAAACGTGTACATATTTTAGTTAGATAATACATTTTGTGAATTGCAGGTTTCTTTCAGATTTAAGAATGCTTTCCGCTACAAAATCTACATCAACATGTATGACAATGTGCTCAGCCATCAGCATGCATAATATACTATATACTTCAGTCGTGCATTCAGAAAAGCAGCAGACATCAGGTAGTTATTTTAACATGTGTGTTTGTAATGTTCTGCTAACCTTATCGTCTAGAAAGTGAGCTTAATTTTATAATCACAGAGCTGTGAAAATGGCTAAAAGTTAATATCTGTTACAAAAACACTGAAACTACAAAGAATCACTAGATGTCGTTTATAATCCTTATTTGATACTTTTCAGCAGCACATACCCACGATGATGACAGAGAACAATGTCATCAGCCTGGAAGAAAAGCACGATTGAGTTCGAATATAGTCGCCTGATAACTCCCATTTTTTGCCTCTTGGTGCCCGTTCAGTTAAACTGTTGGGCATGTGTCATTCTGTCCACAAGTTTTGTAATGTTATTAGACTTTGTTAAACCAAAATCATTGATCTCTATGCACTCTCTGACACTCTCTCCTTTACACTGTCACTTACGAAGTTTTATGTCGAATTTGTTTTCGCAATCAGTTAGTCAAGTATTACGAACAATATGAATAAAAATGTGACTAAAATTTATTCGAAAAACCTCACTTTTGTAATAATCAAATCTTAAATTTACATTCATTCAAGAACGGTATTAAGTGAAGGGCGGGTGGTCCTTATTTTTTCACTTTCATATGCTAATAGTGTTAAATATCAGGAAATGTTTCGATCAGTGCTACTAGAATCGAACCAATGGAGATAAATATCAGTCGAACTTCAGACGTTCCGGTATTTTAAACAACCGTTTCCTTCACCTGGTCATACTACTAATCATTTATAAAACAATTTAACTCACTATCGCATCCCTGATTTCCAGCTTCTTGACCATTTGGACACCGACAACTATACGTTCCTGGTTCGTTAATACATCTCGCTCCATTAGGGCATTGGAATGTTCCAATTGCACATTCATCTATGTCCACGCATTCAACGATATTTGATTCAGGACTTCCAATTGCACGATATCCTGGAGGGCATGCAGGCTGACAGCGAAAACTGCCCGGTATATTTACACATCTTTCATTTTCACGACATTGATAAGCACCGGACAAGCATTCATCGATGTCTAAATTCAAGTACATTGCACAAACTTAGGGCTACATGTAAGATCATATTACAATAAAATTCTAACAGTATGAATTCTAATCTTGTTGAAAGGTAACTTAGGATTGCGGAAGTATGCATTCATGAGGAAAAAGACAAACCTTAGAGTTTACTGTTAGATGCAAAACTTGGCTTTTGTCAGGTAATGCACACAACTGATGACGATTATTTGAGTTACTTCTCTTAACTGTTAAATTTTCGAACACAGTATCCCTTTTAATCGGACCTGTTTTGTTTTTTCAGAAACATACATCTGAATTCACAGTGGATATTCCAAAGCTATGTTTTTTTTAAAGTCACTTTTGATTTGCAACCCTGTTTTATGTTATATCTGGTGTTAATATATATACAGTTTGTGTAAATTAAAACTTTGTATGCTTTGCATCACATGCTAACAGTAAGAATAGTTGCAATCAGTAGACAATGCTTTAGTAAGAATACAGACCAATGTAAAGGCTAGGCAGCCTATTGGATGAGTTGACAAAGAAATCTGTTAAGAAAAGCTGAACGCAGTAGTTACTTACTGGATGTTAGTTCTGGATGAGTGACACCTACTGGATCTGAGGATAATTTGGGTTTCGTGTTAGACAGTCACATATTGTAACTGTTCACTACTAGCACGTTACATTGAAATTTTATCAAAAATATGTAGTTGCAACCCTTAATAGGCATTCAGCATCTCAGTCAAGTCAAGTCAACCAAACTAAACTTAACAGTGATGCTTAAATAAAAAACCGAAAAGCAAACAGAGGCTACAAAAATATACCATGAATTTCCTTAGTTAATAATCGTGATTATCGACCTAGAAATGTTTATGAGCCATTTAATATTATAAAAAAGTTTGCGTTTCCCAGTGGATGAGAGAGAAAAATGATGTCATGGTAAAGTATTAGTTGGATAAATCTATGAACATTCATTGGTAAACATAAAGGTTTTATTACAATGGACACCGCAGACTCAATGCTCCAATTTCGCAAATTAACAGGCCATTTAATATCTTAACTTCAAAGCAGATACCGTCACCAATCTACACCAATTAGATAGTCGCTGAAAAACAGGCACTATTGGACACGTATCCTGTCGTAGCTTGGAATCCTACAGGTACACAAGCTTCACACAACCAAGTGTAGAACCAAGAACCTACAGGTTAGGAAGACAACGTATTGCCATTCAACAACTATATCAGAATCCAGCGGCCCATGAAATCTAACCTCTTATAATTCCGAGTATAGTGCCACTAGCAGCCAATGTCATCAACCAGTATTTGTTCAATTTGGTGAGCCCCACTGGTAACGACTTCTCGCTGGCACTCTAGAGGATTCCACTCCAAAGATTAATTCCTAGCACCAGTAGATCTTGACGTTATCTGCTTTGAAAGTTATAAAGTCCTTAAAACTCTTTTTATTGTTCGCATTTCCTATCAGTCGAACAGGATGAAAAGTAAATAGTGAAAATTTAGTAAGAGAACGTTCACGCACCTTGACAGATTTCACCAAATCTACGATAACCAGGTAAACAGACACAATGATAACCGCCAAAAGTATTCACGCATGTATGAAGTCCACATATACCTGGTTCCACTTGGCATTCATCAATATCTTTCCGTTAGAAAAATTAATAAATTAAAAGACAGTTTAATGAATATACAGCAGTGAATAAAACTTTGATATTTCAGTAGAACTTGAACAATGTAGTAGTGTGTTTATGAGATATACCACAAAGCGAGGTAGTATTAGGTAATATTAATAACATCACTAGTATAATTAGTCGACTACTGGATGTAACTAACGAACTAACTGATATAAAAAACTACAATAATATATTACCATTGAAACCAAATACATCATCCCTCATAAATTATACACTGAAAATATCTGGAGTACATTGGTTGCATCATTCATCAATGTAATTGCGGCTTTACAGAGTAGAGTTCCATGGTACTTAACTTCTCAGTTCAGTCTAGAAATAATGAGCCCGATAACTGGAGGTCCTTATTCGCTAGCAAGGTTACTTTTGTATAAAACTAATAAAATAAGGCGCGACATTTATCAGTTGTTCCCCTGCTAGTCACTACCAACCAATCAACATCATGTTAATCTAATAGCACCGTCCAATTCTCTGTGCTGCTAGATAACAACATGTCAAGGGAGAGAAAGAGAAAGGGTTTCGGTCCAATACAACCAATCAATCAAAAATACAAAAACAATATTATTTTCGATTAAAATTATTGTAATACCGTCACAACGATCCTCGAGGAGATTTTCTCTTAAACCAGGCGCACAAAGTTGTTTACATTCATAACTGCCAGGCGTATTTATACATCTTTGGCCATATGGACATAATGTTCCATTATTCCCGACTACAGTAGTACATTCATCAATATCAATGCAAGAATGTCCATCAACAGATAGACGATAGCCAGTTTGACATGTACATGTGTAGTGTGGTACTGTATTTTTGCACATATGATCACATTTATTCAGATTTGGGAAAGCACATTCATCGATGTCTGTGAAAGTAAGAGAATAGAACACCGGTGATTTTAACACCAAAGTGAAAACAGATCTGTAAAAACAAAGCGTTTATATAAAAAACCAGCTAGTTATGTATGGTTTACTTGTTTTCAACATTTAATTAGATTGAATTAGAAGAATATAAAGAAAAATGAGCATATGTCAAAGGACAGTTTCGAAGTTAATTAGATAAAGCTAAATGACAATGGGGTTGTGATGTATATATAAATCAAAGTAAAAAAAATTAACGTGGATCGGACTATTTTATCAGACAGATTTATTATAAATGGAAAGATGGCTGAAGAGGAAGCAAAATCTTCATTCGTGTCATGATTTAAACAAGTGCTCTTCTGAATTACCAGCCCAATGGGGTACCAGCTGATGTGAACTACCCAGCTTACAACAGCTATCTCAAGTGGACTGCTTATCCAATTTATAAAAATAGAGAAGCGTTCAGCGTTTTTCAATGATATCCATTTTGATACAAAACTAGTTTTAATTACAGTGATAGTGACTGATGCAAGTTATCACAAGTTGTTTAAACCAACCACCAACAAATTGTTGGCGGCCTGGTCAAACGACTGGGCTACCAGAATTTCCATCCATCAGAAAGCTTAAGAGCGTTTTTGCATTTCTTATTGTTTAAGTCATGCAAATTATATCAGATGGTCACTACATGAACTCGCAAGCATATTTAATCAGCTTCAGACTGAAACCTGGGTGATTCTTGAAGGAAATGAAGAAAAAAGTACAGAACTGGTTCTCTTTTCGTGTGCAGCAAAACTACGTCACTTGATATACTTCAGAGTATTACACTGCATGTAAATCCTTTTGTTGTCTTCAACGACATCAAAATCACAAGAGAAGAGGAATCCGAGAACAAAATCACATTTCTGGACATCTTAGTCAAGCGAACAACCACAGAGGAATCAGAAACTTAATTTTACAGAAAATCAACCTACACAGACCAAATACTGAATTACAACAGCAACAATCCAATAACACGCAAAAGGAATTGAATACAAACACTATTCAAGAGAGCCAGCACTCCCACCTTAAGGAAAATTGAAGAAAGATATCTCATGGACGTCTTCCAAAAGAATGGATATCCACGGAATTTCATCAAAAGACATATACCCCCAAGCCAACCAATCAAATCAAAGGCCCCCAAGGCGAGCACAAAGGAAGTCACCCTACCATACATAAAGGACATTTCAGAAATCACAGCAAGACTCTTCAAACCTTTATGAATTGATCTCGCACATAAGCCAACGAAATCACTTCACTCAGCTTTATGTTAACCAAAAGACTCAACAGCGAAAGAAGATAAAACCAACATCATCTATAAAATAGATTGTATCAACTGTGAAAAACACTACACTGACCAAAATGGACGTCCCCTTCGTCTTCGTATCCATGAACATAAGCTAGCCGTCAAAAGATATGACATACACTCCCTCATATCACTACACACAGACACCCATGGACATCAATTCGACCGGGACAACGTTCAAATTTCAGACAGAGGAGACACCAAAATCTCCAAAGAATTTTTAGAAGCGTAGTATTCCAGTGAATTGTCAATCACTAAACACATCGAATTAGACAAAATATACCAACCAATAAGAAAGAGATCTCACACACAAAGGGTCAAAGTTCAAGTCAAGGAAACAATCAGTTCCAATACAAGTAGCTTGGAGGGTGTGAAAACACACAAAAACAACCAATCACGTTCAAGGTCACCAAGAGAGATGACCACTAAACTCTTGGAGAAATCTAAAAGCTCACTTCAAATTGAAGTATGCGCTGAAGATGTTGCCTAGTAGGGCAATGAAAGCTTCATAAATAAAATATCCAGCTCAGAGAACACAACCACATCAAAAACAATGATAAATTTACCTTTACAGTAGTCTCTTCTACTTTGTAATCTCATCCCTGGACCAGTTACTCTTGCCTGTTGTATTTCAAATCCAGACGGACAAACCTCTGGACCTAACGGTTTTTTGATTATACCTTCAGCGCGAAATTCAATCTGTCCAGCTTGTAAATCAGCTTTGTGTTCTAATCCGTCCACTTGTAATTCTTGTGTTAAATAATTTTGTCTCCTATCTGGACCAATCCGAATAGTTGAAGTCCATGAATATGGTTCCATTTGAGATTTTTCTCTCTCTAAGTTATACACTGTAAATGCTCTAGAGGAATGACCATGTAGGCTGCCTGAACAAAAAAATAAATTAAGAAAAACAACACTGTCAGTAAGCAAATAGAAAATGACTTAAAGCGGACTGTATGTTCAGTGAACCCAAAAGCAATAGGGAAGAGATGTACATCATATTGTGTTGTAAGATCCCACTAGTAGGAAAGCTATTTCTCTCTTTCGTTGTACTTCATGTAGTTGATAATGCATTCAGTTGTTTTGCATTATTGTTATACGATAACTGTGCCTTATTTTTCTGTAAAATTAAGGGCACATAAAGTTACCAAACGGAAACATTTTCGTCTGGTGTGAACATGTAGAAGTTGAACGAAAAATCAATCATCAATTACTCAACATAAATTCTTTGATGATTATACAGAGCTGCTCAGTGTACGGGATTTATATGATGGCTTCCGTGATGACATTAAGTGATAAATATCAGCAGCTTAAGTCTTCTGGAATAGGAGACTTGGCCTTCACGGAAGATTTATGTCTGATGTCATATAAACTTAGTGACTTACAGGTGAAAACCAACAAGTTGATAGAATAAGCTGTAAAGACAGGACTTCAAGTGAATGTAGTCAAGATGCAATTGATGAAGATAACCAACCAACCAACAACAGCAGCAAGCAACCATCACTGTAAATGGGGACATTTGAAGGGAGTCACTTATTTAACCTATTTAAGCAGCTTCGTTTCAACTACAAGCATGCTGCACGGATCAAGATATCAAAAACAGGATCGGATAGGCAAGACATACATTCATTACTCTGAAATCAATTTTGAACTCTTCTACACTCAGCGTAAATAAGAAATTTCGAATTTTCGACACCAATGTTGAGTCAGTTGGTGCTCCTGTATGGGTCCGAAACTTGACGCGTCAACAAAAGCATTTCCAACAGACTGCAGACTTTTATTGACAGCTGCCTTCCCTCCATACTGAAGATCAGATGGCCAGTGAGAAGGAACTAGTAACAAGGAACTCTGGAAACGGACCAATCAAGAACCTGATGCTCAATAAATATGGAGAAAGAAATAAAGACGGATTGGACACATGCTGAGAAGATTGTTGAGTGACATAGCGCACCAGGCCATAGCTCAGGTGGAATTCGAGTGGGAAACGACGAGTTGGGCATCTTTCCGAGGGTAACATGAAGGAGATGAAAGACTATGGATAATAGTGCATCCAGCTGAAGAAGACTGCAGAGAACATTACAGAGTGAAGGTGTGGTGTTCAAGCCCTGTGAAGCACTTGGAACCCAAGGGAATAAGGATAACATCACAAGTCTTCTGAAAACTAAGTCAAAGTTATAGATCAGGTAAATAATCTCTTAGCCTAGTGTGAAATTACTTGTGGATTCTAACCAAAAATCTTATGATTGCTGGGACAGTACCCCACTAACTGCACCATAAGATCCATCTTGTGTCTTCTTGTTGACCCATTGTATACCACTCTTCTTGCTCCTCATAACGTGTGATCCAGAAGTGTCACACTTTATTTATTTTCTGGAATATTTTGACCAAACTTCACTGTTAGTACACTGTTTCATTACTGAGAATGCTGTTTTTGTGTTACTTTATTTGCAGCGAACAGCCAGCTGTATTGTATACAAAAAAATCATCCCTGCTCACCAGAAAGCTGAATAAAATTGTCGCAATACACTTTATTAAGTGAAGTAGTTTAAAGTAGTCATGTTTTCCCAAACCCTTCTTACCTTTTTGAGGACTTAACTGTACTAAATCTTCATGAAAATCGTGTAATTCAACTTCAGGATTCGATGTTGTTTTAGAATCAATTAAAGAAAATGTACACGATCCAGATAAGTGGATGTCAGTAGTCAGATGAATTATAGATTCACTTGAAGATACTCCGGATGACTCATTTGTTCGTGATACACGTTGACTCATCTGTATCATACTTCCATCTGCAAACTGACCGACAGATTCCCATGTTACTCCGTTTGATGTGCCCATCACTCTATGACCATTAGTTGCACCAGACACCTATGAAATTAGAAAAAATTTCGAGTCAAATAATAAAAGAATATAATGACTTTCTTCTGAAAACTTTTTAACACGTTTTCCTACTGCTAAAGCTAGTCACTAATTTACTTAAAAATTGGCATCAAGTTGACAGGTTAAGATTTCAAGACACGGTTTATTTATTAGGTAGTTAGAAAATGTCATCACTCTCTAGCACTTCTATTGGATACACTACTAGATCGCTGATGACTCTTCTGATGTTTCCTGGTCATTTTTTTATTGCTTTACGTTCCCAGTGGAACATAAGGCTTCAAACCAAAAGGCTTGAAGTTTCGGTAGCAGTGATATTTAATTTTACGGAATGGAGGTGCTAGTCTCAAGCCCAACCTTCCCTCTCTACCAGTCTTACTACTGGCTTAGCGAGGTAAGAGTGCGTCAGCCGGGGATCGAACCCCGGACCACCTGTGTGGTCGGCGAGCACTCTGCTGCTGTGCCACTGGTCATTAGTACTAATTTAATTCTGTTCTCTGGTTTCTAATGATCGTCTAAGTGATCTCACTTTCTGATCTAAATCCACGCTAAACTTGATTAAAGCCTTAGAAAGCCAACACATCTGAACATAAACTATTCGGCATATTTAAAAAATATGAATGCACTTATGTACCAAGTGAAAAGTATAATAATTGTTTCTTGAAGCACAGTTCAAACTGACTTAAATGTTACTATAAGATGGGAATATAACTTTAACAAGGATGTGGACACAATTTTATAGAAATATATTTATCAACTTACTTCTTGTGCTGCATACCAAATACCTGGGAGATAAATTTCAGTTAATGCCTGAATACACTGACTGCGTTCTGGTGGTACATTGTACAGATAAAATTCATAAGCAGTTGGACGATTCGCTCCAGAGTTAAACCAACTAGCATTAAGAAGAATTGTGCCTAAATCTTGACTGTTGAGTTGACCGCGAATAGTACCAGTTAACATCCCCTTGTTAACATGAGATAAAGCATCTGTATACGAAACAAAATTACACATATTCGTAAAATAAATTAGGAAGGCCTTCCTGTTCATGAATGTTTTGATAAGAGGCAGGTTCATAGATTTATAATTTACACAATAAATAGCTTCCGTAAAGTTAGACCGAAAATGGGATCATATAGCAATTTGGGAAAGAGTGTATTTTTTATAAATTTATGTAATTTTAAAAAAAAATTTTGATTATAGCTCCATTCCACACCTTATTTTTGGATAATTATGTGATTTTCAGCATGTGATATCGGTAGCCCAAATTTTGTAGGTTGACCATTGATATGAGGTGTGCGTCGTCAGGGGATCGAACTCAGGACCATGTGCATGGTCGGCGAGATTCCTAACCGCTGTGCCATCGACGCACAACTCAACTCATTGAACAGTAAGGAATGCGATGCCCATTTTTGAAATAATGTACATTTTGAGTTTAATACGAGCTGAATTTCCCTTTTTGAAGATATATGAGGTGTAATAACAGTAAGCTGAAGATCAAGGTTGACATGATTTTATTAACAGAATTTTATTTTGATGAACTAACAAAAAGCTCCCCTTGAATAGGTACTTTATGGGAATCCGAGAGGTATTTTTGACCAGAAATATATCACTTTTAGAAAACCTTTTTAAACACCAAGAATCATCCTAGTTTTGGATTATTTAACTGCATGATCTCAAATCCCCAGGTTACCTATGTTTATTTTGAGTAGTAATATTTTCATTCGCTTTTTTCTCACCTCATTTTTTTACCTTTTAACCGTGATCTTGATCCGTAAATAATCTGACCACTATTGGTCTAATTTTGACCCTGTATCGTTTGTCATGTTATTTATAGATATACATGACAAGTACGTGTGTGATCATAATATCCGAAATGTTTTGTGCAAATGTATTCCATGCCTCAGATAAACTCTGTCTTCTTACTGTTGTGCAGAAATGATCTGTTGGTAACTTTGTTTACCGGAACATGTAAGCAGAAATTTTTAAAGTTTTTTATGACATACTATACAGAAATGTTATATTTGAGATTTCAGAGTACTTGAATAGAAAAGGTAATAAAATTAGGCCAAATATAATAATAATACGCATATGGAAAATAAAGGCTTGACTTACTCTCACATCTGTCTACTTTGTGTTCAAGCACGCAATCTTGAATCTCTTCCGTTGGACCTGGACATCCATGAGATGGTAGGACTGAACTACTTCCAGTTAAATCATTTTCAGTCGATACGATTGTACATGTTCTTTCACGACGCCTTATTCCACCTACTTCTGATATCTGACCATTAGGTGAACAGTCCGGTTCACATTCTGACCAAGAAGACCATTCTGACCAAGTGGGATTTTGTGTAATGTCCGACTCTGGACAAAATCCTGAACTGCCACGTTTTTGTACTTCACAAGTCCTTATCTCTTTTGCTGAACCTCTGCATAGGCGTCCACCAAACTGAGGTTGAGGTTGTGTACATTCACGTTCTCTGCTTTGTAATCCAACTCCGCAAGTACGCGAACAAGCCGACCATGATGACCAGTTTGACCAATCCCCATGGACTGTAATTAAGACCAAACATGTTCAAAATATCACATAAAGTAGACACTGAAAATCGAATTCATGTAATCCAACATTTGAAAACTAACTGGTTGCCCATAAGTGCCCCCCTGTATGATGGGTTCCCTGGAGTTCTTACGAGAAGCCGTGTGATCCATCGAGTCAGATTTGAAAACAAATCACTCATCAGTGTCATTGGAATGCGTTGGTTCTGTTTCGTGAATTGACAGAATTTATAATTCAGGGGTCTTTGAGTACCATCGCTCTGGCTGAACGGTGAACTAACCTACCCTGAATCTTAGAGGTTCCTCATTCGATCCGTGGTGAGATCATGCATGTGTACTGTTGAGGATCCCTAATTAAGGATGAAACAGTATTAGAGCATTTTCTGCTTTCTAATGGTTCCTTAACTGATGTGAATGTGTGGCGAAATCTGCCTTGAATTCAGTCAAATACCCAGCGCTTAAAAATACACACAGAATAAGTTTAAACCTTATGTTTCTTACATGAATTCTTCTTATGTTAAATCAACACATCCTTTATGTTTCACCAATGCACTAATAATAGTAATAATAATTGAACAGTTTAAAAAACCATAAGGAATGTCTCATAGAAGAACCACTTCACATAAAATGGATTCCAAATGGTCTGGTTAGAAATGAGATGTAAATATTGTAGAAGTTAATGTCACAGGAGAATGATTATGATAATCTACTGACCATACTCTTGATCCGGGTCTGACTCCCTGACGACCCAATCGTAAACTTTCCCTTGTTTGCCAGTCGATACTAGGTCCGGAAGAGGAGGGATGTTGGAAGCTAGCAATCCCCGCTCTGTGAAAATGACACCATACCTACTAAAAATTCAAGGCCTCAAGCTTGAAGCCTTATGTTCTACTCAGAATGCAAAGAACCAAAAAAATTTTGGCCATGTACACATAAATGTAGCCACTTAGTTTGGGGTCTTAACAACTTATATGCACATTTACCCAGCCCATTTTATATTATATCATTTCACGAAATTCATTTAATTTTATTCCAGTGAATATGTACAACTGACTTTGAAGCATTATCTTTCTTATAATCTGTATATATCTAATTTCACCTATAAATACAAAACTCTGTTCTTTGTGTTTCTAATATATTCCTGTTCAACCTTTAATTTGTTCGTGTGATGTTCATTACCCAACTGAATGCAATTCATGTGCAAATTTTAACCACAGTCATTCGTTGTTAATAAACTGAAATTTTCCTATAGTACACTGATTTTCTTTGAATGAAAACAGTGACCAAATGACAGAGTTCCTAAAAATGTAGTGAGAATTCGTAACCAGTCACATCCCCTGACTTGGATGTCACGACAAATACTCTCTGATTAAATTGGCTTCCGTAGGCGCTATATGTTGCAAACCTGAGTTCAACCAATAATAGGTTCATGAGTACATACTCCTGAAGAGACGCAAACTAGGACGAAACAGCTGTTCAGTTTTCCCTAGTATCCAGTGGTTCATTAGCTGATGTCATCCTGTGACCTGACCTGAAGTCAACAGAATGCCTACAAAAACAATATTTGAATATTTCTAAAATCCTAAATAGAGGTTACCATTAATGATGGATTCCGCAAGGAATACTGATAATTTTAGTTCTTATTTTATGTATGACACATCCTCCACTTAGGTTAGAATTATGCAAAAGATGAATGTTAAGAAACCACATTTATGTATTATCACAATTGTGATTTCGCTCGGATTATGGCCAGTTCTTATCACTTCTTTGTTATATATCCTCCGATTTTGAGCACTGCTTAATTATCTCGCCCTTGTTTAACAGAACAATTTGTTTTGTTTAAACGGTATTTGAGGAAGTCCACATCCATCTAAAATAAGTTTCACGCATGTATAATCAGTCCACTAATTTTTATCATGTGGCTTACTCTGTCTTAAGTTTTAGCCAAGTATGATATTTGTTCTACTTTTCTTAACAGACAGTTGAAGTTGCGATAAATTCTAAAAGTCACAGAATCAGGTTGGTTTTGATGAGGAATTCCGTTATTGGCTGCGTAACTATTTGTTCAGACCTGTTTTATTATTATTTATTTTATTATTATTCCCTTGTGTTCCAAGTGGAACATAGGGCTTCAACAACACATCTCCACTTTGTTCTGTTTTCTGCCGTCTTCTTAAGCTTCGTCCATGATTGCCCACAATCTCTCATCTGTTCCTCACAAGATCTCCTCCATGTCACCCTCTCACTTACTACCTACTCGCCTCTTCACATTGAGATTCCACTCAAGGGCCCGGCGTGCGATGTCATTCGGCGGCCTCCTCAACGTATGTCCTGTACATCTCCACTTTCTCCCACATATTTGTTGAGCGATCGGCTCTTGCCTGTTGGTTTGTTCTCAACCAAAGTTTCTTGTTGCTAATTCTTTCTCACTGGCTTGCCATTTGATCTTCAGTTTGGAAGCAGAGAATGGGGCAGCTGTTGATAAAAGTTTGCAGGAGCCTGTTGGAAATCCTTTTCGTGACACGCCAGCCAGGTTTCTGACCCATATAGAAGGACCGACTTGACAGTGGTGCTGAAAATCTTCTTCATTATGCTGAGTGCGGAAGATTATCAAAGTGGTTTCAGGTTGATGAAGGCGTTTCTTACCTTTCCCTTTCTGACTTTGACATCTTCGTCCGTTCTGACTGCCTGTACTTGAAACGATGCTTCCCAGATAATACCTGTATTGAGTGTTTTTGAGGTACTTGAATAGGAATAATTTCACTGTTTACATAAACAAGCAGTTTATCGTTCAGTTTAAAAAACTACATTAACACTACAAAAGATAATACCAGTGAAAATCTGTTAATTATATGAAATTAGTATTGAAAGTGCAATCGATATATGTAACAACCTACTTGGACATGCTTCTGACTGACATTCAGAAATTTCTGTACTTCCTGTTGGTGGACAGTCTTCACCTCCATACGCGGGAGCTGGACTATCGCACAAACGAGTACGCCGACGTTGACCTCCACCACAACTATGCGAACAATGAGTCCACGAAGTCCATTTACCCCACCCTCCATTCACTGGGCATGGACCACGATTGCAAGCCCTCACCTGGAATCGAAACATAGTGACAAGTGAATTTATTACTGTTATGACAATTATTAAAACAATTCAGGACGAAACTTAAAGGATTCGATAACTTTCTACAAGGTGAATTAATACTAAATCTTAACTCTAAACATATGACCAGTGAATTTATAGAACAATGAATATTAACTTAATCGTTATTTAGTAGGATGCAAGCAAAAATAATCAACGCATTTTTTGTTATTACAGCAAAATATTATACAAAAAATCTACATAAATTTATTTTTTACCAAATGATATTTGAAATATATACTAATTTAATTTACCATTAGTTCTTGACCTGGACAAGACCTACCACCATTTGACGGCGGCGGATTGTCACATGTTCGCCTACGATTTTGTGTGCCTCCTTCACCGCAGGTGGCCGAACACTCTGACCACGGTGACCATGGTGACCAGCTACCACCAACAGGGCAAGGTGGAAGACCTTCACACATCACATCTTCCACGGCTTCACCAACACATGGCTGAATAAAAGCAAACAAAATTCAGTTGATAAAATAAGCACTCAATCAAAAGTGAATTCACTTACCTAATTGGTCGTGCAACAATCAACAACAAAAACAGACAATCTTTGTCGGTAGCATTGCAGTTATTTGCAACTTAACAGTTTCATACACTACATACTGCACTGGTCTCATCCCCTTATTCTAGTTGCAAAGATTTCTTTGGCAATCACTCTCTCATCAAAAGGGTGGCTAGACATTAGTAAGATCGAATTTTATACGGCAGCTAGCTTAAGTTTCCATCCAGTTTACTGCATCAACTTCTTCCCCAATCATTATTCTCTTAACCCTCCAATTATGTTACTGGTTCACGTCATGTACTCATATATTTCTAATTCGGATTAAATCTACTGGTATGCACTTCTTGAAAGAAATGATGGGGAAATGTCATAAGGTATTAGAGCTTGTTTTAGACGCAACCACAGTGCATCACATGAAATACTTTAGATCATTATCTTAATTAAAGATCCTGTGCGAAGGATAAACATTCTGCAATAAATTACACTGAGAATTCTGTTTGGTATGCAAATATGCTGTGCAGAATACAGCTGTTACAGCAAAAGTAATTACTACTATTATTATCAATACTATTATTAGAATTGATGAGTATCGAAATGTCAAATTATGAACAAATTTTGTTAAAACTTAGGAAAGAGTAGACTAGAGAACAGAATCAATCCATAAAGCCATCAAAGCTTAACAACCCCAGTGAGCTACACGCACAACGTCCACGACAAAGCTAATTTGTTCGAGACTAAAGACAAAATAATGGAAAACACTCAACAAAACAAATGTAGTTGAGTCTGGACTACTTTATGTTGACATCATTTCGCATAGGGTTTTAGGCAAACCTATAGGTACTGTTACTTCGTGTTTTTATCCTTTTTGTAATTTATTTGTATACATAATAATTATAAATGAAATTGGCACTCACCCTGCCACCATTACTTGGTGGTGGACTGTCGCAACGCCTTCGTCTTTGCGATAACCCTGCGCCGCACGTAGCTGTACAAGCTGACCAAGGTGTCCAACTGCCCCATTCACCATCTGTTGGACAGAACGATACTAAGCAAGAACGGATTTCAGTAGTTTCTCCAAAACAATGAGCACCGCCATATTTTGGAGCTGGATCGGTACATTTACGAGTCCTAATAAATATCATAATGTCATTTGAAATTAATTATCCATTTGCTTTACTACTGAAGTAAAAACAATATGAAAACATAGTCACACTTACAATCACTATTAACACATACTAAATATTCTAGAAACTCTACGTTTTCACTGTTAAAATTCTTTTTACAACTAGATGTAAAAGTGAGAAGCAATATGGAAATCTGACGTAAAACATCGTGAAAGCGTAGGAGAAAACTTGATTATTCTAGCAAAACTACGGTTTAAGGTGCAAGATTTTAAATTGACACATGGAACTTTGTCCGGTGCTTAATAACGTATTATAAATCAGTCGCTGTAAATGTCCATACTTAACTGACACACTAAGTAGCTAGATAACTTTATAGACAAGCAAAATCAACAAAGGCATCTTTAAAATGAATAGTCAATCATTTGTGAATGTACTCACATAAATGAAAATAATTTATATTAGACTGATAACAATTGTTTTCTCTACTACTTTTCTGGATGCTTCACACCTACTTTTGGTAGAATGGACCTATAACATGTGGTCATTGATATGAAAACGTATTAAAAGTCTGTATATAGTACTTTTAAGTTTAGTTAACTTCAGTTGTCATAGTTCTGAGACTTCTCGTAAGTATGTTGAGTGATCTTTGCAAGAAAACCAGTGTAATGCATCTAGTGTTTAGTGTTTGGGATGATTGAATTCCATTAGGTCACAATGGTATCCAAGATTGGTAAATGGTCTGTTTGAACTAATATTAGATATTTGGCGGTAATCAGTCGGAAGTCATAGATCTAGAACCTGTGATTAGACACACGACAACAGTTATTCTCTAGTAATTAATAAGTAGATCCGTTAAGGCCCACTAGGCGTTCAGTCATGAGATCTAACAGACCAGTGGTAACATCTCTGGCTACAGCAATGGGTGACACAGGTACGAAACCTAAGTCCAGCGTTTCCTATCGACTGCCTCCTATCTCCTCCCACCAATACTTTACTGAGACTGAGACTGACACCACCTCATACATATCTGTAAGGTAGTCGGAATTCCCTATTGTATTCGTTTGACTGTTTTTTATAATATAGGCAAAAATGTGACAAGTAGACTCTAAAGTCATTCGTGGATATTCGTGATATTTTTCTAGCAGACCTAATGAAATTAATGTTAAGACGATGAACTATTTGTTTACAACAGCATTAGTGCCAATATAATAAAACACCTGCTTATAATCAAACTTTATATTTCAAGCTCAGTCTACCTTGATTGTGTTCCATGCCCACATGTTTGACTGCATTCTGACCATGAAGACCACGGTGACCATCGACCATCTAACTGAACTTGTAAAAATGCAGGGGGTGAAAAATCTTCACCCAAACTTGAAGATGCGACACAGTGATACAAACCGTCGTCATCAGATGAAACTCCAACAATTCTAAAATTTAGGATAATGAAATTAATGAAGTGAAAGTGCATTTTTGAGACTACTGCTTACGCTATGAAATCTGCTCTCTAGACTAATTTTCTTGAAATCACAACACAGTTATATGAAAAGTTAAGAAAAGCTATATAAATTAGTTAAGACATTAGAAAATTCAAGCTTTCAGAGAAGTAAATGTTTTAATTTATTATTAATCTGGGTAAGTGCACTGAGCGCATGAGACTTTGAAGAAATATGGAACTGACGGCAGAAAATGTTATTAGGCATATTCTGAGTTTATATTAACTCCTTGTCGCAATTTTCTGTTCACTCTAAATTTATTCATTCTTTTTTTCCTTCACGTTCCCCAGTGGAATATAGGGCTTCAAGCTAGGGATAACTGGCTTGTGGCGGCCAAGCGTTCATAGCAACGTCGCTTTTTGATCCTTCGATGTCGGCTCTTCCTATCATTGTGAAGCAGAATTCACCAAGCGTTGGATTGTTCACCCACTAATAGGGAACGTGAGCTGGGTTTAGACCGTCGTGAGACAGGTTAGTTTTACCCTACTAATGAGTACACTAATCAGTGAAGTACAATCTGACCGTTGCTATGGTAATCCTGTTTAGTACGAGAGGAACCGCAAGTTCAGACAATTGGTATATGTGCCTGGTCGAAAGGCCAGTGGTGCGAAGCTACCATCTGAGGGATTAAGACTGAACGCCTCTAAGTCTGAATCCCGTCCATATTTGCAACGGTACATTCCGTATCCGACACGTGGCTGGGCAAGCTTACGTATTCCTTTTGGTGTCTGGACTGGACCATGTGTTCGGCTAGGCCCATTAGGTCTGGTGTTACGCCAGAGCGATGACCATAAACTATGCTCCGGATTTCGGGGTGTAGGGGTCGACACGATATCTAATTGTGGTATGAGCGTGAGGATACTAAATCGTTTGTAGACGACTTAATGTTTTGTCGGGGAGACGTAAGTGCTCGAGCAGCTATCACACTGCGAGGCATTGAGTCCTATCCCTGTTTGAAGTAATGATTTGAGGGCTTGATCCTCATTCATTTCCCTAATTACTGGACTACGGTCTGGTATATAAATAAACATTTATGCCTATGTGCATGATTGTGGTTCCTCTTCATCAGATTTTTTATTTCTGGCTTAACGAGGTAAAGGAGTGCGTCGTCCGGGGATCGAACTCCGGACCATGTGCGTGGTCGGCGAGTGTCCTAACCGCTATGCCACCGACGCACTTATTCAATCGTAATAGTGACCTAAAACGTCTCGATGAGTAGCATTCATCAAACAAATCACTTGACATCACTAAATGTCGTCAGGTTCAGACTCTTATCCATAAATCATGGCTGTATTCAGATGGAAAGATGAATTTTAAAGACAGTTTAGAACTAGTAAGCAGATTCAGGTCAAATTTTGATGTTGGAATGCTAACTTAAATAAAATCGATTATTCTAATATTTCAAATCAAATGACAACTCATTTTATGTTAAAACTACCAGTGTTAGACAATGTAAACGAGGTATTTCCTTACTTCTTCTGGAATTCTCCCATGCACATTATTCAACATATAACTTCATTCAGTCTGCTTTAGATGTGCTAAGACAAACATGACTATTTTAGAACTTGGTTTCTTTATTATTATTATTATTATTATTATTATTCGCTTGAGTTCCGAGTAAAACATAGGGCTTCAACAACAACATATCCGCATTTTGTCCTATCTTCTGCCGTCCTCTTCAGCTTGGACCACGATTGCCCACAATCTCTCACAAGATCTCCTCCATGTCACCCTCTCACTGACTACCCACTCTTCGCCGCTTCCCGCTAGGATTCTACTCGAGTGATGGCCTACATTGCGTGCGATATCATTCGACGTTTTCCTCAATGTATGCCCGATCCATCTCCACCTTCTCCTACATATTTGTTGGGCGATCGGCTCTTGGTTGGTTTGTTCCCTCAGCTTCTTGTTACCAATTCTTCCTGGCCGGCCATTTGATTTTCAGTAGGGAGCCAGTGAAGGGGGCAGTTGTTGATAAAAGTCTGCAGTAGCCTGTTGGAAATCCTTTTCGTGACACGCCAGCCAAGTTTCTGACCTGTATAGAAGAATTGGCTGACTTTGTGTTGAAAATCCGAATCTACTTCTTCATGCTGACTGAGTGCATAAGATTTCCAAACTGATTTCAGGTTGATGAAAGCGTGTCTCGCCTTTCCGATTCTGGCTGGCTTTGACATCTTCGTCCATTCCGACTGCCTTTGATTGAAACCGTGCTTCCCAGATGAGTGAAGGCAGAAAGTAGCCTCTGTCAAATCTCTCGCGTTGATTGTGATTGGTGCTGGGTGTTGTCGTTGTTGCTGTTGGTTGGTTACCTTCATCAACTCCGTCTTCTCTATATTCACCTGCAGTTCTGTCATCGCTCACTTCCTCTTCTACCAGTTTGTTGGTTTTCGCCTGTAAGTCTTAGAGTTTATGTGACATTAGACATATATCATACACCAGTGCTAAATTATGTATGTTCAGCTTGGATGTTTAACTTCCAGATAACTGGTCTTGAGTTTCTATGCCATTCTACTCACATAAATGTAGGTAAAAATATATTAGTCATGAGCACTGATAGGCTAGTAAATAAAAACTCTCTATTCAGTGACTGGGCGGTTGCCTCGACTAAATAACACCTTCGAAACGCATTTTCAATTCCAAGAGAACATATATTTCAGTTAATTCTTCAACTTTTTTTTCACCCTTCTGCATTTTGTATTATTGATGTCACTGGTAGTTAGATAGCTTTGATCAGCAACATATCATGCAGCTTAGTTCCAGTCTGTCATCGACTGGTGGTATTTAGAAAATTCTTCTCATTATGAAAATATGCAACTCCCGGCTACTTCACAGTTCTTATTTACTTACCTCAGAGAACCATTATTTACAACTGAACGATGTCCATGAAGCGTGATTAACTGTTTATCTTTATACCATGTAATAGTTGGTTTGGGCTGACCTTCTGCAAGACATTCCATCGTGACTACACTTCCAATTTGAGCAGTCATATTATTTGGATAGGTAACAAGATATGGTTTGCCTGGGAAATGAAACAAAAACTACTGCATTAACACCAGGCTAATAGTACATACAATTTAGAAAAAACATAACAATCGGATATGATAGAATGTTGATCGCTTGAGAATGTTTATTTTTTCGCTTACAAAGATTCGAAGTTGACAACAAATTAGAAATTTCTTCGTAAAAGCAGCTTGAGAAGAAATAGATAATAACTGTGGTTTATTCAGGTAAGACAAAACGACTTCATACCCTGTAAAAAGACATGGACTCTTTCAAAGTAACAGATTGCTCAAGCTGCTAAAAAAGATAATATTTTAAAACGTTCTCCTTCGGTATTGTTCTCAATGCCACCCAGTACTACTGCAGAAAACTAATGTAAAAATACTGGAATTGCGCATCTGTAACTCCTTAGATGAATGTGGTATATGTTGCGCTGGAAAATTATTGGATTTCAACACAGTTGTCAAATTTTTACATGCTGACAATTAGCTTCAATGGCTTAAAAAGTGACCTTTAACGTAGTTGTAGTTGTATAATACTGGAAATTCTACATCCTCAATGTAAAGTTTAAAAAAAGTTTTGTGCCTTCCTGTTCCGAGTAGAACTTGGGGCTTCAAGCTAGAGCTTTGAAGTTTCCGTAGTAGTGGTTTTATTTTTACAGGGTAAGGTTGCTAGCCTCGCACCCAACCTCCCCCTCTTTACCGACATTACCAACGGCTTACAGAGATTTAGAAGTGAGTCGGCCGGGTGGGTCGTTGGTGAGCGTTTTCCCTCTGAGCCACCGACTCACAAGTTATGGCTTACACATCCTTTATGTAACTCGTTGGTTCTCTAACTGGTGTTGGTGCATGACCAGAACATGTTAAATCAAACCATTCCTAGTAAATTATTCACTCTATGAAAATCCTCACATTTCATATTCGTTGTTACTATGAATACTCCTCTCATATCAACAATTCTTAAACTTCATTTGAATAAACACTTGTTTCCCCATGTAATGTTACCTGACACTTGCTTGTGTTTCAGTTTATTTAACGTGAAACTCAGAGTCTAATAATAGGTTTTGTAATCTTTTACTTGGATTGGATCTTCCTAGAGTACTTGATTTTGATATTTATTCATGACTGGTAAAGCTGTCTTGGATAACCGTGGATTTGCAAGCTGGCACTGACGCGACAGATTAGGAATGAAGATGAAATAAAGGCTTGCATAGCATCAGACTTCTAGCGTCCTGCCTACCTGCTTGAAGGTCTTTTCATCTAAGTATTCAACATCCTTAGCCGCTAAATCTGCAGAGGAGGTTATATAAAAATATATTCTGATTCCGCTGAACTGTTTTTTTAAATGAAGCAGTTTACTTAAAATTAGATGTTCTAAAATTAATTGTTGGAGAAGTATGATGAACAATCTCAAAAAACCATTCAGAATAATGGTGTTTTAAATTAATCTGGCGTGAGGCCAGCAAACCCACCCTGTAAACAAAGATGCTACAGAAACTTCAGCGTGAACAATCTCCTTGCGTCAAAAGAAAAAGTCTGTGTGGGGACATGGAATGTCCGCACCATGTACGAGACTAGCAAAGCTGCCCAGATCGCAAGCGAAATGAGGAGATACGGACTACAAGTATTGGGGATCTGCGAAAGCAGATGGAACGGATACGGACTCACCAAATTGTCAACAGGTGAGTCAGTGATTTACTCCGGTCACCCAGAAGACAACCACACACACACCGAGGGCGTGGCTATCATGATGTCACCAACGGCAACCAAGGCTGTGATACAATGGGAGGCGATCTCACCCAGAATAATGACCGCCAAATTCAACTCCAAAGGAAGAAAAGTGTCAATTATACAGTGCTATGCACCCACAAACAAAGCAGACCTCGAAAAGAAAGAAGAATTCTACAGACAACTACAGGCAGCAATAGACAATACTCCAGCTGGTGACATTAAAATACTAATGGGAGACATGAACGCCAAACTTGGACCAGACAACACAGGAAGGGAACTCATCATGGGTAAAGAAGCTCTGGGAGAGATGAATGAAAATGGAGAACTCTTCGCCGACTTCTGCGCCTTCAATGAACTAGTGATTGGTGGCAGCGTATACAAACACAAGGATATTCACAAGGCTACATGGGTGTCACCAGATGGGCGAACCAAAAACCAAATTGACTTCATCACAATCTCGAGGAAGTGGCGGCGCAGCCTACTGGACACAAAAGCAAGAAGAGGAGCAGACGTTGGCTCAGGCCAATACCTCGTACAAGGAACAATCCAACTCAAATTAAAAGCTTTCAGAGAAACAGGAGCTGCAGATAGACCACAAGCCAAGTTCAACACTCAAAAACTAAAGGACCAGGATACAAAGGACATCTTTACTGCAAGCATAAAGGACAAAGCTGAGACACAAATCAACACTAGCGAAGAGGTCAGCGTCGAAAAACACTGGGACAACCTGAAAGCGGTATGGAGCGAAACCTGCATGGAAGTTCTGGGCAGAAAGAAGAGACAGGACAAACCGTGGCTCACTACGGACACTTGGAAACTAATAGAAGAGAGAGGGATGGTGAAACAAAAGATTCTCCAGTGCACCGATGAGCAACAAAAACAGGATTTGAACGCAAACTACAAGAAACTGAACAAAAGAGTAAAGAAGAGTACCAGAGAAGACAAAAGAAAGTACTATGAAACCATAGCAAGTGAAGCAGAACAAGCTGCAGGCAAAGGAGACCTCGCAACACTCTACCAAACAACTAGGTACCTCTCAGGCAAAAATTCGTCACAAATTAAGCCAGTGAAGGATCACAACGGAAAGTCAATCACCAAAGAAGTGGAGCAAAGGAAACACTGGGCTGAACACTTCAAAAGACTAATAAACCGACCGCCACCTACAACGTGCCCAACAATACCAACAACGGAAGCAGAATTACCAGTGAACATCAACCCCCCGAGGAGAACAGAAGTCCTGAAGGCAATCAAGATGCTGAAAGCTGGAAAAGCAGCAGGACCAGATGGAATCCCAGCAGAGGCATTGAAAGTGGACCCAGAGACAACAGCGAACTTGATGACGCCACTACTGGAGAAGGTGTGGAAAGAAGGCAAAGTACCCGAGGATTGGAAGAAAGGATACTTATTCAAACTACCAAAGAAAGGAGACTTAAGTCAATGCAAGAACTGGTGCGGAATTATGCTCCTGTCCATCCCAAGCAAAATACTAAGCCGCATCATCCTGGAGAGTATCAAACAAGCCCTGGATCAAAAACTTCGACCGGAACAAGCTGGATTCAGGAGAAACAAGTCATGTAGTGATCAAATCGTCACATTACGGATCATCATTGAACAAAGTTTGGAATGGCAGTCACCTCTCTATCTCAACTTCATCGACTTTGAAAAGGCCTTCGACAGCGTCGATCGAGAGGTGATTTGGAAACTACTTCGCATCTACGGGGTGCCACCGACAATAATACATCTCATCCAACAGTTGTATGACAACGCTGCATGCCAAGTAATCCACAACGGGAAGCTCACGGAATCCTTCGAAGTGAAGACAGGAGTAAGACAGGGTTGCCTACTATCGCCAATGATTTTCCTGATTGCGGTAGATTGGATAATGCGACAAACAGCGGGCAATGAGGAAACAGGCATAAAATGGACTCACACAAAGAACTTGGAGGATCTGGACTTCGCCGATGATATATGTCTGATTTCCCACAAACTGGAAGATATGCAAGTGAAAAGTAACAAGTTGGCAGAAGAAGCATCAAAGATAGGACTCCAGGTGAACATAGAGAAAACAAAGGTAATGAAGATCCCTGGCCAACACCAACACCAACAACAGACAGCAATCAGCATAAATGGAAGGAACCTGAAAGAAACTACCTCCTTTACCTACTTGGGAAGCATTGTTTCAACTACAGGCGGAACTGACGAGGATATCAAAGCAAGGATCGGGAAAGCAAGGCAAGCTTTCATTACTCTCAAGTCTGTGTGGAGGTCAACAGCATTCAGCGTCAAAAATAAGATCGGGATTTTCAACTCCAATGTGAAGTCAGTACTACTATACGGATCAGAGACTTGGCGTGTCACAAAGAGCACCTCAAACAAGCTACAGACCTTCATTAACAGATGTCTTCGCTCAATACTCAAGATCAGATGGCCGGAAAGGATCAGCAACAAAGATCTCTGGGAGTGAACCAACCAGGAACCGATTGTGAAACAAATAGGCAGGAAGAAATGGAGATGGATTGGCCACACTCTGAGGAAACCAGCAAGTGACATCACTAGACAAGCCCTCGAGTGGAACCCGAGAGGGAAGCGACGAGTTGGTCGTCAGTGCAAGGGTGACCTGGAGGAGATCATGTGAAGAAGAATTGAAAGCGTGTGGGCAGACTTGGAGCCAGGTGAAGACTCTAGCAGAGAACCGAACGCAATGGAGACGCATGGCTGAAGCCCTATGTTCCTCTAGGAACTAAAGGAAATAATAATAAATAATGATAAATTAATCTGGTAGTTTTAAGCTAAATCGTTTGCGATACATCATTGATGAGCAGAACAGAAACTTCAGTACAATGAGTCTCCTTGCGAAAAAAGAAAAAGTCTGTGTGGGGACATGGAACGTCCGCACTATGTTTGAGACTGTCAAAGCTGCCCATATTGTGAATGAGATGAAAACATATGGTATTCCAGTACTGAGAATATGTTAAAGCAGATGGAATGACAGCGGACTCACAAAATTGTCAATGGGAAAATCAGTGATCTACTCCGGTCACCCAGAAGGCAACCACGAGTACACCGAGGGTGTGGCTATCATGTTGTCACCAACGGCAATGAAGGCCCTGATACAATGGAAGGCCATCTCACCCAGGATAATGACCGCCAAATTCAACCCAAAAGAAAGGAAAGTGACAATTATACAATGCTATGTGCGTCGGTGGCATAGCGGTTAGGACGCTCGCCAACCATGCACATGGTTTGGGGTTCGACCCCCGGCCGACGCACTCCTTTACCTCGCTAAGCCAGAAATAATGCTGGCGAAGAGGAAAGGTTGGGCATGAGGCTAGCAACCCCATCCTGTAAAATAAAAACACTCCTACAGAAACTTCAAGCGACAAGCTTGAAGCCCTATGTTCCACTGGGGAACGTGAAGGAAAAAAAATACAATGCTATGCACCCACAAACAACGCAGACCTCGAAAAGAAAGAAGAGTTCTACAGGCAACTAATAATAATTGATCAGCAGAAGCCCGAACAAAGGAAAGAAAACTGTCTGCAGCATTTCGAATAATTACGTGAAAATTAATAAAGATAAAATATGAACAAACATTTCTGTTAACTAGAATGATGTCAGGCTGATCACATTATAAGAAAATTAATGATATGTATACATACATCAAAAGTGAAGTATGCTTGAAAATGAATCACTTTTTTAATGAGGATTTAAGTCTTGAATGTACTTCTTTAGTAATTTGTTGTCATGGCTTTCCACATCGGTACAGCTGATATCTTCAGTGCAACTTAATGAGGAAGTAAATTTAACACACTTCCATCTTGGATATTGAGACGGATTTTCTTATGCACTTAACAGCATGCTGAACGCCAGAACATTTCCGCCAATTGTATCAGTGAGGGTGCATAAGACCGCAAGCAGACAAATTAGTTTCTTCAAAAATATATTTTTATGTATTATACCTTCGCGTTCCGAGTGAAACATGTGGCTTCAAGCTTGAGTCTTCAAGTTTCTGAGGCAGAGATTTTGTTTCTACTGAATGAGGTTACTAGCCTTACGCCCAAACGTCCCTCGTTAACAGGTACATCACCGGCTAGGCGAGGTTTAAGAGTGTGTCAGCCGGATATCGAACCCCGGGCCACTATTGCATTACTGACACACCAAATAATGGTGACAATCCAAAAGGTTTTCAAACAGTTGATTCCTTAACTAACATTCATTAACCGTAAACTATATTATTTGTTAACAAAGTCTTCTTCCTTTCGTTTTAGATATTTTCACCACATAAATAAACGTGATCAAGAAACGAATCAACCGAAATTTAAGGTGTTCTCTGTACTCTGCCTTAGTATAATAACATGTATGTTTCAAAATAAATAAGAGTAATAACACACATAGGCATTTTTAAGCGGCTAGTTCACTATCACTGTCTAATTCTTATAGTATCTGACCTGGTCACTATAGGCAACCAGTAGTCACGATGTAACATGATCCTCCTATAAAACTAATGGATCTCTTGAATCACAAACTCGATAGCTTTAGATCATACCGCACAAAACTGAATCATTCTGTAAAAATTATTTGGAATTTGTAGTAGTAATGGCAGGACGTACAGTGTTTCTCGAAGTGTCCTACTTACATTATTTAAAAGGCTTTCACGTTTATTTAAACAAGCAAAAACACTCTAGCTTACTTTCGACAACTAAACGAAGTTCACCAAGATCTTCACCGACCGGATTAGCTGCTATGCACTGATAAGTCCCTGTATCTCTGGCCTATAAAAGAAGTTATGTATAAATCACCACGTTGTATGTAATCTTGTTATTTAATGAACAGGTTAAAACTGAATAGACCAATAAGAAGAGTAATTTCAACCATGTCATTTGATTGAGAACCTTATATTTGTGTAATATGCCTTTCCGTAAACTCATGTCAACAACTTTGCATTCATAAAAAAGAGACATACAACATATGATTATATCCAGATTTCGGGTTTGGGGGAGATTTTGATCACAGCGTATGTAGCCTTAAGTTTCAATGACAAGTCATGGTCGGTGGTGTCTACTAATTCTAATGTGAAGTTGATACTCGTCGATGGCGTTTGATGGCAGTGGTGCTGTATTCGCAAATTGGTAGAAGTTAGAATTTGCACGTAGTTAGATGACAACCTACTGGCTAAATGACCAACAGGCTCGTCCCATAGCGATTAAAGCATTTACTTAAAAATGACAGTCTTTAATCGCATAATGTTTTCCTAATGACGAAACTTGGAATCAGCTTTAAAATTATGATATACTGTAGTAGCATTATATGAACAAGTTTACTATAAGCTTTGAAGTTGAGTGTTATATGGGTTTGGATAATTTGGTGGGCGTTTTCATACAGTTATAATTTTGGTCACTTTATATTAGTTTATTTACACTGAATAATACATAAAACAGATATTTAGTCAACTTCTCTTTGTAGACAACTTGCCTGTTCACCGAGGATTGTGTGAAGGGTATGAAAAAAATAAAATCTTGTTTTATGATACAATTCGTTTCGATTCTTATTCTTAAGCAGAATCTATGCAGTGAATAATAAATAGAGGATAATGATGGAGACCATCGGTAGGTTGCAAGGTAGAGATGTTGTCTGAGACGGCATTTTTTCCCCAAAGCTCTCAGTTGAAAATTATAAATCCAATATAGAGGATAGATCATGAGCCAATCCTCAAGTTTAGTAAAAAAAAGAAAACTAACACTAACCTTTGCCATTTTGATGACAAGACTGGAACCTCTGTCTAGTATACGAAAACGACTTGAATTTGAAATTTTATTCCCGTCTTTTAACCATATAACTGAATCAGCATCTCCACTAACTTCACATCGTAGACGAGTTGTATCACTTTCTTTAGGTGGTTCATCTGACTGATAGACATGCACTTTAGGACGGGCTGAAAAGGAAATGAAATTCATGTATACTATAACTCAGAAACCCAAGAAATGAAATCATATGAAAATGACTAAATAGTGAAGTTAAACAGATTCACGTGCACTCCATATGAGCCTATTTAGTATTACGTGAAACAACACAGAACATACTACGCTACATACTTAGACTGTGCATGGACTATACTACGGGCAAATGACTGTTTTTGACACAAATCTGTGGAGAAAAATCTCCAGTAGGTACATTATGATGTAAGTAACTTAATGCTCTATGTTTGAAGATTGATTAAAATACATATATGTTCATCCTAAGATACAGGAACTGTATACAAACAAAATAACGTTAGTCACACACATACCACCTAGGAAATCAACAGGCACCCTACAAATTAAAACAGGTTGACCATCATTTCTGGATTCGCTGTTAGTAGTATATTGGACAAAACACTTACTCTTAACCTTCAGTTCAAAATCATATTCAACACTTCCAGCATCATTTTTGGCTACACAGGTGTATCGACCAGCTTGATCAGTTCTTAGTGGACCAAGAACCAATGAACCAACTCCATTTTTACTTGGATTACCTGTATAAAATAAGGAAAATAATTATTTTGAATTTAGCACAGAATTAAACCACCCAAGTCAACATAACACAACAGCACCAAAAGGAACCACACCCATTATTAGGACATAAAATTTATTTTATTTGAACACAGCACTCTAGTTGTAGTGGTAATGATTGTAGTTGTCACAACCTAAGGTTCACAACATCTTGACTGTAAAGTTATTGAATTGACGGCTGGTAATATTTTATTTGTGTCTCTAAAGAACTCATCAGAACTCCAATGAACCGATAGAAAACGTAAAATTGGTTATGGAAGGGACAGTTGTAATGTTTTCTGGCACTTTACAGTAACTGATCACAAGTGTCTCATCACTTAACCGGACACTTCACCGTAATTTTCTTTATGCCAAAGAATCTCACAGTTGCCAATTTCTACATTCAGCTTGAATAAACACTAGGTCCCAGTATATACCAATAATAACATTGTATGTTACAATCAATGTATTATATTAAATTCCATTCATATTAAATGGAAGTTTGTAAGAATTCGCTCACTTGAATCATTCTTTTGATACAGTCGGTTATAACGCCCTAAACTGATGATCTGAAGGTTTAAAGAAATGGCTGTCCGCAACATTAACCAACATTTATTCACAATTTGGTGTTGAACACAAACACAGTGACTTTTATTGAGGTAATAGGTGGGCTGTAGTGATCTTTAAGTCTCAGAAAAGTTTTGGAAAGCAAGCAATATTGGACATCTACTTTATCTTAGTCCGAAACGCCTCGACATAGGCAGATGGAAATTAAATGACCCATGGTTTACAATTTCTGATGATTTGTGCCGAAGCGCCACTGGTATACACTCTCTCGTCTGACTTGGTATACTTCAAAAATCAAAAATCCTTTTTTAATACCCGAGAAAATTAGAAAAACACCTCTGAGATAAGACAAAGTCATCGATAAGCGCAGAAGATCCTTACAGAATATCCCTCTTTAGATAAATATATTCTGTAATAATAAAGCCGAATAACAGAAAGATTACAGCTTCATGATATGTATATCCTCTGTAACATGCTCACATTATGTTTCCTCTTCACAATTCCCCCTTTTTAACCGTCATCTCAACTTGTATTATAACCCTTGGTAGTTAATAGATTAATAAAAAACTATATAAATATGACTCTCTTCAACCTTATTTCAAAAGAAAACTCTTTTGGAAATATGAAGGAATATATTGTAATTAATAAACGTTTTGAAAAATGTTTCGCTAATGTATCAGACATATCATTTCTGCATTGTGAACTCACTTGGAATGATATTTCCATTATGCATCCAACGAATGTCTGGCTTTGGATGTCCATTAGCAATACAACGAAACTGTATCCATCTAGCTTCGTAGGCCTCAGTTGTTTGATTCGGTGTTCTCTCAAACTCTGGTTTAGCTATAATTAATCAAACAAAATAAATTTGGTTTATGTAAGAAATACGAAAAAGAGAATACATGATTTGTAAGTTCTCAATTTTTTCTCAAAAAAACTAACATTTAGTGAAGCCCCATCACAGAAGCTTCTCATAGTCAAATAACAATTATTTTATTGTACTTGTTCATCAACTTTCAAACCATAGGTTGAATTCCCGCAATCATTTGTTACAGATCACTCACAGAATACTGCTAGTGATGATTATGAACACTGAGTGTTGTTTATTGGCATTGGTGGCCATTGGCAAGTAACTTGAAAGCGCGAGTGATTCGATCGTGTACAAGTTAGAAGAAGACGAAAGAATACGAATAAAATTTCCTGCCATCTATTGTGTTTTTGAATAAAATTCGATTTCTGTGCCTAGTGGTTTATCGACTCTGAGCTTCTCCAGAGATAATAGGATCTTAGGATTAAGTTCCTTGATAATACATTTGCTCAAGTTATACCTTCTCAAGTGCCTTGAGTTTATTTCCTTCTCAGTTTCAATAAACGATCAGAATATTGGAAATGTAAATATAAGCTTCAATTACTATGATTGCCTTTTTCTTTCCACTTAACTATACATTTATTTGAGTATAAAGTGAATTCTTAAAATACTTACTGAAAATTGTCAAGAAGGTGGAATCCATTGCCATTTCTTGACCAGGAGAACGAGCAATACATGAATATGTTCCTCCATCAGTAGGCTATTTATGTAAAAGTGAAACAAAATATCACCAAAGAACAGTATTATTATTTATTTAGTTTTTAAAGAGAGTGCTGGTCATTAAAATATGTCCTTGGCTAGTTCGCTGCCCGGCAGATTTAATTGTAGCTTATACTTTCCGGACATCTGATCTTCCTTATCGAATGAAGGCAGGTATTGATAAGTTTTGCAGTAGACTTTGGCGAAAATACTTTTAATGACATATTCGCCAAGTATGTGATTCGGACAGAAGCACTAAACATATGTCATACTTATTTACACCTGCTGATTTTTCATATTCAGCAATAATTAGTTATCAGAGTGACTTCTGTACCATAAATACGCGCCCAAATTGTAGTCAACAGCTAAACAATGTCTACAACAACTCTGATTACCTCTTCAACGATTGAGATCAACAACAAGATCGATTCACATGTCAAAGTTCATCTGGGTGGTTAGATGTACCCCCTATTAGATAATTTTATTTGATACAACACACAACAATGTAGTATTAAGAGCCGGCTAACGTTTCCAGCGCAGTTTACGCCTCATAATCATAACACATTTAACACGTTTCTATGCACTTTTGAGTGCATACCAACTGATAAAAAACCGACTGAAAGGGAATACATTTCTTTGCTCAATGCATCTTTTGATTTTAAATGTCTACGTGGGTATTTCCAATACGAATAGAGTGTTGAACTGATAACCTGGTTGACTGTTTATTCATTTCTAGAGACGAATCACTTTTTTTCCTTTAATTTTAGTTTTTAGTACTGTATTCAATGATTTTAGCAGATACCTATAGTCAATGCTAAAGGGGGAAACATGTATTTCAGCCAGAACCCTTTTCTCAGTGGTTTTATTGGGAAACACGTTATCTATGAATGAATTAATCAGCATGTTCAATTAACACTAACCTTCAAGTCATGTATTGTAACCTTTGTTGGTGTTTCGAAACGAACACGATCATCCAGATAACTGGTTAGCGGTTGCCCTCTGAATTCCCAAATAATTTCAGGTTTTGGACGACCATCAGCTTCACAATTCATTGTAACTGATTTGCCTTCATAGCCAATAGTTGAAATTGGCAGAGAGACACGTGGCGGAACTATAAAAAGAAACCGAACAATGTGTTTTAGTAATTGATTATATTAAATCAAAAGAAATAATGTACTCAGTGTAATGAAAACAAACTAGTAAGGCTTAGACATTTCATGGTATTGGCAGTTATGCGAAATCATATATCACCAGTATTTCTTATCCTTTCAGAGTAACCTTAAGTAGAGTACTGTTGTGGTGAGAGATGGTTGCTAGCCAAATTGGATGACAGTAATTGAGGTCAATGCTAGTCATGTGAAAACAAGGTCAAGATGGACAGGCGGATACAGTTAACATATAGATGAACTGACACAGCCACAAGAGATGCAAGGTTAACTTTGTGTGAGAAACAACCAATCAACAGACTGTATTTTCTACTAACATTAACCTACAATAATGTACATCAAAATCTATAAATATGTGTTGATTTTCCATAATAAACGTTCTGTTGCCTGGCCCTTGTCTTCTGTTGTTACACTATCTCGTATAATTTTCAACTTCACCCCGGGGCTTCATCTAATAAGTATAATATATATTTAACATTGAAAAAGTCACTCATTGAATGAGGATTAATTTATTGTTTCACTAAATACTCCTAACAGAAGATTCTTATTCAAGAAAAAACACTTAAAATAAATCTCAACACTAAATGTGCATAGGATTTTTTCCGATCTGTTTCGTTAAACTCAATAAATTGATTAGCACTTTCAATGTCAAGGCGTCTAACCTACCTATGATGACAACTGTAATTAGCTCTTGTGAATAAAGTCTTTCATAACACCTTTATAACGGCGGAATTACTTTCATAGACTCCTTACAAAAAGGAAAAATCTAAGTATATCTTTCGTATTGGTCTTTTCAAGATTTCATTCTCTGTTTGTTCTACTTTTTCAATTGATTTAGAGCTATATACAGGCTTTATAACTAAATGATATTTTCGTGCATATTGATTACTCGTTAATTGCACCTATCGTTCTAAAATCCCTTGCGATAGGTTACGTTTTTATTAGCTAATCGGCATAAATTCATGGTGTAATCATTGTGTTCTCCCTATTTACGATGCCTGATGCAAATTCCCATATATGTATATTGATATTTAATTACATATATAAAAAATATAATGTTATCAACTCTCCATAACTCTGACAAGGAATATTCACTTACCTTGAACGGATACACGAAAAGTTACACGGTCTTCACCGGCTGCATTTTTGGCAATGCAAGTAAGTTCACCTTCATCCTCAGGCCTTAATTATCAAAAGAAAAAGAAAGCATTCAGCTTAATTGCACTCAGATATTTTGAAATTTATAGATTATTATTATTATTTACGACATGTATACTGACATCGTCATTAATTATTAATTCAGCCACTAATAAGACATTTCACACGAGAACCTGATTAGGCGTATCCTGTGTCTCTGTTTCCTCTTCATTTGTAAAAACTGAAACATTAGTTTATAGTATTCACAGTTGTAAACAAAAGGCATAATAGTGAACATTCTGTGGAGCGAGCTACTGATATGGTTGTTGCAGAAGTATGCAGTGAGGGTTGTGTTGTGTGGAAGGTAACAAGGTGTGGTAGCAAGCAGCAGCAACAACAACTAGAATTTTCTGCAGAAACTGAAGTTTCAGTGTACGCTTCTCATACTTTATCAATGATGAGAGTAGATTCCTTTGTAAATAATTGTTCCAGTCATTCCAACTGTGTTATTATTCCAGTTTTATACATTAACATACCGCTTCTGCTGGACATTCACTTGTGTAATTGATTCTTGGGCTTTCATGCTAATAGCTTTAGTGAACTCTCACTGTTATATATTCGTGGTTTTACTAACTAGAGATAACTTGGCTAAAACTGTTTAACTGAGTTTTGTTCATACCAATAATAAGCACCTTTCAGTAGATATATTAACCATCTTATCTTCTTTCCCAATTTTACCAAACTGTCTATCGATGATCAGTACTCACCACTCAGTCAGTCAATCAGTTACTCGTTAATATCGACTGGCCATTGAACACTGGTGACGGCTACACCAAAGGTGATAATTTTAATAAGAACATGCACATTATCAAATCTATCTTAATCAATTTATCACAGACCCTTACTTTAGAGAATTAAAGATGAACAGACCAGATTCTGTTGTAGTATAATAACTTTTCGTTCGACTAAATGTTACACCATCACGTTCCCAAATTAAAGTTGGAGTCGGTGAACCGCCTTCTACTTCACAATTCAACCGTAAGACAGAATTCAATCGTCCAGACACTTCTAGATTAGATGGCTTAACTAATGTTGGAGGAACTAAAAGGAAAAGGATTGAAATAAATTTTTAAAATATCCAGACATTTCTATTTGAAAGGAAAAAATTTGTCTTTTGAAAATATTTTTCACAAAGAGAGCATGAAAACCCCATTTAAGAGACCATATCTTTCAAAAATAAAATATTCTCTTCAAACTACTATCTAATATTTGAAGTAGTATAAAATCCCCACATAAAAAGTATTTAACTTTACTGCTTGGGTTAGCATGCAATGCTTCAAGTCCCTTAAATATTGGTAGAGATAAATTGATTCAATCATCTTAATCGTTTCTCGGAATTTCCATAAAATCTGACCGTTTTTTACTTCTGTTACGAAATGTAGCTATTAGGCTACAGAATTGCATTTTCAATCATGCAATAAAGATGAAAGCATGTTAGTCGATTCCATATTGAGTCAGCAGTAATACTCAGACATGGTTGGGGAGACAACATTTGATGATTTGTCAGAACATTTACTTGATAATTCCCATTTAGGGCATAAAGTATGTCAACACCAGTCAAAACGAAGCAAATAAAACAATAGTTTTCTTTTCATTAAGCTATTCAGAACTAGAGATGTATTCAACTGTTTTGGATTTTCACACCCATATTATCAATAACGAAGTAGCAAACGCTTGTGAAATAAGTAAGTTTCTTTCACCGTTATATAGTTTCATACAGTACATAATAAATCAATAAAGCCAGACTAAATGTTCTGAAACAAATAACATGAAGAGCCGCAAACTGGGACAGAACAGATGTCTAGTGGTCTCTAACCTTCAACAATCTCCTAAATGATGCCGATTCGTGATGACATTTACGCGAAAGAAAACAAGAACTCACTAAGCACTTCTAGGCTGACAACAGCATTCTGAAATCCGGCTTCGTTGTTTGCTGAGCATCGATAACGTCCAGCATGTTCTGAACGGACTTTTTCAATTAAAAGGCCCTAAAGAACAAAACAGTAGTACTTTATGTTTTACGTGTTTATAACTGAAATTAAACTATTAAGTACTGACTCTACCACAGATATATTAATAAATTCTTCTTAAAGTCCTATTTGGAGAAATTCAGCTTATTCAGCTAACTAAAATTAACAAATTACACAACGAACAAGCCTTTGGATTTTTAGGAATTTAATTGACTCCAAGTCACCGGTTTTAATTCCCCAAAGAATCTTGATGGTGCACTGCTGAAAATTCACCAAAACGGAATGCAACACTTGTCCAGTGTTTCTCAGCTTCAAAAAGTTATACAGATGATATTTGTTATTATTATTATTGTATCCTTTAATTCCTACAGGAACATAGGGCTTAAGCCGTGCGTCTCCATTGCGTTCGGTTCTCTGCTAGAGTCTTCACCTGGCTCCATGTCTGCCCACACGTTTTCATCTCCTCTTCACATGACCGCCTCCAAGTCACCCTTGCACTGACGACCAACTCGCCGCTTCCCTTTCGGGTTCCACTCGAGCAATGGCTTGTCTAGTGATGTCACTTGATGGTTTCCTAAGAGTATGGCCAATCCATCTCCATTTCTTCCTGCCTATTTGCTTCACAATCGGTTCCTGCTGTGTTGGTTCGCTCCCAGAGATCTCTGTTGGTGATCTTTTCTGGTCATCTGATCTTGAGTATTCAGCGAAGACAACTGGTAATGAAAGTGTGTAGTTTGTTTGATATGCTCTTTATGACGCGCAGTGCAAGTCTCTGATCCGTATAGTAGCACTGACTCCACATTGGAGTTGAAAATCCGGATCTTATTTTTGATGCTGAGAGTTGCTGACCTCCACACAGACGATGATATTTGTACATAACGAAATTTGCCATCAAAAAAATCATCTATTTCACGACGTTTTACTCAAATAAAAAGAGGGATTTGTGAACCAACTTAGTTTTTCGTATGAGATGCAACTTCTACAATGTTGAAATGTTAAATAAATTATCCTAGGAAAATGAACAGAACTGAATATAAAAAGTGCCGAAGACTCTTCACCTGTTTAAGCTTCGTTTACAAATGAAACTTTGAGAGACAATTAATCTTTATCATTGATGAAACGCATTATCTATCAACTTTAGGTTTTGCTTTTGCATTCAAAAATAAATAAGCCCCATGCATGTGAATAAAGTATAAAGTTGAGGTGCACTCCAAAATCATTCATGAAAATCGAGTTCTATTTCGCAGATTACAAATGTGTACTTTTGTTTATATATTAGTTCTGCTGCACTCCAAAACTTGTATGTGTCTCTTTCTCCACCCCTAATACACACATGATGTATGTAACACGTCCATTAAGTGCAAATTGATTTGTGTATCAAGATCCTGGGAATTCTCTAGCATTAATTGTATTTCCTCAGTACAAAACTTTTACATTTCTCAAGTTGAACTGATTTCCATAGTTGTTCACGTGAATTGGTGTTGGCGAATGTATGTTATGTCTTTTGACTGTCAGCTGGAGTTGATGGATGCAGAGGTGAAGAGAACGTCCACTTACGTTAACAGATTCCTTTCGTTTTACATAGATGACGTTGATTTCACATTATTTTCCTGTACTCTGTCTTGTGGCCACATTGCCAACTTGACTGATGGAATTCAGTCTGTATCAGACAGAGGACTAGTAACATTACACTAGGTATTAACTGGTGTCCACTCAAAGTACTCTTTTTTTACCCTTTACGTTCCCCAGTGGAACATAGGGCTTCAAGCTGGTGGCTTGAAGTTTCTGTAGCAGTGTTTAATTTACAGGATGGGGTTGCTAGCCTCATGCCCAACCTTTCCTCTTTACCAGCATTATTTCTGGCTTAGCGAGGTAAAGGAGTGCGTCGTCCGGGGATCGAACCCCGGACCATGTGCATGGTCGGCGATCATCCTAACCGCTATGCCACCGACGCACAAAGTACAAAGTACTCTTCTGGTCTACTGAAGTTTTTGTTCGGGAAACTATGGTTCCTGGCGTTTCCGTAACGACTTCCGCAATTATTCCTGATGTACGAGATTCCATCGGTGTTTCTTTTATCTGTTCAGGTTCAGACATTGATGTACGAATTACATCAATTAAGAATATTATATTTTTGGATTTTACTTAGTATTGAGTAGTTCTTTCATGATTTCTCTTGCTAACATTTGTCTCATCGAAAGACAACGCCGAGTGATGCCATAATTTCAGCCTTAATTGGTTTAGCGCCTTTGATTTAGTTCCCAAAATCTAAGTTGGTGATTTGATTTTTTGGAAAGTCACATGTACATTTAATAAAACCATATATATTCACTTTTCTTCATGAATATATATATAAACTTAATATTCGTCTTTTCAATAAAAAACTTACTTGTTCAGGTAATAGCCTAAATATACCTGGTTGATCAGCTGTGATTAGCTGACCAGATGGTAGAAGCCACTGAATACGTATTGGTTGTGTACCACTTGTTCTACACGGTAGCAAAACTTGTTCATTCTCTTTTGCCAGAATCGGCTTTATTGATGTATGTATGGTAGGTCGTTCTTAATTTAAGAAATAATTAATGGAAAAATGATGTCTGTTGTTAATTACATATATATGTATAATAATTTTATTAATCTTACGAAATAAAGAAGAGCAACTAAATAATATGTAGTCCTAGCTACTGAACAGTATCATAGGGAGGCTAAGAATTCACTTTATTTAGTGTTTTGAAAACTGCCAAATAGTGCGTAGAGCCAGTATTAATATATTCGCTATATCCACTTATTTAACAATAAGAATGTCAACTTATTGCAGAAGTTCATTAGAACCCAATCATTCAAAATATATTTCGAATGAACGAAGCTATAAGCCACAATATTTTATGTGGAGTGATCCTACTATCCAGTGGCTCAATCAGAAGTAGGTTTAATGAGATTCTAAGATAGAACATTACGGTTGACTGTGAATTGCTTAAGTCACACATCTCAAGTATGTAACTGTATTATTTTGTCAATTTCTCTTATTGTGAAGACAGAGAATGTACGCCAGTAATGCTGCTAATTTTAAAGTGGTAAATGAAGTTTCTGTGTCACTAAAATAGACCCTTTAAAAAGGCAACTCAATAAATACTCACTATATCTACTAGATTCAAATGAAATACTGGTCAGGAAACTTCAGATTTGAGTGACTTGATAATTACCTCGACGGTAAAGTTGATTAATCCCACAAATGAATAAATTTAAACGATCTTATAATTAAATACCTTCAGGTATTGATTTGTAGGGATTTGACTGATTGGTTACAGGATTTCATTATGAGCTGACATCGATTAAAGAACCACTGAAAAACCTGGGAGTATTGGACAGCTGTTTCGTCCAAGTTTGGGACTCCTCATCAGTACGCACCCAGCGCCAGGGTTCGAACTCAGGACCTTCTGGTTACAAGGTGAGCTCGTAGGCCATTAAGCCACTGGGTTCCTATCCAGCAGGATGCAGCAGCTCGGGTGTGAGGACAAATACTCGCCGAAGACATTGTTCAGTAGTCGCGTTATGTTGTGAATCGGCAGAAGTTGGAATTCATGGGCTGGCCATTGGATTGGGTCCCAGTGGATTAATACTCTACGAGCTCGCCTTATAACCTGAAGGTCCTTGGTTCCAACCCCGGTGGGTGCGTGCTGATGAAGAGTCGTTATTTAGGACGAAACAGCTGTCTAGTTTTCCAATGATTCTCTAACTGATGTCAGCTGATGATGAAATCCTGTAATTGTCTTCAGATTGAATAGTTCTTTGAGCTAAGGTTTTGATAATCAGATATTTAATGATATCTAAGACATTCTTATCAGTGTTTAGTAGCAAGTAAATTAACGTAAAAGTATACGGGCATATTCTGACACTACTTTGAGCTAGTCGGAACTGATTCATTTGTCGGTGGTACAAGGGTATATATTAAATCTGACTAGTTGTTGATTTGCTCCTTAGCTCTCCTAGATGAGTATACAAGCATACTACTATTTTGCTAGCCCAGAAAAGTTTCTTTTTTAGACGTGAAGCGATGATTTATGCAAGTTCCGACATGGCAACCCCTTATTGGACAATTTTTATTTGTTCTGATAGGGATTAAATACCTGACGTTCTGTTAACATGATACACCAATTATTTTGTCCAATAAATGTTGTTGTTGTTGTTATTGTTATCGTGCCGGTTCGTTTTTCCCAGTCTGACTTTGTGTCCATCTCAAAGTGGAAAATATTTTCAAGTGATTAGTTTGTTATAATGTTGTATTCTGGAGGTGCATTCTCGTCAGGTTAAACAAACTCACAACCCAGCATCACTGCGTCACAACAGGGTTTTTCTCTGTTAAAATACACTAGATTGAGATATCTTCTCTCGGTTTACAGTACAGAAATAAGTATGAAATGATAATTTTAGCGGGAAAATAAGCTTACCAATTATTTCGATCATAACTGATTTCGAATCTTCGCTTATTTTATTTGTGGCTTTACAAACATAACGACCACTGTCTTCTTTTTTAGCATCTGTGATTGTTAACAGTCCAGTACTACAAAAGATTTTTTTAAAGAATAAAAATTTCACACATTTGTAAGGATTACTTAACTTTTTGCAGAAAATTAGACTACCTCATATAATTTCTACATTTATAGATGATGACTGACATTCTAGTCTGAGCCACGAGACATCACTATTTTGGATGTCTCGACTCACCAGCTTTCGGGTGAATTAAGTTCGCTCCTTTGCTGTATGGTTTACATAATGAAATAGCCACTAGTGAGTTCTAACAGTAATGTTTTGCAGATATAAGGTTGAACGCAACTCCTAAAGTAATACCTAGTCTGGAAGTAATCGAACATTAAACTAAATTGACTTTTTCTGATCAGTTTTATATCAGCTTTCAGATTTTATAGTTACGGAAAACATTGGTCAAGAATTTACTATTTATTACTAGCAAGTGTATTGTAACTAACTTGATTGTAACTAAAAGATAGTTTGAAAAATCCCTCCTGAACTATCTAATCACAACATTTATACTTATTTGCATGTTCAAACTAACTATGTGATAACTATTCGTTTTTCTTCTAAGCTGTATATCATTCTTCTGATATTTTCATATTATCTGTTGACCTGATCCGTATTATTTGTCGTTGTCACTATTTATTCTCTATTTGTAACACTTCTCATTGTGGTTATGCGATACATTGATAATGTATTGCTTTACAATGTGATTTTGTTTGAGTGAGTCCAATCCATGCTGACTTTGGACTGTCTTCGGGAAACGTTGGTGCCTGATTCTTGCTGACACAGCTACCGAAACTTCAAAGCTGTAGTTTGAAGCCCTACGTTCCACTGGGAACGTGAATGAATAAAAATTTCTGTTCTACAGTACATGTTCCGTACTTAAAAAATTAACTGAACTGCATAGCTACCCAACAGCACTTTTGAGGCAATTTCCAATTTTTGATGTTACTGTTGAATGGAACTGCAGATTTCAGCAACAAATATTTGTCTTTTTGGTGTTTACTGAGCGCTTTGTGACTATGCGCGACTCAGTGAAGTTTTGTCAGCTATACAGTAGGACGCAGAGATTGGCTTCATGCATCCAGACCACTACGAGTCAGTTTTGGTCGTAACGATGATTTCGTGAGTTTGTTTCTAAGATGATTGTATCAAAAATCTTAAACGTATTTCCAGGAAACTATATATATGCCTTAACACAGTCTCTTAAATGTTATGTTTTTTAACTATAATCACTCCGATTGTTCTCATATCTCAAATCCACATCCACTAGGTGCTCAAATGATGTTAGTGTATACCATCTTGACATTCCCGTTGTTTTCTTGATTGCTATTTATGGTATCAAACCGAGTTCCTTAAACACCAATCATGTAATTTCAACCACATGTTAAATCTTACAGTTTAATTGTGAAAATTACTAAACATCATTATCTCTATATAGATCCAAATTTCAAATTCTCACCTGATATCTACACTTGTTCCAAGTCGGAATAGCCCTCCGGTCTCTCTAAACCATTCCAAAGTTGGCATAGGATGTCCTTCAGCTGAACAGTGCACAGTAAAGGTGGCACCTTCCCTTTCACGTATTTCAGTTTTGTCCAGTCTAACTAAGGGCGGCACTAAAATTGTAATAAAATCAAAAAGACAGAAATATTACTAAGGGGTTATTTATGCATATATGTAAACAGATAGATGTATATTGGCTGGTTCAAGTCCTCGAGATAATATGAATCAGTTATGGAGAAATTATCTTCCAGATTTTAAGAGTCTTCACTAATCTACTCTTAGCTTTCTTCTAATTTAATTTGCATTTTCTTATATTTTGCGCTTCTTTAAATTGTCTATTGGTTCGGTCACGAGTTGATATCAGTTAGAGAACTATTGGAAAACCTGGGAGTACTGCACAGCTATTTCGTCCTTCTTTGAGACTCCTCACCGTACTCACTCAATGAGATCCAAACCCAGGATCTTCAGGTCACAAGGTGAGCTCGTAGACCATTCAGCCGCTGGGACCTGATTCAATGGCTAGTGAATTTCAACTTCTGCCAATTCACGACATACATAGCGCAACTGTTCTCTTAACTGATCTGGTGTCAACTTGAACTGTTGTTCTTTTGTATAAGTTTTTTTTCTTTCATTCATCACTCATACAATGTAGAGCAGACAGAAGATATAAGAACGGAATTTTATTATCAGAAGGTTTGTCTTTTTTGCAGAATATGTATGTTCTGCACAGATAATCAATCTAATTATTGATGAACTTGTCTTCTTAGGATGCTTAAGTACACTAGAAATTATTTCTGATTAATAACTTCATCTTGCTCAGCAGAATGATTCTTGTCATTTCTTAGAATCTGTGTTAACAAGACTATTATGCGTAAGACGCTTTAGTGTGAATCTTTGAAAACGCTACAACCAGTTCTCTAAACTAAGAGGAAACGTACTATGAATCCTGAAAGTATTACTACTTAATTTCAGAAGTATTATGAAACATTTACAAGTGGAAAATAGCTCTATAAATAGTATATGTAAAATTTTAAATATCTTCACCACAGATTTCACTTACTAATAACTTCTAATTCATAAATTTTTGATACATTCCCAGCTTCATTTCGTGCCAAACACTGATATTCTCCTAAGTCTTTACCAGTAGCCGAGATAATCTTCAATTTACTGCCATTATCATCAAAGGTGTATTTAGCCGGTGCATTGAACTGTGACAGTGGTGCACCTTTATAATACCATGTAATTGTAGGCGGAGGTGATCCTTGTGCTGGACAATCGAATTCAATCTCAGCACCCAGACGTACAATCTGTTTTTGACGATAACGAACAAAATCTGGTGGAAATCGAGGAGCGGCTGAAGAAAATATACAAAAAAATTGTCTTCTTATTAGAGTGGAGTAAAAGTAGAATTTGACTTCTATGGTAGAATAAAATTCCATAGTAGGTAATTTTTTTATTTAATATAACACACAGCCATACCATATTAATAACTAGACATGAGCAGCAAATTGTACTCGAAACATCATCCAAATAATAGTACTGCAACACTGTGTGAGTGTATTCTATCGAATAAACTTATCAAATATGCAAAATATTTAACTGTTCAAATCACTTAAATATTCATTGAAAGGAGTTGCCCGTGTAGAACTTTATAAAATATATTTCAATGCAAAGACTTCTTGGCTTGACTTCTGTGAAATAATAATTTCCACCATTTAATAGCTAATCTTCAAGATTACTTCCAACTGCATCTTAGATTATATCAGCCTTGTGTATGAGAACAGACATTTTTCGATATCTGGGTAATTTTTAAACTGTCATATTGGTTTTTTTCCACATAGTTACACTGATCAACAAGAATTCCAAGTGCTCACTTCATCTTGAAGTCATCGTAATTCAACCCTCCAACTAAGAGAACACAATATGAAAAACGCCCAAGTGAGCTACAAATCTGCATAATTTCAAACTGAAAACAATACCTTTCCTATGAGGTAAGTTTCGAAATTAACGATATTAGGGCTTAGCAACCATATGAAACTAAGAGGTTATCATCAAGTTATTCAGACAGAGGTAAGCGAATGACACTGTTTTCGCAAAGCTGGACTTCCCATCTTATCAGTCAGCATGCAAAATCGTAGATTCGACAACACGAAGTAAGTTCTAGAATTCTGATAATGATTTATTTCTAAACATTAATTATGAATAATTTATACAAAGTGATTAAAAAATAAGAAGGAACTTGTCAATTATAATTTTCATTTTAGACCTACCAATCACAGATAGCTGGAAGGTATGACTATCTTCACCAGCTCTATTACGTGCTAAACACCGATAAGTTCCAACTTCATCAGCAGTTGGACGAACAACAGTTAAACTCTGTCCTTGATCTTGTATCACATAATAATCTCCATCTGGTGACATCAATATCGGTGCACCATCTTTAGTCCATGTGATTTCCGCTTTTGTTTGATTGATATCACGCAGTAGACAATAAAATGTGATTGGAATGAATTCAGATGTACGATGTTCTTCTAGTGAGCCAGAACGTTTTATTATTACTGGTGGAACTGTTAACGCATACATATAAGCATACACAAGAAAAAAGGAGAGAACAATAAGACGGTTGATAAAACAAGTAATTATTAAAAGTTTCTGAACATTCCACCACTTAATTCTCACTACTACACTTTTTACTGTAAGAGTGAAAACAAGACATTTCTCATTAAAACTCCATTGCAATATGCACCCAATGGGGTTAGAAACCAGGACCTTCTGACAACAATGTAGGCTGGTAGACCATTCAGCCATTGGGACTCCACTAATGGCCCATGAATTCCAACTTCTCCCACAAGCATATGTTAGAAAAATTTACTCGTTCCTCTTATATTGTTGCTACTTTAAATAATTCCTTGTATTAGATAGTCACTTGTTTTGTTTATCTATTATTACTAGTTTAATTGCACAAATCCGATGAACGATTCCACTACTTATTTAGTGCATATTAGACAACAACGACCCAGTCGCAATTATTATAATTTATAATTATTTCCTTGAGTTCCGAGTTGAACATAAGGCTTCTTCTATTCTCTGCTGTCCTCTTCAGCTTGGACCACGACTTCCCAACATCTTTCATCTACTCCTTATAAGATCTCCATGTAACGCTCTCACCGACTACCCACTCGTCGCCTCTTCCCATTTTAATTCTACTCGAGTGATGCTCTACATTGCGTGTGATGTCATTCTACGGCCTCGCCAAAGTTTGCTTGATCCATCTCCATTTTCCCCGACATATTTATTGAGCGATCGGCTCTTTGTTGGTTTGTTCGCAACCAGAGTTTCTTGTTGATAATTCTTCCTGGCTGGCCGGCCATTTGATCTTCAGCATGGAGCCGGCGAAGGGGATAGCTGTGGATAAAAGTCTTCAGTGGCCTGTTGGAAATTCTTTTTCGTGACACGCAGAGCAAGTTTCTGACCCGTATAGAAGGGCTGACTGCCTTCACATTTGTGTTGAAAACCCGAATCTTGTTCTTCATGCTGACTGAGTCCAAACTGGTTTCAGGTTGATGAAAGCGTGTCTCACCTTTCTGATTCTGACTGGCTGGCTTTAACATCTTCATCCGTCCCACTGTCTGTGGTTGAAACCGTGCTTCCTAGATGAGTGAAGGCGGGAAGTTACCTCTGTCAAATCTCTCCTGTTGATTGTGATTGGTGCTGGGTGTCGTCGTTGTTGCTGTTGGTGCGTGGTTACCTTCATCACCTCCATCTTTTCTACATTCACCTGGAGTCCTGTCATCGCTCACTGCCTCTTCTGCCAATTTGTTGGTTTTCGCCTGTAATTCTTCGAATTCGTGTGATATTAGACATAAATCACCTGCGAAATGCAGATCTTCTTGAGTCTTATTATCGGTGGTCCAGCGTACTCCTGTCTTCTCACTCCCATGCACAGTCTGACGCATAATCTAGCCCAATACAATTAAGAATATCATCGGTGATAATAGGCAGCCAGCTTGCCTTACTCCGGTAACCATTAATACATAACACTTATACAGAACATTTAGTGTCATATTCTACTACTCATATCCTATGTCTCCCTTTATAAGTAGTATTTTCGTAAATATCATTACTATTATTATTGTTATCCCTTGCATTTTTTGTAACACATACACGCACACAAACAAGACAATTACTAGTCACTCATATAAACGCATAAAATTAATATACTTCATCTCTCCGTTACATCATACATACGATAGCTTCGGTAGATGAACTTATGTAATCAACACAGTTCATTAGTCCACATGGATTTGAAACTGATCAAGAAGATCTTGATCCAATACAGTTAAATTTCCGATGTTGTCTCGGTGGGAGAACAAATCAGAGTAATAAAATGCAAGTCACTTAATTCTATCTGAACTCATTTACTCATGAAAAACGTTCTACTACTTAAATATAGAAACAGCGTTTATGATGGTTGTCAATAGAAAATATTAGACCAGAGTACAGACACATTTCAACTATGTATATATTAGAATTTCTGTTAATTTAACAACTAACCGATTACAGTTACATTGAATTTCTTTTCTATTGTACCACCTCCATTACTAACAGTACAAGTGTATTCTGCTTGATCTCTCGGTTGTATATTTGATATCTGCAACATTTGATCTCCACTCAGGATAGCTAAACTGGACAATTGTGGATGAATATATCGTGGATCCATAAATTGTGGTTGGACTATTTCAATATCCTTTTTAAACCAAGCGAATCGTGGACGTGGTTCACCTGTTGCTTCACAAGCCAACTGGATTGTTTCATTCTGAACAGCTTGAATATGAATCTTTCTAGTTGGATCAACAAACTTTGGACGAACTGATGAGTTGTTTAAAAATAAGTAAAATAGTATTGTTCGATTAGTTTAAACTAAAAATGAATTTCAACATAATAAACAAAATAGAAGTCTTTATATTCAAGGGTTGGTTTGTAGGGATTTGGTTGATTGGTTACAGGGTTTCATCATGAGGTGACATTAGTTAGAGAACCATTGGAAAACCTGGGAGTACTGGTTAGCCGTTTCGTCCTAGTTTGGGACTCTTCAGCAGTACGCACCCACCGGGGTTCGAATCCAGGACCTTCTGGTTACAAGGCGAGCTCGTATACCATTAAGCCACTGGGACCCGATCCAATGGCCCATGAATTTTAACTTCTGCCAATTCACGACATAGCGCGACCCCTAGCCAATTCTTTATAAATTAAATGTTCTTTTAAGATCAGTTACATTGATTTCACTAATTCACTAATATATGGTTTGTCAAAACACACATCAATACTAAAACGGCTTCAATGCAGTAGTGATGAGTTTAACAAAAGTTAATCGATATTACTATTGAAAAAGATGAAATTGCAGTAAGTTTTGATGTGTTTTCTCTATTTACCAGTATTCCTACATATGATTCACTTGACATTAGGAAATATGAACCAGGAAATATTAGCTAAATGCTCATTATCAATAGAAGACATTATAATAAAATGGTAAAAACTTTGTTCGCAATCTACTTTATACTTATATCAATACTATTTATTTTACCTTTAAAGATAAAGCATACTGTGAGACAAACGGAGATGCAATGGGATCAGCAGCATCTCCGATTGTAGCAAACCTGTATATAAGATGTCTAGAAAGAAAAGCACTGACAGGTTTTAGTTGTCATCCTAGAGTATGGTACAAATATACAGATGACACATTTATTATTATAAAGAAAGCTGAAAAAGAAACCTGCCTACAACCGATCAAATCCATTTCAAAAAATATTAAGTTTAGTAATGAATTTGAGTCGAATGAGGGAACTATACACTTTCTGAATTGTCTTGTAAAAAGACAAATTGACGGACAGCTAAAGTTCACGATATTCATGAAACCGACACATTCAAATATATACATTTGAATTCCCAAACAGATCATCCAATAAGATTGAATTTTTCAGTAGCTTTAAATCTCGTAAACAGAAATAGGAACAAAGAGATCTCGAATATAAAACAAATTTTAATTGGAAATTGTTATCTGAAAAAGCTTCCAAATAACAATACCAATAAAAAAAGGTGAGAGGGGAAAGAAAACTGAAAAACCTTGGGTATCGACTATAGCAATTCCATATCGAAAGGACACGACTGAACAAATTCAAAGAGTACTTCTTCCATATAAAGTTTAAGTCTATTTCAAGACCCCCAATTCTTTACAGAAAGCTTTGGTGAGTGTCAAAGATCTGTTGCCCAAAATTACACAAAACAATTGTGCCTATAGGATGAAGTGTTCAGCATCTGAGGCTCGTTTTATAGCAGGTAAAGGCCAGGGTGAATGAAAACAGGCTGTGCATGAAATGTCCGCCTAGAAATAAAGTAGAATTGAAGTCTTCAAATCAGACCTGCTATGGCAATGGATGATATAGAAAGCGGACATAAGATTGATCTCTAAAATGTCGAAATTCCAAGAAAAGGCTTTCATTCACATAAAGAACGACTGACTTCTGAAGCCTTCCATATTTTAACCGCATCGAATGCAATTAATACGAGAGAAGGGATATACTTAAGGTAGACTCTAATGATACAAAACATATAAGAAAAAGAAAATTATTCAATCCTATGTTGTGACCTTATAAAATATTATCACGTTTTTCACAGGTGAACAAATTACTCCCTCACACACACACACACCCATACAGACCAATATGCTAATATGAAAATTTGACATTATTCATCATAAATTTGTGACGACTGCTTTTGTCTTTCTATTGGTGACCTTCAAAGGAGTTCACTTCAATTTATGTAATTTTTTGACCATATATTTTGATGCATATTCTGCTGAAGCAGTTGTGGATTACACAGTGGAACATTCAGAAGAATCTTGTTTTGATCTTATGGTTAAGCACACTAGGACTATTTTAAGTCATTTATAATGATTTAAACTGACTTAAATTATTCTAGGGAATTCGTAACACCAACGGTTTACATATTTATAAAATATAATTTATACTACCATATATTTAAAACAATTAGTTCCTTTTATGAATTTAGATAAAGTAATGTATTTGCGCAACACATTTCGAACAATCTGATCACACACGGACTTGTCATAGGAATGTATATGAAATTAATAAAGAGGTAAAGGGTGAGAAAATAGACTTAGGTCAAGTTAAAAGGACATATTCAAGGTCAAAATAACAGTAAAGACCACTAAACCAAATAGCAGAGGTAATAGTACATCTGCTATGGTATCAAAACAGAATTTACCAAGGAAGGTTTAATGTGATGACGAATTGTTTTTGAACGCATAAAGGTGGTTTAAACTTTCTAATTGCTAGGGCTTCCCCAAACACGTTTTATAGATAGGTTCAAAAGATCTGTCAACGTCAATTTTATGTCCTTTCTCTATAATATGTCTCGCAATAGAAGAGCTAGGTCTCCTGTTCTCACCATTAATAGGTTCTGAAGATTCCATTTGTTTCTGGAGCCATTTAGGAATATGCTCTGAAGTTCTTACTTGCAGAGATCGATGCGTCCTCCCTATGTATGTGTCCACACGTACATTCAAATTGGTAAATACAGTGGGAAGTGACGTCATTTTTCGCATATTATAGAGACAGGACATAAAATTGACGTTGACAGATCTTTTGAACCTATCTATAAAACGTGTTTGGGGAAGCCCTAGCAATTAGAAAGTTTAAACCACCTTTATGCGTTCAAAAACAATTCGTCATCACATTAAACCTTCCTTGGTAAATTCTGTTTTGATACCATAGCAGATGTACTATTACCTCTGCTATTTGGTTTAGTGGTCTTTACTGTTATTTTGACCTTGAATATGTCCTTTTAACTTGACCTAAGTCTATTTTCTCACCCTTTACCTCTTTATTAATTTCATATACATTCCTATGACAAGTCCGTGTGTGATCAGATTGTTCGAAATGTGTTGCGCAAATACATTACACGATTCAAACAAATTACGTCTTCTTATTGCTTTGCCATATATTTGTTGGTAGCACAAAGATGAAAACAAAGTTAATAGAAGTAAGAGATCAGTAGAGCCTAGTCAAGAAAGGAATTAACATTGGTAGTGTTAAGACAGCCACTGCCACCACTGGAAGTTGATGTTATAGCCAAGTATGATATGAGTAAGAATAATTCTTAAGTAATTATGAATAATCTTGGTCAATGGAGAAGATATACAGCTCATAAGGAAGATGAAATTTTCTAGATGTACCTCAGGCCTTTGTGTCTGATGACTAAGGTTTCCGTTACCTTCATCACTAAGCCCACTGATGAGACGTCCACAATCAAATGCTTGGAGTATATAAAAGAATTTCCATTCTGTTATCTCTCTCAGGCTTTGGCAAACTGGCGTTTTGGAAGTTGGTTCGCTATCAACTAAATATCGTAAGTTTATTCGAGTTATACCACGGATTGATATCAGTTAGAGACCCATTAAAAACGAGAGGTTAATGGACAGCTATTTCATCCTAGTTTGGGACTCATCGGTACTACACACCCACTCGGTTTCGAACCCGCGGCCTTCCGGTTACAAGGCATGCTTGTATACCATTCAGCCCATCAATTCTAACTTCTACCAATTCGTGATATTTAGCGTGATCACCAACCAATATCATTGGCAGGAAAACCATCTTCACTCCCGACTGGATGCATCTCACTGATGATTACTTCTCACCATAACTCCGGGAAACTCCGTCCTGTATCAATTCACTAGCGAGCATCAGATTAATTTTCCAAAGTTGATTTGTATGGATTTGATCTGTTTTTCGAGTTTGACCACGGATTGATATCGTAAGGTTACGTTAATTTTCTCCTTCATCGGTTATTCACCTTCAGCACGTTTCAGTTTCATAACTTTCATCAATGCAGTTAACTAGACTATAGCATCTTCAAACTGTTTTTGATTGATTGGTGCTTCTTACACACGTATTGGTCACTTCATTAGTTACCTAATTCGTATTTCATCGCATTTTACTGGATGCAGTTTTTATGTTAGTAGTGTGCTTTCCCTCTTATTTCTAATAATATTTTCATACTACTTACAGTTGTTAATAAGTAGTCAAATTTTATCACATTATATTGTAATTCATATTCAAAATTCAACCTGCTCCTCTGTTAATGCAGTATGGTCTGCAGTGAACTAAGACAGTTGACGAGTTAGTTTGATAAAAAACGTATAGAGACATGTCTTTCATTTAAATAAAACCTAGGCTTTAACCTTGATGATTTCAAGAAAGTGATGATCTACACAGCAATAGGGTATCGTAGCTCAGCTGCTGGACTACTGGACTAGTAATTTCTGAAGGTCGCTGTTTTGAATCCTTCGGTGATCCATATTTCTTCGTTTTGTCTTCCGTCACCATTCGCTGCATGAATAACAAGTTGACAACCAAAGGCCAAATCAGATAGAGCTCACCATGAATTACATGAAATTACTAAAAAGTGTTTTGTCCATATAATTATCGGAATATAAAATATGTCAATCACTAATGAGACAGCTTTAAAAACAGATGCACCTAAAATAATACTTAAAGTGGATTCGGAAAACACTTATCACATATAAAAATGATACTTGGAAAGACTTTCTGGTCAGATATTACAAAATTTTTTTAATGTGAGCTTAGCATTTTCAAACTTGAAGTTGAAACTCACCATAGATAAGTACATTAAATATTTGTGTAGATTTTCCAACCTCATTTTGAGCATGACAGACATATTCTCCAGCATCTCGTGTTTGTACAAGTGGTACTGTAATTTTACTACCATCAGCGGATACTTGAATATCTGGTCCATTCACTATGGGTAAATTATTTCTTTCCCATTTAATTTGTGGTGGTGGATCAACTCCTTCCATTAATGTACAATCAAGTGATCGAGTTTGATTAACAAACCAGTGTACTTCAGGTTGAACATTCGATGTATCAAATGCTGGAGGAACTGTAAGACATCAATTGTATACATGTACATGTGTTTTTGGGAAGAGGAAAAGAAAGAAACGAAAATACGAATCAATAGACATCAGTTGGTTTGTAGGATTATCAACAAAAGCAAATAAATTTGACTACATAGCGTCGGTGGCATAGCGGTTAGTACACTCGCCGACCATGTACATGGTCCGGGGTTCGATCCCCAGCCGACGCACTCCTTTACCTCGCTAAGCCAGAAATAATGCTGGTGAAGAGGAAAGGTTGGGCATGAGGCTAGCAACCTCATCCTGTAAAAATAAAAAACTGCTACAGAAACTTCAAGCCACTAGCTTGAAGCCCTATGTTCCCCTGGGGAACGTGAAGGAAAAAAAACATAGTTTAAAGTTTCTGCTTAGATATAGGTGACAATATATGTATTTTTACTAATGTCGTTTAAGAATCCAATAGGAAATCTACAATATCACATCCATTGTATCTCAGGACGCCTTTCTTTTACTGGTGATGCAGCTACTTAATTATATAGAATGTCTGGTACACAAGCCACTAACTGTTATTAGTAAAAAATTATGAGCCAGTCGATTCTGAAACAATAAATAGGTAGTGACATTTCGATCTCAAAACCTAATAGTCTTGGAGCCTGAATCTACACTGACTGCTGATGAATGCCGCCGATGAAAAGTCTCCAAATAAAAAGAGGCATTTTTTCCTGCGCTCTCTGGCTTAAGTTGGTCTTATATTTGACTTCCGTCGGCGACAGGTTATATATTTACACCTCAGAAATTCATTATATTAAATGATATATTAAAATAGAATCATTCGTAAACTGTTTTCCAATTTTTAAAGAAGTACATAATAATTCTGTCTAATGAATATTAATCTGTGTGTGACAGAATTTGAAATTGATCGTAGCAGTGTACTTATCTATCCATGTATTTATGATATGAATAGGAATTATGTTCAGACTTCAAACTTACCACGAACTCTTACGCTATACTCCATAATATCCCATCCAACAGCATTGCTAGCATTACACTGATATGAACCACTATCACTTTTTGATGTGCGGAAAATTGTAAGTGATTGACGATCCTAAAATTTAATAAAAAGAAAGGAGGCTAAATAGTCTGAATATGAGTTAAGTAAACTAATGTGTTCTTAAAGACAAAGAACACGAACTTACTAAGACATAACCCATTGTAAATTGAAATGCTAAATTTACTGGAATATAACATCTCTAGTCAGTTAGAGCAGACTGAAGATTTCCGGTCTATTAATAGTCTATCGCGTTGTCCAACATCGCACTTCGACCAGGATTCGGAAGCGATCAATCTATAATATCCTAATAACTAAGTAACATCCTAGATGCCTTCAGCATTTTCCATACATATTACTGAACATATGGCTTATGTATTCAACATCAGATTCGCATGTTTGCAAATTGGACCAAAGGTAAAATAAGCATATATCAGTCAATCTTGATACCCATTATTTACACAATTCACAACCAAGGCAGTTATTCTTGTGATCAACGAAGCTACTAATGTAAGCAACCTAATGGTAAACTAACTACTATATTGGACTAGAATAAGAATAACCTTCCATAGATAACCTCTAGTTGTGAGAAGGATGACGCATCCCTCACTTCGAATTATTTCAAGATTCTCATTTTTTTCTATTCTCTTTTCAATTCTTCTCAATCGAATCACACTGTTAAAACAAACATAGACAAATTGACAATCATCATTTCATTAAATTCAAATTACCTGAGATACTACTGAATGTTTAGGTAAATTATCTGTTTGTCTGGATAGTTTAATTACTCCAGAACTGTCATCATATCTGCCACCTAGACGAGGTTCACTGGTACGCGAAAAATGTACTTTTGGTGTGGGTGATCCATTTGCTGGGCAAGGTAGTACAAGTTCATCTCCTTCACGAACTGTATACTCTGTACGTACACGTCCACGATCAATACGAGCAGGAGCTAAAGTGTTTAACAGTACAAGTAGCATTAATGTTATTGCATTTGTATTTCAATTCGTATAACACCAACTAAAGAAGAATGGAATATTTTTCTTTCTAGTTTGTTGAAGAAAAAAGCTTTAAGAAGCCTACATTATAGTGTTTCACTGCAGCCAAGTTCAGTGAGAGGGAACTGCAACTATTACGACATATGGTACCTTTTCCATCACAAAGTTGATGATACATAGGTATATCAGCTTCCGAATAGAGATATTCTTCCGGCAAGAGTGAAGTTATCAATCTCTTCTTCTAATCCGCGAAGTAAGGTTAACTTGTGCAGACATCAGACGTCATATTACTGTGATAAAAAATAAACTCGGATTTGTCTCGATTATAATTCATACATAAACTGAAGTATTTGAACTGCTTAGCAATAGCCCAGATACACCCGAAACATTTTGTTGTATTTTAGAATATATGTTTGCTGCGGTAGGCTGCATTAGATGTTAAGAAATTCAAAAATATAACTGCCCAGTTTTTGATCCGACTTCAAGGTGATCCAAAAACTATAAAACTTACAGGTCTTAAGGATCATATCAACTAACCATGATGCTTACTGACTAAGCGCAGTGACTGATGGATGTACAGTATTCATCCTCATAAAATGGCATGTATTATTTGCATATTATTGAAGGCGACACTTCATCCTGCTGTCTTGAATAACAAATTCTTACACATCAGATGGTTGGAAGCAATCGGTAGGACCCCTGTCAGCCCTCATCACCATAATGTATTTGCACACCTGCAAGAAGCTGACTTATCCTCGGAGATTCCAACTTAACACTGTAGTCAGAGACTTTATTATTGAATTATTCGGGTTAACTATTGACTTCCTGGAGGACTGTAACGGACGCATTAGTTGGTCATTCGGGT